AAGAAGGAGGGGTGGATACGTGCTAGTGACCTGGACCTGTCAGTCTCCTATCTGCCAGAAGCTGTATAATATGCTATATGCCGGACAGATACCGCTCCTGCGAATATGAACTTGGCCATGGCCCATGGGACCCGGTCTCTGGAGGTGTACTAGCAATTCTTGTGCTTTGCTACAACGTCTTCAGAGGGTTCGGCGAGATCGGTTCGGACCTTGCGCGTCTGTCAAGAGTCATCGAGGCTTCCCATGGTGCATCAAGTAAAGACGTTGTGATGTACTCTACCTACTCCCCAAAGTCCGCAATGGCCTTGTCAGTGACAGATGGCAAGACACTGTGCTCTGGATCTCTGAAAGGAGTCGGACGCATTGTCAAAACCACACGACGATCGCCTATGGCGGTCAGTTGGCACTGGCACAAGGCGCACACAATGCTTCTGAATGTGTGGAGACAAGACAGTACGGCTGCAGGATAGAATAACAGGCTTGAGACTGGGCTCGTAGCAGCTGGTGAAGTAGATCCTCTGTCCGCCGTCGTCAATTCCTGGAATGGTGTGTAGTGTTGTCTGCTTCTGGCGGCACGGTTCTCCACATTCCTTTTGCCCCCTTCCGATTCGTGGTCTCATCTGCTGGTCTTCACAGGAATTGTTCCTAGGCACGTATGACGGAGTTACGGCGCTGTTCATTCAGCCCTACCTTGGCGCTCGTGATGCAGGTGTCTCCGGGGGCCATTAAAGGTTTTGCTAAAGGCATCGCCGAGACACCGACCAAATTCTTTGCCGGGGAGCTAGCTTTTCCTATGAATCCTTCCGTCCGCCAGGGAGGAACCTCATCTGCCAACTTTCTCGCCCACAGCAATGAGTGGTATAGTTGGGTATTCGCTCCAGGGCGTCGACGCCGCAATCGCCAAGCTGTGGAGCCGCAGAGACTGCAAGGCCACCGTGAGCGCAAGGCTGGCTCAAGGCGGCCAGGAATACTTCAAGCAATGCCAGATGTGTACGCCGAAAGATCTCGATCGCTAGGAGAGAAATCTGGCGAAGGCAGTGTTTGGAATAGTCGTTGGCGGTGCCAGTCGTCTCGACTAGAATACTCTGATAATAAGCTCGAGTAAGTACCCCCGTTTTTCCGGTCCATGTGACTTGCCTGCCTGCCTGCCTGCCTGTACATTATTGTCGATGAACTTAGCGTGCCCACCCAGGTGTTAACCCCGGTCTGCTTGGGATGTAACCTTTTGGTGCCTTGGTCTTCCCCAATCGATCGATGGGGAGGGGCGGAGTATCTTTCCAGCACATCCTAGTAGTGCTCCGTAGGACAGACTCTACAATAGAGCGAGAGGTACTAACGCAATGCGCCAAGCAAATTGCCGCCCTCACATACGTAGTAAGTTCCTCTTCCCTGTTGTTCTACGAGTTCCATAGCAAGTCACTCCCGGTCCTTAGATCGTGTGATTCAAAGTGTAGTACGGAGTAGATGACGATCGACCGTCTACTCAACCCTACAGATCCCTTTTTGGAACGAGGGTCCATCTGCATGGGGAATCAGTTGTAAAACCGATGTAGGCATCATCATAATCAGCAATTGTAACGACTAAGGAAGGCATGGCGTGGCCGACAAAATATGCCGGGCATATTTTTACAGGACGGAGAGGGTAAGAGACCCCGTTTCTGCGAGCAGACATGTAACTACGGACGAGATGAAGTGATTTCTTGTCTACTGAAAACTTTTTAATGATCCGAAAGTCTTAGACATGAAGGGCACTATTCGCGTGTCTCTCCCTCTATCTCTCTCTCTCAGATTCAGACCCTGAGTGGCCCAAATTTCCCCTCCTTTGGAACCACACATATGGAGACGTCAACATGAATATTGTCACAGGGGAAATGTGAGTCCATCTATGCTTATGACTTCGTTTTTTCCTAGGAACATTTGTGACATTTGCCGAGGTGTCTGAGCTATCTCTTGCCACCGTATCAAGGCCATGTCGTGCTGGATTGGGCCTGTGGGTGCTGCCTCTTGCAGGGCAGATTGAATGAGGGAATGTGGCGAGAGGGGTACGTGTATTTTGGTATACTGGTGAGTTGGGAGCGTGACTAAGTTGTATCATAAAGACTGCTTTTGCTCATTGCACACGGAGCCCCGTAGGTTGCGTATGTGCTGGAAATGAAAAGTTGATTGGCTGCGAGCTAAAACCTGCGGGCGGTATTAGGACCATATCTGTTTCCAGTAAACATCGCGGAATATTGGTGTGGTACTGTGAGCAGCTGTCTGCTTGCCGGGCAGTTATCCCAGGCATCCGCAACGAAGGTGCATTCTGGGTGAGGTTGAATTGCTTCAGTGCCGGGAGACACGGCCATAACATCGAAGCATGGCTTTTCGGCTGGCAGACCCTGATAGCCCAGGGAGAAAGGGCCAGGAAACGGGCCTTGTTGCTCATCGATCCTGACATTCCGAGGATCAGTATCTCCAATGCCACGCATGTGCCGATCTTCCCATTGACCCAGTGGGGTCCAGAAGCCGTTCGACTCGCCATCTTTGTCGAAGTCGATATTGATGTCGTCGTTTGGAAGCTGTATCGCTTGCCTAGACAGCGGCTCCACTGCGGGGAGATGAAGAAGTTGATTGAGAGAATGATTGGTAAGTGATTCCCTTTGCTGACCATCTGGACCATTAAACATTTTTGAGGGTTCTGCAGCATTCTGTGATTCATTCTCTGGACAAGCGATGCACGTTTGGACTGCGTGGCTGGATATTTGCAACTCTTCGATCTGATGCTTCAATGCTTCTTTCTCTTGTTGCGTCCTTGTTAGCCTTTCTGTGGCCTCTTGCTCCATCTGCGCCTTTGATCGATGTAGCTGTTCCTTTTCCTTTTCAAGCCGCCGCAGTCGGCGTGTCAAGACTTCAGTAAGATTTTCCGAGCTTTTGGGATGACTGCAGAGATCACGTTCGTTTCTGCGAAGACAATTTGCACAAGGCCATTCAAAATCATCGCACTACGAGCGAATGGTCTTGGTTAGCTATACCTCCATCAGACCTTACAAGCAATTGGAAAATGGAGGTAAGTTCAAGACTTCCGAGAACGCATACTTTGACCTTTCTTCGACGGCACGCACTACAGGCTCCCTGCGATCCATTCATTCTTTTGGTATGCTTCTCCATGCTGCAAATCGCAAATCGCTCTGTGCCGCTTTCTGTCCTTAGACCTTCGCTACGGGGATAGCCTCAGCGACCGTCTTTAACGTCGGCCCGTGAAAGTGTTGCTTTTGATTTTCTGGGGGCTCTTATGTTGCAAGACTCATTCCGGCCGGATGGGTTAGGCACTGGTCAGGAAAGCGTCCGGCGAGGGAAGTATTGGGTAATGGTCTGGTGCACAATGGTCCCCCCCACATCGTCTCTGGTTGTTTAGCCTCAAATTCGAGGCTTTTCCATTGCTCAGAATGTTTCTTTTGGATTTGACTTTGGGAAATGCAGTGCCATTAGTCTTGATAACGTCCAATCAGTATGCTGGTATCGCGCATCATGAGACGCTCAAAAGTACAGCAAGCGTTAGGAGAGGCCTATGACTCGTTCGATTATCCATGGGATGTCGTGCAGCTGGAAGTTGTCATCCGCCCTCTTCGCGCTTGTCGGGGGATTGCCCTATTGTGTGGATGCTCTGCCGCTTTCTGCACCATGCATGTAACATAAGCAAGATATGGTGCCTACTACAGCAGTGAAGAGCAATCGTACCCAGCTGAATGCTGGCGTATTGTAGCAAGCAGGACCCACCGTGGGCATATCACAAGCCCAAAAACGTCATGGAATGGCCGTGGATGAGATGATGAGACGACTTTGAGTACATGTTCAAAAACAGTAGCAGGGATAAGTGCAGAGCGTGGAGACAACCCCGGCAAACAAGGCAACTGGTCTGATGATTCACACAGCTCTTAGAACGCAGGAACCCTTCCATGCAGAAACTTCTGAATGGAGAATGGTGTGTTGAAAACAAACATACATGACCAGCCGTAATGTGTTTGAGGTGACCAGTGGCCCTTTGTGTCAGGGAAGAAAGACAAGCGCACACAACAGATCAGCCACCAAAGCCAGCTCAGAAATTTGAGTCTTCAGCTTAGAGCACTGTTATTGTAAGACTGCATGTGCAGTATCACTCCCTGTTACGGGACTATCGCTATTGCCTAACTAATAGCTATTGTTACGGCACAGTCGCTATCGCTATTGCCTAGTACTACTACTAGTAGTAGCTGATAGCTAGCAACCTTGGCACCGCGTTAGTAGAGAGATCTGCTCAGTACTAGTAGCTATCTTTAGAGAATCTACACACTCTTGCCGCAGATCTTGAACAGCCCTCTATTGTGCTTCCAGCACACTCCCCAACACATGAAGAACCTGAAGTACCTGCGGGGATTTCCATCAAGCCCAAGCTCGTGTGGGCGGCTGGCCAAGCCTGCAGGACGGCGTTACCACTGGTGATCCCGAGCTTACTATGGTATGAGGCAGAAGTAGCCATAGCTCGGCACTAGTAGCAGCTAGTTCTGATACAGCGCCACATTGATGTCTAGAAGCTTCTTAGAAGATGACCCATAGTTATTGGTCATCGCAAAACCGCTTAGCTATTTGGGGCTTAGCTATACTCCTCCCTCCTTATCCGTGCCACCCATGTGCTCCGTGCATCTTCGAAACCTTGTAGCTAGGATAGTTGTTGGCGAGGCCCTCCGGCCAATCACGAGCAGTATAGAATGATGTTTAGGCGGGCCATCTCTACGTAGCATGCAGGATTCATAGCAGTCCCCAATCTTTGTTGGGGACTCAGGGTCAAATGCGGCACTGAATCTAGCAGTCTATAATGCAACCTTGATTGATCTTCTTGGAGGGACACAGAGGCCAGGAGGATACCATGGTACAACTGACCATGACCCAATACAGCAGTCAATCAAGTGCTCTATACTTGTTGCTTGGGTAAAGGAGGGGCAACCTCGCTCAGTAACTACAAGGCCAAGCGTTGCATGCAAGCCATTCACGCCATCTAGATCTCGACGCTCAAGCGTATGGCCCGGTCCAGAGCAAGCGAGAAAAAAAAGAAGTGTGTCTGCCAACGCTGCCGTGGCAGGGTCGGATGTCGCTCAGCACAATGAGTACTTGCGGCGAATCATCATTGTTCAACGCCTGGGCAACAAGTCAGGAGACTGCTCCTGACATTCGTTCGACCTCGTCCAGCCGACACCCCTGTACCTCAACAGGCCCAGTGAAGACCGGCGGCCCGGAAATGGCTAGCAGTAAGCTCCAGCGCCCAGCAACATGGAATTTGGCCAAGTATAGACGGCAGATCGGCCGAGACATCCTCCTTGCTGTTATGGGATGATCAAGTTGGGATAGCGCCAGAGATTTTGCTCAGCGTTGCTGCTGCTGTGGGCTATGCTTACCAGGCGAGATGGATGTCTTTGACGACTGTATATGGATTGGCTGTGTGGTTGTTTGCGAGTCACTCGGAGGTCCTACCGCTCTGACGAAAACCTTGTCTACTTCAGCATCCACGACTTCGATCTTAACCGGCAAGTATTGTCCTCTTGCGACAGACGTCTCCCACTTTTCCTCCGAGAGAAGAAGCTCTGCCCGCGCTTGGAAGGGGTGAAGATAGCCCGTGATACCAGTGCTTAAATTGTTCCTCGCGTTTTGCGCGATGGCCCCCATAACTTTGAAGTCCCACACCTCTGGTAGTTCGGCTTCCTTGAAATGGAACGCGCGAAAGAAAGCTTGGTGTAGGAAGTGAAGATCACATTGTCGGGCAGCATGCTTTAGCATGGGCAGTCTGGCGCGCATCTTTCCAATCATATCCTCCAACTCTTGCCTCGTAAACGGCAGATCCCTCAATGGATCCGCACTTTCGGGATCTTGGAACTTGTGGTTGATGGCTTGCAGATATGCTTGTATCTGCCATTGGTTCACAAGATCAGGATATCGACGAATGGGGCTGGTGACCCTGGTGTAGTGCCACATGTTGAGTGGCCAATGAGGCTGCGGTGTCACAGAGGTTCTTCCCTTCGGCTCCAGCCTGTAATCAGACTCTGACAGCTGATTCAGTTTTGAGACAGGGAACAGGGGATGTGGTGTCGCAGCAAGGTGGATAATAGGAATCTCCCTGTCCTTGCACCATTTGGCGGCAGATTCACCAGCCAATAACATAGCATGATCGACAAGAAGCATGAAATCGAAGTTCTCTTCAGTGCGTGGAAACCTATCCGCTTCAATTGCAATGATGGGATCTCCCTTCCAGTGTCTGATCTTGTGATTCAGTATTGGAAGAGCCTCCTCCCTAAGACTTGTCCAGACATCACTGCGTACCGCTATCTCCTTCCTTTTCAATTTCTCCTCTGCTGGCCAGTCGCTCTGACGTTTGTAGTAACGTGCATGCAAGAATTGGCGGATTCGGAGTAAATCTGGAAGAGCCTGCTTGAGTTTTTGCAAGTCCATTTCATCCTCCTCTTGAGCTGGTCTTGCCCCGCCAATCACCATGGTTGCCAGCTCTGTTCTTTTTTCCTCTAGGACATTTTGCACAGCGCTCGGCGTCAGCCTAATAACATTGTGAACAATACCTAGAGACATCTCGATGTCTGCGATGGACCCGTCAGCACGGAGTAGCGTGCTAATCGTCATGACTGGTCGATCATTCGCCGCTCCCAAGCTGGCTAGTTCCTGTGCAAAATTTGACGGCATCATACCGTATTTTCTACTAGGCGTATAGGTAGTGTGTAAAGCGTCCTTCGCCATAGTAGCGATAGGATGGTTTGGCGATATATAAGCTGCTGGATTAGCAATGTGAATATGAATCCAGGCGCAATCAGGCATGTTCCTAGCTGATTCAATGGAGATGCCATCGTCCAAGTCCTGGGCACTCTGGCTGTCAATACAATAGACAGACATCTGGCCCCAATCCTTTCGCGCATGTTGGACGGAATCCTGGAAAACACTCAGATCCTTACACGATGCTTCAGCCTTGGCCTTAAGTCTGTCTTGGTAAGGCCAGATGCCTAGTCCTGGTAGGCGGAGTTGGTAATTGTTCACTGCACGATTTGACCACGGGGAGATAACCCCAAGCTCCTGGAGGAGTAAGCGCGCTACCTTCCTTCCCAGAGTCAAATTCGGATAGGCACCAATGGCACGATATATGAGTGAACAGATTGATTTAGCTTCGGCTGGCACCAGAGGTGGCAGCATCTGCGAGGTTTCGAAGATGAAACGCATAATAAGCCTGTCATTCTTGGTAAGAGTCTCCCCAGTCTCAACTGGAGTTATAGTCACCCCGGCGCCGCTTTCGGCACTGGGCCCTAGCAGACCAATAGTAGTAGGCGAGCGAATCTTTCGACTCTTCAAAATAAGCCGATGCGCCTTGTTAATGAAAGCGCTCAGTGGATTGTTGCGCAGGTCTTCCTTGACGTCTTTGCCAAGTGCTGCCTTTGCAGCCGATTCCTGATACATTCTTGCCCAATCGACCACCTTTTTCCGCATCTGCACGTCTCTTCTTGATCGGACCCAAACCCCCAGCGTTTCTGCAGCATATTCGGATCTAAATATATCATGATTTGCTCGCGCCGCAAATCTGTCCAGCGCAAGCCGACCAGCAGTTGTCAGCTCACTATATGGGATACCAAACACCCGTGGCACCACATCCTCCACATCCCATTCCACCAAGTCTGTATCGTGTGCAAGCATTTCGTGCATCCCATCGAAAGCAGAAGCGTACCTACGTTGGAAAGCATCGATCTCTTGCTCGACCTGGGCAAGTTTGCTGACGATCGGTGCAGCTATGTCTATTGGCATGTCTCCGACAGAAGCAGCGTAGTCTGAGATGGCTTGCGTGTGGTCTTGTTGAAGCGCTGTATCGGGGAGATAAGGTATGATAGGTGCGAGATCATCCGAAGATGCAAAGTTTACTATCTTCCCGCTGTTCAAGCTGAAATTGGTAGCGACGTACCAATATCCTTTGGACGTGATGAATTGAGCCTGTATTTCAACCGACCGGACAAAAATGCACAAAGATTCAGATATACCGGCTGATCCGGGCCTGTGGAAGAGTCAGCATTTCGACGTGAGGCTTTCCAAAAGAGGAGCATACACAGGAAGATCCAAAAGGTCTCCTGGATTCAGGCGCGCGAGTGCTGCGGCCCAGTCATCCCGATATTCTCTAAGAGGATCAGGATCATGATCTATAAAATCTGCCCCAGCTACATCATCTTGGCTCTCTCCTGTAACAAGTGAATTTGGGGCTGGGATATGGATCTGGGTAGACAAATCCCCCGGAGGTTTCGAGTATTCTGGATCTGCAGATCCTGTACTGGTTGCTGAAGTGTCATTGTCCTTTCGCCACTGCCTTAGTCGTTGTCTGATGGATGGGACGGCCTCTTTATGCTGATTTGGCGAGACGTGGGATGGTTTATCCACAATGAAGAAGGCATTGTCAGACGCAGCGTTGGAATGGTTCTCGAGAGCGACGGCATCCTTTAGTACATGTTAGCACGCAAGTTTGTCTTGTACAAACGGCAGGCATACTTTGGAGGAGGTATGATACTCTTTCGATCTGCGGGAACCGAGATGCTGACCAGATGCATGTCCATCAGTTGCAAATCTTCGATCACCTAAGATTGCATAGGGACGCTCAGAAAGTGCTCTACGTTCTTCTTGTAGTAACCTTCGGCAATCGGCACAGACGAACGGTCTTCTCCTGGAGGATTCGCTTTCAAGAATGAGCCGGTAGTAGTTTCTCGATGCCGCAGCTTTCTGTAGAGGTCTCATCTTCCGGCTGATTAAAGTCTGCAACTACTAGACAACACTTAAATCAGAATTGAATTATCTGCGCGTCAGTCGTCCAGTGCCGCCAACACTTGCCACCGGAGACGATCACTTCGCCTATTCTACCCAAATGAAGCCACTTCTGGGACCACCAAAATCTGAGCCCACTAACTAGATTACTCCATCCTCCGTACGGAGTACTTGTTACATCCTCATAAATATGGGATAAGTGTCACCTTAGATTACTAAAATGCAGAAAAGGCCAGATATGGCTAGCAATCCAGTCTCCACGTTTACCATCCTCTACTTCGCTGCAGCCTCTACATACACCAACAAGTCCTCGGAACTCCTGCCCGCACCTCTACCACTTCGGTCACTATTCTCAACACTCGAATCGCGGTATCCTAACATCACAGCCAAAGTTCTCAAGAGCTGTGCTGTGACCATCAATTTAGAATATGTGGATTTAGACTTCGATAGCAACGGCAAGAGAGCATCAGATGGTGCTTCGAACAATGAAGACGGAGTTGTGATACAGGTGGGAGATGAAGTTGGTATCATCCCGCCTGTGAGCAGTGGATGAGCCTCACGGATGCGCCGCCTTCGCTTACGTTGTACTGAATGACGAGCGGACCAGTCTTGCAGCCAAGTGATAGTGGTGAATACTGGCTATCCAGAGCGCCACGACGCTCATTCCGGGACCAGGGATAAGCATCGATCAAGGACATAAACAAGAACCAAATCTTCTTGCAACGATAGTACCACCAACGGCATCTATTGTTAAACGCTCCATGTCCAGCACACGCCGTCGACACCATTGTCATCATTTATCTCAAGGATTCAAACATGAGAAAATAGAGACATAAAAGCATCACTCCGAGCTCCAGCAGAACAAGTCCAAATATTACCCTCAATTACTTCCTTGCTGCAGCTCGTGATCGTCAGACGACGGACAAATATGTATCTGCAGCAACCATACCATGATGCCAGCTTGGCAGATTCAGGTCCGATCGTGTTCCCAAGCATGAGATATCTCTCCATTGTTATATCACAACAGTCAGGCTGATCTGCTCCACGTCTTTATCTCATTGCTGGGAAGCCTTGAAGAACACGTCCCTTCCGCCTCAAAGCCAATACCAAGATATTCTGCTATCAGGCACCTGGGAATTCCAGTCATTGCGGTGTCTGTAACCACTGTTTCCTACCAGAACAGGAAGATATCCCATTCTGGTCAGAGCCACTTCGATGGAAATAGGTGGCGTCTCTGCAGAGGAGTGTATTAAAGACCTCACTTTGTTTATTTTGTGTAAGACACCTTGTGAGTATTCGTTTTTTGAAGACGCTAAATGCTAGAGCTCATTCAGCTAACGCCCATCGCTATGCCCAGTCGAATAGTATGTGCCAGATTTGCGAATGCAAGACTGCTCCAAGTCGGCAAACAACACCGAATTTGGCCAAAATATGTGCATTACTTCCTTCCATGTGACCTTCTTCCAGCCATAACCCGCCCATTCACTGGCCACCATCACGTCCCATACGCCCTCTCCCCATTCATCGTAACATCCGGCATCAAGCTCTCCCTCGCCCCCTCCGCCTCCACCTCCAACAATTGCCTCTGCATATTCCTACTCTTGCTATAGACATATATCACCAGCGCGCCACCCACCACGATCGCTACCCCCATCAATATCAAATTAACCGGTAGCGGGTTATTATGGAAAGCTTTGTGGGTTAAGGCGTCGAGGGGTGATTGTATGAAATTGAAGAGACCTGCCAGACAGATGATGAGGCCGTAGACTTTGCCGAAGGTTTGAAAGCCAAAGACTTTGGCGGAATAGTCGGATACAGCGGTATAATAGAAGGGGCGATATATCACTAGCAAGGTTCATCATTTGTTAAGATAAAGTAGATGATATTGCGGTGTGGAGGGGACGCTTTCTTGACTTACCGAAAAGGCAGATGTTTGCGATGGCTGCCCACATTTTCGGGATCACTCCAAGGATGCCGATGAGAGTGGCAGTCACGACCAGAGAGGCCAGAGCAAATGGGGTGCTTGTTTTATCCAGAATAGAGCCGATGAAGGGGATGCTGAGAACGCCACCGACGGGGAGTAAAACGTCAAAGATCTGGTTGACAGTCTTTGCTTCCTCATCGGAGTGCAGGAGGTACCTGTATTGCGGACGGACGGTTGCGACAAAATAGTTGATGCGTGTCATCTGTATGACGGTGAACATCGTGATGAGCCAGAACCATGGCGTCTTGATCTGTTCGAATGCCGAGTAACCATGAAGAGCTCCCCATACGCCGGATCTCTTGTTTTTCTTGTCTTCTCTTTTCGCTCGCTTACTGTTGGTAGAGGTTTCGAGAAGGGAGTTGATTTCGCTGATGACAGAATCCCGGCGCATGCGGTGCTCGCTTCTTCGTCGCTCTACTTCTGCGTTGTTTGCAACGGAGGAATCGTCTGGGGTTGGAGCATTGACCTCATCCTCGGCTAGTTTGACAATCTCCCCCACGGTTTTGTAGGACTGAGAAGGCATGGTGGTGAGTTGAACAACGAAGATAAAGATTGGGACAATGAGGTAGATGAGAAAAAGCTCCCGAGTAGTGACTCTTCCACCAGTGCCTTCGAAGATAAGGCGAAAAATGAGGAAGAGTGCAGAAGAGGAGTCAAATGCCCCGGTAAGAAGGGCTAAAACCAGCCCAGAGTGTGCTGGGAAGCAGTTTGATAGCTGGAACGATGAGATAAAGACAAAAGGCCCTCCTAAAGCCAGGAATAAATAGCCAGAAGTGTGGCTATCGAAGGGTAGATCTCGCCCGAAAGCGAAGAGAGCAGAGCCAATAGCCAACAGAATACTTCCAATGATGCCACAAGCACGAGGCCCGTAACGGTCGAGTATTGTGCCCACTGGTAATGCACAGACATTGGTAGAAACAGCCGCAATGGTAAACATGAGGTTTAATCTAGGTTAGGCCGTCAATTTGCGAGCTTCGAGATCGGGTTCTATTGCTGACCTGATTTCCTGTCCGTAGCATGGAGAAGTACCATCTTCGATTTCTTCCTTGGAACAGAGCTCAGAATATACTCCTTCATCTATCAAGACTGGTTTGATAGCAGCATAACCTGCATCCGCAAGCTTTGTATCAGTGGGAATACAAGATTGATACCATCGAGATCGAGGAAGCAGTTACCAAAGACCACGCCAGCGGAAAGCAGGCAGTACAAGACAGCAATTGCACATTGTAATAATCTTTTTCCTTTAGGTATCTCATCAAAAGTCCGAACTGGTTCTACATTCGATGTCTTCTTTGACATATCCGGAGCCCAATGGTCGACAGGATTGAAGCTCATACGTCGGTATGAAGTTGTGGTAGAATCATCACTGCGTTCGCGCTCCAAACCCTCGATCGATGCCACTCTGTTCAAGGACATGATGGATGAAAGAGGGCGAATCACGAGGAACAAATCTCCAAAGCTACACTCCTTCACATCCAATGATGACTTCAATGTCGAGGGCTCCTAGATCGGAGGGGTGGTCAGCGTGACCTCCCTGGCGGCTGACGGTGCGGGGGAAAACGGTGGTGAGGGGAAGGTAAGCAAAGCCTTTCAGGCGATGGGTAACTCCTTGAAGCAGGGAAACTGCAAGTCTAAAGCATTATGATAGTACTGATCAAAGGAGCAAAGATGGCCTCGCGATGTCAAGATCAGTAAGATATGGCAAGAGGGGAGAACTGTTGAACTGGAGTGATAAGAGATCTAACTAACTAATTATTAGTTAAGGCGTTGATCCGACGGCGCAACCTGTGCCCTGCTGCTACTAGTTAGCGGCAACAGCGGGCTCTATCTAATAATCTTATTCTTGGGAACCTTGCGGGATACAAAGCGGGGCACGACGTCCCTCTACTACCCTGACATTGATACAACTGGCTGCCAGGTAAATCGTCGTAGAAGAAGAAACTTTTCAGATACTCGAAAAGTTGTAAGCCTTGAAATATACACTTTGATTTGTAGTGTCATTACTATAGTAGAGATTTAACGGATTCTTAGAGACAACATCAATTTATAAATATAATAACGCTGTGTGGAGAAGTGCATTCGGGACCTATTCCAGGGGCAAGCAGATCTCCCGCCACAACACTAGTGCAGGTATAGAAGTATTCTGTCCCCTTTCTATATAGAATCTACAAATCTCCCCTGCCACTTACCATGGCAACATACTGCTTCTGCCCCGCCTATTTCCAACATGATGTATAACATGTCAGTGACAAAGCATTCTGTCAAGATTACCTTGTCCCCGCCTGTGCCAATCGCGCTGCCCTCCATTGCATCGATCATTATTCTTCTTCGCTGAATCGTCGTGATGGCTGGCATCTCTTCTTCCACATCTGGAGCATCTCTTAACCTTCGAAAGCTATACCTGATCTTTCTAATTGCACTTAGATGTAAGGTGATACAAGGAGGGATGGCGTTTTGTGGAACTCAGTTGCGATTTTAGTGAATGATGGTACACGACTAAATGCTTCTTGCGCAGTCTTTGCGGCGTTTCGAAGTCTCAATGTCTCACTGTTGATCCAAGGAACGGACCCCTTTTTCCGATACCATGGCACCTTGACGCCCATTCTCCGCGTCTTCATGACAAGTGAACTATCCTGTCGACGCGGTCGTGAAGGAGAGACCAATGCGTCAGCAATCTGATAGTGAGGTTTCGCCTCACCTGCCATACTGCGGGCGATCTGCTCCTCGCCTTTGGTATAACGTCTAGGTACGCTCGAAGGAGCCTTGATAATGTGCCTGTTAATCAAGAGTTGCCAACGCTATTGACATCGCTTTAGGTCTCTTGTGAACTCGTTGTCACCAGACAACGCAGAGAGCTGCTCCTGACTAGCCTTGATTTTTGCATTGATTAAGTCATGCCCGACACGCTTGAAAGGTCCAAGCAGGCACGACCAGAAAGCAACATGCTTCCCTTCAGTACTGTCGCAAGTATGGACAGTACTGGATTCATGTTGATGCTATATGGCCAGTTGGATAAAGGTCGACCATCATAAAATTCAAGAATAGTTCCTGTTGAGCCCAGGGCGGGTATGACAAATCCAGCCAAGTCCAGCTGTTAGAGATCAAGCTCTTCATTGATCGCCTATGAACATGTGGTGCGTCGAAAATATCAGATCTCTCCCTGGGTTTCACAGAGTAGATCCTGAATATAGATTTCGCTTCATTTTAGGTTGACAAGCCATCTGCAAATCAGAGCCCTAGAGTCAGCGAGCTTGTGGACCTGCTCTCCACAGCGTGAGTAACGCGCAACCTCGAGGAGGCAGATAGTCAATCGCAGGAAGACAATAACACGAGAGCCATTGTAAGACCACCACCTAGGGTGAGAGCTTTGGAAAATCCAAAGTCTTAGATAGCTGGCGTACAAGGAGGCTGAGGCAAGCATTTTGAACAGCGTTCGGAGACAGCGCAACCAGACGGTACAGCTGTTCCACTGGTACAGCTAGTGCCGATCAAACCTTTATCTAAAAAGGGATTTGTTTGTTGATGTCTTTCCTATTTAGGCGAAATTTCAAGATTATCATTTAGACTTGGCCCTTGGTTTCCTTGATTTGATCGGCGCTAGCTGTACCAGTGGAACAGCTGTACCGTCTGGTTGCGCTGTCTCCGAACGCTGATTTTGAACAAGGCTAAGCTCTCACAACACTGCCCTGTGCAGGGCTGTTTCATGTATGGAGGGTGCTCTTGGGCACGAATATGTTTTGGAGCTGAGGCTGAAATTCTAGTAACCAATGTCTTGGGAGACCGATGTCAGTGGACTTACCACGCGTGGATTCAGTACTTTTGTCGATTTCCTGGGTCTCAACGTTATTGGTCGTGGCATGCAAGTTTTCGTGGTGAAGAAAGCCCTCTGGCTCTTGCTCAGCACCTCTCTTTGGTGTTTGGTCCGTCGTCGGATGAGTGTCTTGGAATTTTCCAACAGATACTCGCCTAGCCACCTTATGATAGTCCTTTCTTTTTTTTGGGCTGTGAATGGAGCCCCTGTACGCTCGCTGCTCATTTCTGATCCAATTCCCTAACACACCCGAGGAAGAGAACAGCCATCTCTGATTGGCAAAGACAATTGGCAAGAACAGAGATCCTTACAGTAAAAGACGCCATCAGTGTTCCGCTCTCCGCTGTCAAACAATGCCACTCGGTCGGAACCTGCAGTCCAATCATATTGACTGTTCGTCATGAGAAGAGGCATGCTCTTCAATTGATCTGCGGCGCGGCGCTTTGGCTAAAATTGGACTTTGGGTGCACGGACCTTCGGCGAAGCGCCCGAGGACAACAGGCCTCGACAGGGCGTTTCATTCCACAAAGAGAGAAATTCTTCAGAGTATCCGAAACATGGAAGCATCTAGCTTGTCTTGCGATCTCTACTTGAATAGCAGAGAATACGGTCTCACAATCGCATTGGTCAATCTAGTTGGCCATGGAAGTTTGACAAAGCACTCGCAGCGTTTCGAGGGTACTGTTATTCCAGTATCTTCCTCACGGTGGAGAAGCTATAAAGATGAGTCTACTGCCATTATTGACAATTCTATTCGTAATTTTTCCAGAGCTCCAAACAAAATCTGTCCTTTTGATCTGTTTCTTATTAGACTTTCTTTTCAAGCGTGTCAGTTAGCTGCTTCTGTGAGGGAGGCTTGGATCATTCCTTTTCACCTCTTGCATTGAGAAATCCCTGTTGCCGTCCCAGCTCATAGCATCCCTCGATTACCTCGCATACCCGGGAAAAAACCCTGTTCCTTTCCTTGCGCCCGAAGTCAAATTCAAGATGGCCGGTCCCGATTTCGGTGCACTTGGGGCAACCTTCAAAATCTGCCGAGTTTTGCAAGCCATGTCATTGATCGCTGTCATCGGCATGACTGCCAATTTTGTGTCCGAGATAGTTTCGGCCAAAACAGCCCCCCCTGCCGTTCTGGTTGGCACTCTTAGTGTGGTGAGTCTCGTTCAATCATTCCGACAATATCTCCGTCGCTTACAAAACCTCCAACAGACAAGCGTGGCTGTGATATACTGTGTTATCACATTCATCCTCTTCATGGATGGCATCCTTCCTTTCCTGATCAACACGGTACTGGACAGTCTACTACTGATTGCGGTAATTGTCGTGGCTGTCACTGTTGGCAAGCCCCTTTCATATCTTGATTGCAACGTGATCGGACAAGTCTCAGGTGCTTCCTCATCTGCGTACGCTTTCACAGCAGCGCTTGGAAACAGTCTCGATCAGGATGGTGGAAAGATTGATTACAACCATTGGATTGGCGGTACAAAAAGTACATGTTTGGAGATGAAGTCGATCTGGGGTCTAAGCATTGCCCTCTGGTACGCTTGAGATTGTGGGCTACCAATGAGAACCTACTGATGTTCGAGCAGCATTCTTTTCGCCTTCTCTGCCATCTGCAGTACGTGTCTATGGCGCCGCGGGAAGCAAACCGCGCCAAAGGAAGTTGAAGGATAAGCCGAGACCAGCAGTACGCCGCAGCATATCTGGCCGTGTGTTTTATCTTCCAAGCTAGAAGCACAAAAGCTACAACAACAGAGTGGTCAGCATCGGGAGGGGCATTGGCTTCGGCGCAGAGAGCACAAGGATTGATCACGAAGTGGCTGCATAATGGAAGTAATAGTCGCAGAAAGAGGTACTCATTCGAGCTGTGCTTAGCTCGGCATTAAATTAGAGTAGACATCTACCATGTAATCCTCAAAGATGTATCTTCTGCTTCAAAATCGGTCGTGCTCTAATTTGCTGGACGAAATCAGCTGCAGCCTCAGGCTGATGAGCTGGCGTTCAAACCTATTTTACTACGTAGTCCTGCAGCGCAGATCGCTCAGTGACCAACCAGTCAGAAAACAGATTATCTTGTCCGTACAATTTCTACCAACCAACTTCAGGGTGATCGACAAGAGAGTTCCAGAAGTATGGTCCCCCGGCCGATGACTCGTACATTAGTTCGGTCCCGCGATCCGTACAGGCGGTAAGCTCGGCCCTTAGGCTAAATCGACCACTTGTAGCCCCTGCATGGCTCGAGAACGGCTTCAGAACGGGCTTAATCTTGTGGTTTGTTCTCCATTGTGTACGATTGCCAAAAAGCCATAGGCAGAATGCTATAAATGCAGCTTTTAGGGTTCGATGGTCGATTCACTCGACCAGTTGCATGTGGCTCGAATGAGTACGTGGGAAGATACCCCCGTGGTCATTTTAGAAAAGTTGGCTCAGACACGTCAACCCCAGCATACGCTGACATCCCGATATCATGCCAGTTCACCGCCCCACCTTGATGGTGCCCAAAGCTGGCCTCAGAAGGTTCAAGCCATTCATTACCACATTATTTCCCTCCTGACTGGCCTCTCAAGGTTCTCATTGCCCGTTGCATATTGCCTTCCGCCTTCCGCCTTTTGCGGGCATCTTTAGCTAGTCCCTAGTTAGAGAACCTCAATTAATCACACCAGTATCTCCTCCGTACATCAGTCGAGAGCTTTGAATCAAACCAGTGAACATGAGTTACGCTTTATAAGAGATGTCAACGCCACATCGCATTCCAGTTGACGAAACCCCGCGAGATAACACGGGATATGACTCTGATGAGGGAGCTGAATCGAGCCGAAGTCTGGCTTCATCATCTGATATTTACCGATACGAAAATGGTCGTCGATATCATACTTTCCGGGATGGTTCGTACTGGGCGCCAAATGATCAGATGAATTCCTATCACGAGAAGATATTTCATCATATTATGCTCCTCACACTTAATGACAAACTTTATCTAGCACCCATCGAAACTCCTAAACATGTCATTGACCTTGGGACTGGCGCTGGTAGGTGGGCAATCGACTTTGCAGACCATCACGAAGATGCTGAAGTGCTTGGAGTTGATTTGTCGATTGTCGAATACACCGGGCATCCCAATTTACGATTTATTGTTGACGACATTTGTTCGGAGTGGACTCATAATACAAAGTTTGACTTTGTGCATGTGAGAGCACTCTATGGAAGTATAGCAGATTGGCCTTCACTCTATAAGCAATGCTTTGAGTGAGTCTCTCAAGCTAGCTTCAATGTGTGAGCTAATCGACGACGTAGCAACATGGCCTCTGGCGGTTATATTGAGCATGTTGAACTAGATATCCAGCCCAAGTCAGAGGACGGCACCTTGCCTCCAGACAGCATCCTATTTCAATGGAATGCCGTTGGTCGAGCATGGGCCCAAGCAACTGGCAAGACGTTCTTTGTGGCGACTGAGGTCAAACAGCAGATTGCTGATGCTGGATTTGTTGATGTTGTTGAGGAGATCTTCAAGCTGCCGTTGGGACAATGGAGTAGTGATGAACGCTTCAAGGAGCTGGGAAAGTACTATCAACAATTCTGGCGAGAAGGTATGGAGGGCTGGGTAATGGCCATTGCGACAAGATACCTTGGGGCAAGTCTTGTTCTCCGAAGCTAGCCAACCGCGTCGTTGCTGAATGTTTTCAGTGGTCAATGGAGCAGGTCAAATCGTTCCTCCTCGAGACAAGGAAAGCCATTGAAATTCCAACGCAACATGTATACTATGACATGTGAGTATCCCCCATCCTGCTATCAAATGAGTCGTCTCATCCTTGTCTAGTGTTTTGGTATACGCGAAGAAGCCTTGAGAAGAGTATGACGTTGCCTGCTCTTATCTGACCAGTACTGACCACTCGTGTTGTCCACAAACTCAACCTGGTCTCCTGCTCAGGAAACGGAGGAGATGCCGAAAGTGGTGGTGGCTGAGCATGCAGGAGATGTTCCTTCTCTGTCCAACTTCAGACTTGTGCATCAAGCAACAGCCTTTCCTTGCAATGGTAATAACCCAAAAATGGACTCTCTTGTGTCCGAAGGAGGGCTGGTTCTAGTCTAGCAGGCCACTATGCTAGTACCGATGGCCAGCAACAAAAATACACGAGTTGCCTAGTCCGAGTAAACCGTTTCCGGACAGCAAATCAGGTACTAGTCTACTGAAGAAAGACCAAGGAGTATTGCCTTTCCACGCTCCTATTAGGGAAGCTTCCCACGCTCTTCTTCAGCATTACGGGTTCTGTGCGTCATTGCTTGCCACCAGTCGCATGCGATCCTCTTCTAATTCTAGAGGATATGTAAGTGCAAGCACTAATTATGCTTCCAAATACTTCCTCGAATCCTCAGGTCTAAGCAGCGGCCCCATCCGCAAATACGAACAGGCTAGCTCAGCTGGAGGTTTGTAATCATTCTGGGAGCCCAATCTCTGTCTCAAAGGGGGACCTTTGGTGTCCTCAAGGTTGGGGTAAAAGCTTGGGTTCCTAATGGTTTCTGTGCGCAAGCTGTCGGGGAGAGAAAGATGTTGATACATGCATTTTTAGCAGTGTATTAGTATAGAGTATCTGGTGCAGTGGTGTCGGCCTTTGGTTCCTCCGCCCCGCATTTCCAAATGCTCAGGCCTCGATCCACCTTGACCATGCTCTAAGCATGAGGGTATTATGTGTTCCTTCTGCAGCCACTTCCCAGCACGGGGGCATAGAGCGGCGCACGCGCTCACGCGCCGCCGCCACGTTCACTGATGACAGAAGATTGCATGAACGAGAAAGGATAAAAAGACCAGATTAAGGAAATATGACACCACCGCAGACACCTTCCAAATCCATGCCCACCCCCGCGATGACATACCACGTCCTATCCACCGTTTCCATTTGAAGACATAAAACTCTTCTCATATCGCGCTGAACACTTCCAGTTTTTTATTCTTCTATTTTCCCCTTTAAACATACAAGTTCAAGCACATAGCTAAGAATCGCACGAATTCTCCTTTTAGAATGACAGCCTACAAAGGTCAATGCCACTGCGGCCAGACTACGTGGACCGCCGAAATCTCCGACGAGAAGCATGTCCTCTGGTCAGTCTTCTGCTAGCTCAGCTCTAAAACACCTTGGAAGGTTGTCAAATGTCTCTTTGTTGACCTCAACTATCTAGTCATTGTACCGCTTGCAAAGTCCTGGGTGGTGGCGAATTCACACTGAACCAAATCATCCCCAAGGAGAACTTCAAACTTACTGGAGGCGATCTGAAGCAGTACACCTATAGGGGAGATTCTGGTATGATCCGCAGTCCTTTCCCATCCCTAGACACAACAACAATCCACACCTACTGACGTCTCTTTCCTCTTCAAGGCAACTCAGTAGATTGTTTCTACTGTCCCAACTGCACATCCCACCCTTATCATCACCAGCATACCATGGGTAACAATATTGTCATCCGCACATCCCTCTTGAAAGATACCGAGAAGTGGGGCAAGCCAGCTGCAGAGATTTATAGCGTCCAGAAATGGAGCTGGCAGCCGCAGACGGCGGATAACATCTTTGATACTACGCCACCGTCCTAGATTGAACGCAGTGGGTGTCATTGCACGGTTCGAGGGGATGACGTGCAAGATACGGGGTAAGGTATAAGGAAGGGGGAGGGGGAAAGGGGGCGGTGGTGGAGATATGTGCCATAAGGTGGCGGATGCAATGTTCAGAGGGCTGGGGGGCTGATCCGAGATTGAGGATATGAAGTATATGATGGATATGATGATTTGTATTAATGATGATTGAATTTTCAGCTCACAATTTCCCAACCTATCCTGCTTCGGCTGGAAAGAGTTATTTAGCCATATTCAGGACATCGGACCTGGGTTGGAATGTCTGCCACACTTGTTTTTGTGCGGTAATAGCTGTCTCATATACATACATGCCTCAGCGAGATTACATATCATACACATTCGAATGTCCATCACACCCTTCTCTTGTTGCGCCCAAAGCTGACATCCAACTCCCTTGCTCTGTATTTGTCTCCTCCATCCACTCTCGAAGCCCGTAGTAATCTTTGCTACCCAGATGCATCTTGCCGCCTTAAAAGCCTGGTAATAGCACCTCGGAGAAACTCGATGAGAAGAACGCCACTGCTCCCTGTAGTATAGAAACAGAATCAGCATTCAAATCCAGAAGTAAAAGCTCTCTGTGTACAGCCCTGCTATCACACTCTGCATCCTCGATGATATTGAGGCCAGAAACTCCCTTGTAAATCTTGCATCCTCCCTCTTCCCACATGAAAATCACTACGGATTGCAGAGGAAAAGAGAGGCACTTACACCAAACATCAGCACACTGCGCACCACACTGGCATTATCCGGCGAGGTGAGTTCCCGGTACGCGGCGGTGAAGTAATTTGAGGACTTTTGCGATGACGAGGGTGTAGCGGATTGGCGCTGGACGCGGATAGGTTTGGGTGGCATTTTGAGACGGCCAAAGTGATGTTGTTCGTTGAATAAGTGTAGTGATGCCACGAGATGGGTGATGCGGCTGGATCACTGTATTGAATAGTGATGAAGAAAACTGGGGAAAGGAAATTCAGGGCTTGGCGTGATGCTCTGTCCCGGCCCAGCTCTTATGGAGCTTCAAGCTTCTAACCATAAAATTTTGTAATACTCCACTTCTGTCGAAGCAGCCACCATGAGTTGATTCATCTTATTCTCGTATAGCGACCAAAAATACATTTATCATGGCATCCATCGACGACCTCTTCCGCAAGTCCACCACCACCACCTCCTCCTCCATCTCCATCACCAACAAACGTAAATTCCCTGACCATACACTATCTCCCACATATAAATCCGCCAAAATCAGCGCAAATGGCACTCCCCACACATCTACGATTGAAGACGGCGATGATGCCCACATCGAAGCCGGTCCCTCCTTACCACCTACCGAGACGGACAACGCCGCGGAAGAAGAAGATGATGAAGAGGGACGATTCTTCGGCAGTGGCGTAAGCGCTGACACGAGGCAGGCGTTAGATTATGTCGAGGGGGCTATGGATGGGGAGCTGGGAGCTGGGGAAGAGGAGGTAATTGATGCGGCCTGGTTGAGGCGCATGGCGGTGGGATTTGAGAAGAGGATTACCAGGAATGCGGAGTTGAGAGCTAGGTTTGAGGCGGAACCGGAGAAGTATGTGGGTTTGCTCCTCTCTTGCTATCTATGCTTTCGCTACTGGACTAGGGCGATTAAGTGTACAATTGATTATGGAGCTGTGGCTGATTTTGTGGTTCTGGCTGCAGGTTTATGACATCTGAAGCAGATCTCGATGCCGACATCAAGGGTTTATCTATTCTATCTGAACACTCTGAACTCTACGCCGAGTTCGCCAAGTTGGGATGCGTGGGGAGTTTGGTCGCGTTGCTGGCGCATGAGAATACTGATATTGCTATTGACGCGATTGAAGTGCTTGGAGAGTTGACGGATGAGGATGTCGAAGCCGATGAGACACAATGGAGGGCCTTGGTCGACGCAATGCTTGATGCTGGTGTGGTTGAGCTGTTGACGCAGAATCTGGGGAGGCTGGATGAAGATATCGAAAGTGATCGCGCAGGCGTGTATCACATTCTAGCTGTAGTTGAAAATTTGAGTAGTCAAGAGAGCATTGTGGAGGATATAGCTGTCGGAAATGATGGCTTATTGAGGTGGTTGCTGGGAAGAATAGGGCAGAAAGAGAAGAGGGTAGGGCAGAATATGCGGTATGCAGCAGAAGTGCTGGCAATTCTGCTACAATCGAGCCCGAAGACCAGGAGGAGATTTGCGGAGATGGACGGGCTGGATGCGCTACTCCAAATCCTAAGTGCATATCGGAAAAAGGATCCGGAGAAAGATTCCGACGAAGAAGAATACGTTGAAAACCTTTTCGATTGCCTCGTCTGCCTGGTAGATGAGTCGACGGGGAAGGGGAAGTTTACAGAGGCAGAGGGTGTTGAACTGTGCTTGATTATGCTACGGGAGGGCAAAATGAGCAAGAGTCGAGCATTGCGGGTGCTTGATCATGCCATGGGTGGCTCGGCAGGAGGAGGAGTCTGTGAAGGATTTGTCGAAGCTTCTGGCTTGAAGACGATTTTTGGGATGTTCATGAAGAAACAGGAAAGAGAAGCTATCGAGCATCTGCTGGGCATCTTCTCGAGTCTCCTACGACTGCTTCCCGGTCAATCCGCCAGCAGGGTTAGGACCTTAGCCAAGTTCATGGAGAAAGATTTCGAGAAGATCCAGAAACTGGTAGACCTCCGGCAAGGGTATACTGCAAGGATGACTGTCGTGGGGAAAGCAATCAGAATGGAGGGAGAGCAGCTCAATCCAGAGGAACGGGCTGCAATGGCCGACGAATGGCTTTCTCGACGACTGGATGCAGGGCTCTTCTCGCTACAGACTGTGGATGTCATACTCTCATGGCTGATCGCGGAAGATGATGGTGCTAGAAGCAGAGTAGAGAAGCTTCTAAAAGGAAGAGACGAGAGCTTCGAGAACCTGAAGCAGAGCTTAAGGGAGCAGCTTGACGGTATTGACGCTGAGCAGAGCAGCGAGCAGGCCGAGGCCAAAGACATGCTTGGCACCTTACTACAGTGCTTATGAAGATACTACTTAGTACATTCATCATTCCCTGTTGTGCTACTGTGCTACGCGGTCATTGCTTGTAACATGCGGCATTCAAGTTGCAAGAGTCCTCGATGGCTGAGGATTCACAAAGCACCGTCTCTCGCCAAGCTGAACTTCCAGTCACTTACAAGTTACTGTAGTAGTTAGTACTTAGTACTCAGTCAAACGGTCAGTAGGTGTCACGTGACATAATTGCGGACCCCGCTAGTCATCTAGGGGCGAGGCGGCTCTGCGTTGACTTGAAATATTCCTCACTCGCCCATCGAGATCTCGAGTCAGACATCTACCCTTACAACAATCCGCAGCCGCTTCAAACCTCCTGTTAGTGGCGCCACGAAGAGCTCTGAGGTCTTTGCTGATTTCTTGGAGCCTGGGAGCAGTACGAGCAGCCGGTGCCTGAGATATCGTTTCGCCTCCCTTGGACTGCGCGCCTGCCCCGGTCCTCTGATCAACTTCACCCGCGTCTTATTGTGTCAAGGAATCTGCCCGCCATGGCGGAATACGACGACATGAAATACACGAACGGCTACTATGAAGATCAGAACGGCTTTGAAGAGGAAGAAGAGGAGGATCAGACGATTCAATCCGAAGACTGCTGGAAAGTCATCGGCTCCTTCTTCGCCAGCAAAGGTCTTGTGTCGCAGCAAATTGAATCTTTCAACGAGTTTATGCGAAGCACCATGCAGGATCTCATCAACGAGCAAGGGTCAATTACACTCGACCAAGCTGTGCCATCTTATGATGACGAACCGAACCCGGTGGTGGTCAAGAGGCATGAAGTCAAATTTGGCAATATCTCGCTCAGCAGTCCAAACATGACCGAGGGCGACGGGACCACGACGGATATGCTTCCGCATGAAGCGCGACTCAGAAGCCTGACTTATTCGAGCGCGGTGTATCTTAACATGCAGCGCAAACTATATGCAGCTAAAGAAGCACCATGGGACAACCAAGGCGAAGATCAAGCGGCAGTAGGTGCTGATGGACTAGAGTTGTATTGGCAAGAGGAAGATCTGGGCGAAGCGGGAGAGCCGATGGATGTCTTCCTTGGAAAAATCCCTATTATGCTGAAAAGTGCCACCTGCCACCTGTTAAACAAAGAGAGGTTCCCAACCGAGCGAGATCTACACGCCTGGGGAGAATGTCCATACGACCAAGGAGGTTACTTCATTATCAATGGAAGCGAAAAGGTTCTGATTGCGCAGGAGAGAAGTGCGGGCAACATTGTCCAGGTTTTCAAAAAAGCAGCACCCAGTCCCTTTACCCATATCGCGGAGATCAGGAGTGCTGTTGAGAGAGGCTCGAGAATCATCTCTCTATGCACGGTAAAGCTCTACAAACAGGTTGATGGTCCCGAATCAACAAAAATTCCCAACCCTATCCGCGTACAATTACCATACGTTAAGCAAGACATCCCGTTAGTCGTTGTCTTTCGGGCGCTCGATATCGTTTCCGATGCGGACATTATGGAGAAGATATGCTTTGACCAAAGTGACAAAGAGATGATGGATCTGCTAATGGGCTCGCTTCAAGAGGGCCAGCCGATTCAAGGTTCCGATACGGCAAGAGACTATATTGCTCGACGTGGCAATAACCCAACCCTGAAACATGCTGAACGTCAGAAACACGCTACCGATATTCTGCAAAAGGAGTTCTTGCCACACATTGGTCAAGATCCGTCAAGTGGCAGTCAGTCGCGAAAAGCCTTCTTCCTTGGTTACATGGTAAACCGAATGCTGAAGTGTGCCCTTGGGCGATCGGAGCCAGATGATCGAGACCATTTGGGAAAGAAACGACTCGATCTTGCCGGCCCGTTAATGGCAAGCCTCTTCCGCGCGCAATTCCAGAAAGTTACCAAAGATTTCTATAGATACATGCAAAAGCAGGTCGAGTCTGATAGAGAGATCAATATGAAAGTTGGTTTGAAGTCGAATATCGTCACAAACGGACTCAAATATTCGCTGGCAACGGGCAACTGGGGTGACCAGAAAAAAGTGAACCAGGCCAAGGCAGGTGTCTCTCAAGTGCTGAGTAGATACACCTTTGCTTCGGCCTTGTCGCATCTGCGTCGGACGAATGCCCCCATTGGTCGTGACGGCAAAATTGCAAAGCCTCGACAACTGCACAACACCCATTGGGGTTATGTTTGTCCTGCTGAAACACCCGAAGGTCAGGCCTGCGGTTTGGTGAAGAACCTTGCATTGATGACAATGGTCACCAATTCTCACAATACTGCACCTCTACAGGATTATATCATGGATCAGGGTGTCGAACCGTTGGAGGATTGGGAGCCAAGACTGAGTCCACAAGCCACCAAAGTCTTTCTGAATGGCGTCTGGTTCGCTGTCGTCATCAAGGATCCCAAACATCTTGTTGACCAGTTCAAGAAGTTGCGCAGGACAGGGTACCTTGATCCACAGATCAGCATGGTCTGGGATATTCGAGATAAGGAGTTCAAGATCTCAGGTGATGCTGGGAGAATAATTCGTCCTCTCTTCGTTGTAGAGACAGACCCAGCGCTCGAGAACAATGGTAATCTTGTCCTCACTAAATATCACATTCAGAGACTTGACAACACTGCGGTCCACACTGAAGCTCAACTTGCTATCGAGGAATGGCCCGAGCCACCTTTTGGATGGAAAGATCTCCTCAAGGAGGGAGTAGTCGAGTATCTCGACGCCGAGGAAGAGGAGACCGCAATGATCATCATGACTCCAGAAGATCTCTACACCTCCAAAGCCAAACACAATGGCTATACTACCGAAGAGACAGACGATCCTCTGGCTCGATATGATCCTCTTCTCAACCCACATGCGCACACCTTCACGCACTGTGAAATCCATCCTAGCATGATCCTTGGTGTATGTGCAAGCATCATTCCTTTCCCTGATCACAATCAGTCTCCCCGTAATACCTACCAGTCCGCCATGGGCAAGCAAGCTATGGGTGTTTTCTTGACCAACTTCGATCAGCGCATGGAGACCATGTCCAACATCCTCTACTATCCACAAAAGCCTCTGGCTAGAACGATGTCTATGGAGTATTTGAAGTTTCGAGAATTGCCTGCGGGCCAGAATGCCATCGTCGCCATCGCTTGCTATTCCGGATACAATCAGGAAGACTCGGTTATCATGAACCAGAGCAGCATCGATCGTGGTCTCTTCCGAAGCTTGTTCTACAGAACCTATCAGGAATCAGAGAAGGTGGTCGGACACAACATTGTCGAGCAATTTGAGAAGCCAACCAGAAGTGACACTCTACGCATGAAGCATGGCACCTATGATAAGATTGATGTTGATGGCCTCATCGAGGTTGGTCAACGAGTGTCTGGCGAAGACATTATTATTGGCAAGACGGCACCAATGGCTCCAGATGCTGAGGAGCTGGGACAGAGACAGAAGCAACACCTCAAACGCGATGTATCAACGCCTCTTCGAAGTACCGAGAGTGGAATTGTAGATCAAGTACTGGTGACGACGTCAGGCGACGGACAGAAGTTCGTCAAAGTGCGGGTGAGAACCACCAAGATTCCCCAGATCGGTGACAAATTTGCCTCTCGCCATGGTCAAAAAGGTACAATTGGTATCACCTATCGACAAGAGGATATGCCGTTTACCAGAGAGGGCGTTGTTCCCGATCTCATCATCAATCCACATGCCATTCCTTCTCGAATGACGATTGCCCACTTGATTGAATGCCAGCTCAGTAAGGTGGCTACACTACGTGGCGACGAAGGTGATGCAACACCATTTACCAAGGTCACTGTTACCAATGTCTCCAACATCCTTAGATCCATGGGCTATCAATCTCGAGGTTTCGAGGTCATGTACAATGGTCATACGGGACGGAAACTCGTCGCTCAAGTCTTCCTCGGACCGACCTACTATCAACGACTGAGACATATGGTTGACGACAAGATTCACTCCCGAGCTCGAGGCCCCACTCAAATTCTGACGCGACAGCCTGTGGAAGGTCGAGCCAGAGACGGTGGGCTTCGGTTCGGAGAAATGGAACGTGATTGCATGATTGCACATGGAGCGAGCAGTTTCTTGAAAGAGCGTCTCTTTGACGTTAGCGACCCGTTTAGAGTCCACGTGTGTGACATCTGTGGGCTCATGACACCCATTGCGTAAGTTCAGACCATGACCTCTTTTGCTAATGGACCTGCTGACAAATTGACAGCAAACTCAAGAAGAATTCTTTTGAGTGCAAGGCTTGCAATAACAAGAACAAGATTTCGCAGATTCACATTCCCTATGCAGCTAAGCTTCTCTTCCAGGAGCTAGCTTCAATGAATATCGCTGCGAGATTGTACACTAAGAGAGCTGACGAGCGATGAGGAGTTGTATCAGTTGAGGCGCTTGCATCGAGATCTTGTTCCTCAACCGTCTTTCTTTCTAGCGTCTTTTGGCTCGGCTGGGCTTCAGCCAGCCATTTTGTGGGGACAGCATATGGATTTGGCGTTGGAAAGAAACGGTCTCTTTCTATTTCGCGTTCTAGGAGTATCTAGGAGTTCAAGAGCCGCCAGCCTGACAGGACGGATAGCGGAAAGGCATGTCTTTGCAGCCATTGGCTGTCTAAATATCGGCAATTTCAGTCACAGCCAGAGCCGACCATCTCGGAGAAGAAGCATGTAAATTAATGGGAGCCATAGCCTCGCTTAAGTGCAGGATAATACGGAGTACTGCTACCAAATTCTCAACCTGTTCCTGCTTGATCACAATCTTCAGAGGGATACAGAGGCACAGTGGCATACCCATCACTTGGCCATGACCACAGAAAATTGCGAATTTATCACATGAAAGTTGACGATTAAGGCACGAACGATGGCTTGCTCTCCGGAACAGGAAGAGTAATAGACTACTTCTCCACTTCTCCTGGCGTGTAGCCGCCGGCCATGGGTCGGGGCGTGGTGGTGATAATCCAGATCCTTCTTGTTGCTGCTGATTCGAGAGAACAAGTCCCAGTGAGATGGATCATGGGCTTGATCACGAGTCCAAGAGTCACCGCCAGAAGCGTCATTGGAGAAGCTTAGATTTATGTCATGGTGATGTAGATACGCTTTGCCCATAGCATCGACCATTGGTGATTGGAAGTTTGTTAAGGGGGCCAAAATATAACTCACGTAGGGGTGAGGTTGAGCTGCGGGTGACCCTCCATCATGCAGAAGCAATGATTGGCCAAATGCAGGCGCTGTGGTCTGTCTCTCATCACCAACGAATCACAGCCTTGAGTGCCAGCAAAGTTCGACCTCTTAACCGCCCGCACTGGGATCACTGCATTCGTATTCTGGTGGGCTGGATGTCTTGCACACTGGTTCATGCACAAACAAGCACACCGACTGGTTCGATTGTTTTCAAGCAGGCAAAGCATGTTTTCGCTGATCACCATGCATTGAGCGGCGTCCCAAGGCTGCCGGCCTCCTCCTCTTTCCCCTTTATAGGGCTCACCCTCAGCCAGTTCCCATCTTCCTCTCTTCAGCAAGCAAGTCCTTTCCAACTGTGCGTGAGCTATCCAGGAGTGTGGATTCTTAGTCTGTCAAAAGTCCCTGGTGGACTCAATTTTTACGCCTGTTATCATCGCTGAACCTCTTTGCGCCATCAACTACTTGCAAAAATCATCATCATTGCAGAGAGCTGTGCTCTTGCCTTCAGCATATTTGCGCTTGACAGACTCATAATATTTGCATCCTTAATACACTCAGACAGTAGAGATTGTCGCCGGTCGGCCTTCTCGAATAGCTCTACCTACTTGCTTCGCACGCTTTCTTGCCTCGTGGTTGCCTTCTTTGCAGCACCGCATGGTCTTTTTATTTGCTTTACCTTGCCTATAATATTCCTTCTCAGCTCAACGTCGAATCTCGACACCCCTTGGTGCTTTGATCGCATTACGAGTTCTACCTCGTACGGAACTTTCCATCGACGTCGATTCCTCCGGCTACCTCGAAACGCGACAAACCTTTGCACTTAAAGCCTATTGGCTTACACAAAGCACCAGATCACCACACTTGAGCTTGAGCTCAGGCTCTCAGTTTCTTGAGCTCGTTAACCATCACCCGGTTTCTGAGACCTGTTTTCTACCAATACTTTTAATTATCATCCGCTGCTCATCTGAAGCAGCCTTAATCACAACGATCAATACCATCAGCAATCATCATCTCCCATCATCTCCACCAACATGTCTGGACCTGCCGTTCAATTGTCCTTCACACTTCGCACCTCTCCCAACGTCAAAACTGTTCATTTAGTGGGATCCTGGGATGGTTACAAGAACCAATTACCTCTTTCCGTTGTCCGTGAAGCCAAGCCTGGGTCATGGAAAGGCACCTTCCGCTTTCAAGGCTCTCATGCTTTGAAGCTCGGATCCAGGTATTGGTATTACTACATCGTCGATGGCTATCACGTTTCCCACGATCCGGCCAAGGATTACACCACTGAGCCGACGACTGGTCGCAAGTTGAACGTTCTGGATGTTCCGGACGGCAAAAGCGCCCCGAGCACGCCTTATGGCACAAAAGCGCCAGCCTCAAACCGGTACAGTCGCGAGATCCCGAAAGGACGAGCTTTGAGTCCGGGCAAGATTCAGCACCCACGTCCCAGCAAGCCTTACGCTAGCCGACAACTCCGAGAGGCGGACTACAGCACTTCTCCAGTTGCCACCGATGACCTTGCCGATCGTTTTGCGGGGACGAAAATATCAGACAATGGCTACAGCTATCCTTCGTCACCGGCCAGCACACTCAGCTCGAGTTCGGGTGCGACATTCAGCGACAGCGGCAGTGGGGGCTCAAGCCCCAGCTCATTCAGCAGTGTGTCTAGTACTTGCACATGCGAGCGTTACGGCATCACTCGGTCTGGGCAAAAAGTCAAACTCGACTGTGGAGGCAGCAGGTGCGGCTACACTTCTGGTAGTGCAAGTGATTGTTCCTCGGAGACTTCGAGTGAAAGCGAGGAAGAGTATGCGAAGAGGAAGAGTAGGAGCTATGGTGCCAGACGGCAAAGCGCCTATTACAGCAGCTCGAGGAGATGATGATGGCTGGACCAGCCAGGAAGAAGTTTTCCTTCGTTTTGATTGATTCGTTGTGATTGACGACGGTCCTTACAACTAATAGTAATTTCCTATCGACATCAATGTTGACGAGTAGGCATGGCCGGTCTGTTCCTACTTGGAGATATTGGTGTCACCAACCACAGTGTCGAGCCAGTGGCACAAATTCGGAGGAGGGTACAGCACGGGTGGCAACTACAAAGTCGGCACAGGCGGTGTCACTCAGAACCCAACGGTGGATGGATGAGGCGGAGAATGGAAGAGAGAGCATTGGCTAGGCAGCCAGAGAGTCATGATGAGATTCTAAAGCCGGGCCCTGGAGGGAGAGTGTGGTCACAGGGAGAATGAATGGCTTACTCGAAAGGGAAGTCGGGTGTGATGGCAGGAGGGAGGAGGGAGGACTACGATGTTGTCAACAGAGGTAGCAGAGCCAAACACATATCTACCGGTAACAAATCAACTTGACAGCAAAACCTCTTGTTTTCAACCTGCTTGTAGGTACTTGATGCCCATCCTCCTTTTGTAAAACTCCCATCCTACCTCTTCGGGAAGTTACACAGTGTAGAACATCTTTATTTTCCGAGTGAGTCCACAACATCTTGTCCGGCTGAATTAAGTTAGAAGAATACAGAGGTATCTTTACTACCTCAGTCAGCTGAGACAGCGCATGTCCCAGCGAGAGCCTACTACTTACTACTAAACAGCGGATCGATTTGGAAGATACGCTAGCACTGGTAAGAAGCCCTCACGAAGCTTTCCGTGGATCATTGTATGTTTCTGATGTCAAGCTGCATGCCTCTACCCCGGATCTCGCCCTAAACCGGCCGGACAGAACCCCTTCCAAACATCAAGGTCATGAAGACGCGGGCCACCGTATGCCGCAGGGTTCAGCTTCTTCAAACGGGCTTGCACCTTGCAAGGGGAGATGTGTGTCATGAGAAGGTTGCATGCTCTTTTTTACCATTCATCCTAGCACATATACAGGTCGGGTTACAACTTTTCTCTCAACTCATTCCATGACTATCTCATTTACCAGGGGGACTGTACCCGGTCAAAGGACCACCGATTTGTCTAGCACTTTTCTCTCCAAACAGCACTCCGTGCTAGCTTCGTCTCCGTCCTACCTCTCCAGTAGTCTTTGAAACCAAAAAAGCAATGGGCGTCCAAAAACAGTGGGAAGGCGACGACGAAGACGAAGATATTGTCCATCTTCCGCCATCCAATATCCCTCGTCCACCTGCCGGCAATTTCTTCGATCCCTCCAGCCTTCATGCTGTCCGACCTGACTTCACACCCGGGTCAGGGTCCGCATGGCCACAGCAGCAAGGACAGCAGACCCAGTCCGGCCCAAACCCCTGGCAGGGAGCCCGGCCTCTGATTCCACCTGCGAGTTGGCGACCATCCGGACCCACGCCGCCCTCCGGAGGACCCTCCCGTCCTTCAGGCCCGAGGGTTCCTCCTTTTCCTTATATCCCGCAACTCCGACTTCGACCGCAAGGTCTACGAGGTCCGCCTCCGCCCCAGTTCTCAGGCACCTCGGGACAGCCCGTTGAATGGGGTGCTGGTCCTAGTGAACCTATTCGACCCGGTTACCATACAAATGTGGAAGGTCTACCTGGTGGTGCTGGTTTCAATGGTTCTGCGCATTTTCCTGGCCCAAGGGGTCATCCTCGTGGCGGGTCTGGTTTTGCTGTTCGTGGTGCTGGTGCTAATGCTGGTGCTGGTGGCGCTGGCCGTGGTGGTCGTGATACTGGCGCTGGTTCTGGTCGTGGTGGTCGCACTGGTCGCAGTAGACAGGGGTCCAGCTGACGCTCTTACTACCGCTGGTGGCGGCAAAGGTGAGTAGCTGTGAGGATGGTTTTCCGACAGTAGACGCAGTTTTTACGGCATGGTGAGCAAGCATTCAGTATGGGGCCTTTCTCACATGATCAACAGCTTGCTTGTACAGTAATCCTACCACACCCGCGATATCTTGCAGACCCAAGTTCTAAGTTACACCCCCTACCTTAAGGTGTTGGCACGTCCTCGATGTCTTGGCCACTCTGGGCTCTCATGACACCATTCTGTTTTTCGTCTTCCAACTGTTTTATTTTCATCGAGCCGCTATGATGGGTCTTTCCCGGTATCTGAGCCGTCACTCCTATTGCTACATAGCTGATCTTGCAAGGCTGGGAACAAGGAAGAACAGGCAGGCAGGCACAAATATTCGTTCAAGTCTTGGTTATCAATCCAAAAGTTGGATCATGGATCGAAAATATAGATGATCGGCCAGTATTGACTTTTAGGCTCTCCAGTGCTGCCTGCAACTGACTGTCATTAACTTAGGCAATTCGACGTCCTTCACAGGCACTTCCTGCCAGCATCGTAACGCTGTTGCGTCTTCAGATGCTCGACTACAATCTCAGGGGCCCAGCGCAAGTGATGGCTGGTAAGCAGCCCCCTGTGCAATTGAAGGTCAAGAAGTCATTCTTATGGGTTCGGTTGTGATAGCCCCTAAAGCCTATCTGAATTATAATCGACGATTGAGTTTTCGAGCTAAAAGAAGCATGAATCTCATTATTTACAGACTGAGCTTATGAGTGGAGTCAATATCAGTGATGATTGGAATGGGTGGGGTGGCGTCAAATCTCGGAGGTTTCCTTTGCTATTTGTTTTAAAGGTATTGGTCACTTAGCGTGCATTAATTGACTAGGTTTACCTAAAACGTACAGGGAAGGACAAAGGGTAGACTACTAGTGTAGACCCTTCTTTCCTTCTAAACTAGTAGTAGAAGATCATTTCCCTTGGCTTCATAGTGGGCTAACAGAACCTCGCATGAAAAAGCACGGCAATGATTGATCAACGGGCGGAAGTAATGCTAGCTGGATGCTAGTACGGAGTATCTTTGTCTCAGAACTGACATTGAACGAGACGGCTAAGCTTTGAATCAGTTACTTGGTACTACTGTGGCCCTTATCTGTGGAAGCAGCTTCTACGTAGGGGGCGTCAAGGTGGCATCGAGTTATAACTAGCCGCTACTAGCACCAGGGCTAGCATTATTTATGCCCCTTACCTTACGTAGGGGACTTGGTCTGCTACGCAGTTCCACTTAACCCATCCGAAGCCACGGTTGAATACTACATAGATCATCAAGACCAGCCCCTGGGCCCATCGGCCCAAGCGCCTGCGGCAATTTCACTCTAGCGCAGCAGGCAGCTGATTAGACTTCACTGGACAGCTCTGTTGACCTGACTATTCTCCATCTGCCCAACCATATCTTCTACCACAGACCACTACGGAGATGATACCCCAGCCTGTGCTCTTGGTATCGATACTAATATCTTCTATCCCAGAACTCAATCCTGTGACTGTTGACAATTTACAAGCCTAGGCGGCGCCTTGTACCGGCTAGACTCCAGTCCCCGGTAGTGAACGATCGATCCATCTCTCCGTTCTCATCATGAGTTTGCTAAGTGCTCACCCTCTTTGCCTTGCTGCCCTTTCTGGCTCTTTCCTCCTTATCGACGCCAATCTTTTCCTGTCCGCAGGTCTGCCACAACCACTCTTTCTGGCTGCTTTTCCTCTTTTTTGTTCAACAGTTCAATTCATTGACCATTTGCACTCGTTCTTCAAACATTCTTTTGAGATACATTGTATCGTGCCCTACCTTAAGAGTTAATTAATCCCTCACTTAGCCTCTACAAGCGATACACACTCAAAAATCTTAGCACGCGATCTCCGTTTCTAGCTCGAACGGTGTTGAGATTTCAACTTGAGTTGCGTACTGTCCACGACAAGGGATCTCACCGAGAACGCTATATTGTCATCGAGAAGACTCCAATTGAGTACGTCACCACCATCAAACCGAGGAAGAGCTCTGTTCGATCACCAAGCCCGCCGTGGGCACCTACCTTACCTGACACACCCGATATGCTTCACTCATCGATATGCCTTGCTACCTCTCTTCTTCTCTTGCTCTCCGGCTCAGCGGTTGCAGGTACAACCGAGGACTGGAGATCAAGGTCAATATACCAGGTTATGACTGATCGATTCGCACGAACTGATGGCTCTACTGATGCACCATGCAACCTAAGAGAGGGACCATATTGTGGAGGCACATGGCGGGGCATGATCAATCAGCTGGATTACATCCAGGGAATGGGCTTTGATGCGATTTACATCTCACCGGTCACGGCAAATCTGGAGGGGAATACAGAATATGGTGAAGCTTATCATGGCTACTGGCCCACAAATATATATGCCGTAAATGAGCATTTCGGTACCGAAGACGACCTGCATGCTCTTTCGGACGAGGTTCACAAGCGTGGCATGTACTTGATGGTGGACGTGGTTATCAACGATATGGGTTTTGCTACACACGGACAAGATCCAGCAACGAGCATCGATTACTCTGTCTTCACTCCCTTCAACGACCAAAGGTTCTATCATCCCTGGTGTAACATTACCGATTTCGACAACTACACAGAAGCGCAAGTCTGCTGGCTGGGCGATAACCACGTAGCTCTCCCAGATCTCAACACTGAAAGCCAAGAAGTGTCCGACATCATGAACGAGTGGGCTGTGAGTTTGGTCGCAAACTACTCGATCGACGGTTTCCGTGTCGATGCTGCAAAACACGTAAGCGATGACTTCTTGAAGAATTTCGCCGCTGCGGCCGGTATCTTCACCATTGGAGAGGTCTACGAAGGAGACCAATACAAGCTGTGTCCATATCAGAATCTCATGCCCAGCGTGACTAACTACCCGAACTACTTCCCCATGGTCGAAGCCTTCTCAGCAGGCAATATCAGCGCCTTGACCCAAGCCAACCAGATCACCAAGAAGACATGCCCAGACACCACTGCGCTTGCCAGCTTTTCCGAAAACCACGATCTTCCGCGGATTGGCTCGTATACTCAGGATCTATCGGTAAGTTTCTCATCGCTGGTTCGGGCACAACCCAAGCCTAACATGCCTTTTCTTTCCAGCTCCTCAAGTCCGTGCTGGCCTGGACGATTCTTGCCGACGGCATCCCCATGATCTACCAAGGCCAAGAACAAGGCTTCACCGGCGCCGGCGTGCCCGACAACCGCGAAGCCCTCTGGACCTCTTCTTTCAGCACCACCCACCCACTCTACGCCGTCACGCCATCGCCGTCGACGCGCTCGGCTACCTATCGTATCAATCCCACGTCATCTACAGCGACAACAGCACCGTCGCGTTCCGAAAAGGCGCCGAAGGCAGACAGGTGGTCAGCGTCTTGAGCACTGGTGGCGAACAGACGGGCGCGTACACCCTCGATCTACCGACGGCGTACACACCGGGGTCGCTGGTCACGGATGTGGTCGCGTGCAGTAATTACACGGTCAACAACTACGGGCAGTTGACGCTGGCGAGGCGATGGGCGGCGGAGCGCCCAAGGTACTTTTCCCCAGCGCGAAGATGAACGGGAGCAGGCTCTGTGGGTTTGGCGACGCGAGTCTGGAGATCATGGTGCAGGGTGGTGCGGCAAGCAGTACCGAAAAAGGCTTGTCCTTGTCGCTGGCTGTAACGGTGGCAGCGGCGGTGGGTTTGATGGGGTTGGGTCTGCTGTGAGACGACTTGGGGCCTTTGGCGGGGAGGCAGAGAAGGTTCTGGCTCCCTGCCCCGACAAGGCAGGGAGAGGGCGGGAAACGGTCTTCATTTCGACCACGCGACTTACGAGTGCGTTTACATGATATTACTATCAAGGAGCTTTGCTATGGGAGGTACCTCTGCAACTGGGATGTGGGGGAAAAAAGGGAGGGTTTAAAACTACTTCTGATGAACTTGCGAAATTCTGTACATATTCCTATTCTAGCCTCTCTTTTTCTTTCTTTGGCCCCCCTCCTTATGGTCTTAAACTCAATAATGGCGCGGACTGGACGGGATGGGATGGACACTCCTTGCGCTCTCTTGTATATAGCCAAATATAGCCAAATATAGCCGCTTTCTCTCCGTTTCCTTCATGTGGACTGCAATGCCGGACAGGGAAAATAGTATGTAATGGCACGCGAGCTGAAGTTGGATCTACTCGCTGGTCTGGGTGTCGAATTGATGAGACGTTGGTGTGGCCGTTATCATGATGCTCCCTGTTTTTGTTTTTTCGACATTCCCGGTGTGGCAGGAGTGGCGGCTAATCCATCGATTTGCTGCGCATTCACTCATCCACTCCTGCCACCTACCCTTGTGGTGCGTGCAAGCAACAGCACCAAATGTGGTATTGATTCTCGTCCCGGCATGGCTATGCTGACCAGAGGCTGGGTGGTGGAGTGGAGATATGCCTTTTTTGAGTGCTCTTGCTGAGGCGTTGGACTGTGGATTAACACGATACTTCGGAGGGTTAAGAGCTAACGCAACGTCATTTGTCTGTGCGTCTGGCGGTACCAGATGCGACATGGTCTGAAAGGGATATAGGCTAGGTTTTCCTTTCCTCTCGGCTAGAAGACGATTTTGTGAAAATTGAGCAGCTTGACGCATTGTGTGTCTGTTCGATGAAGGTGTCGTTTGATGATTCTTGTCATCTTTATATCCTGAGGGAAGATGGACTTATGTCGCGCCTCTCAATGCCATGGCGCCTAGGATGGATCGCTCGAGTCTGCTTCTCTGTGCCGGGTCGTTGTCATTCAATTCTGCGTGCGCGTTTGGTTTTCCTCTCTTCCGCGGAGGGGCTTTCTTCCGCGGAGGAGCAGGTGGGAAGGGGATCTTGTACGTCTTCCGCACCTTGATCGTGTCACAGAGGATGCGCAGTGTTTCGTCGTTGAAGAGTATTGGGGTGCCTTGGATGGATGAGAGGAGATGGGTTTCGATGGCTTCCTTGCTTGGTGGTTGTTCCGGTGCCGCTGATGGTGCTGGTTGGGGGATGGTCGCGGGTTTGGTGTTGGATACTGGGACGGGGACTTTGATGACTAGGAGGTTGGTCGTGGTCCCTTGCATGCCGAATGTGCGGAAGGCTTCGAGGATCTGTCCTCCCACCCATGGATTAATCGGATACACAAATAGACGCTTAACAGAGTTTTCTCGCGAGAGAAAGCAGACAGCAGATTCAACACAGAGAAGAACGAGAACCCCCAGAAAGAGAGGTCGTTCTTATGCTTACAGTATTGTTGGGGCTCAGCGCAAACACGATCTCTGAATGCACGTTTCGTGACTTCAGCCGCCCGCATAGATAATCATTCAGAGCGCGGAAACAGGCGGCCAGGACATGGGTCCGTGATAGTATCTACAGAGATGTATCAGACCCCGAAGCCGACGAATATGAGTGGGTAGTCGGCGGGAGAGAGGCTGGAGATTACCAAGCTGGCATCAATAAATGCATATTCGAAGTCGCTGTTGCTGGCCAGGAGCTGGTGGCGGAGGAATGGGATGTTCTGGACGCCGTAGAAAAGGGCTATGTATACTGGGAGGTCGGGAGGAAGGTGGGCGAGATGTACCGTTTCTAGCATTCTGTCTGCGGTGCTCTGGGTTTGTACGTAGTGTAGCGTAAGACTCATGGTGTTGGTGAAGGAACATCTGATATCGCTTGCTTACATAAGTGGCTGTAGCTGTCACGTGTCTCGAAGTGCGCTTCTGGAAGTTTCTGGCCACCGGACAACCTTGGCTCCAAGGGTCACGGGACCACAGCAGTACTAACGTAGTGGTAGTAGTAGTACTCCGTAGAGCTCCCTGGCCTCCACTACGTAGTACGTCGTTCTTCTCTCTCCTTCCGCCACTTCATCAAGTCGTCAACAAATCTCTCATCCGCAGCATGGCGTTCATCCTTCGCAGGCCGTTCGCAGTCTCTGCCGGCCTCAAACAGATAACCAAATCATCACCAGGCATTCGCCTCTTCCACAACTCACCCGTCAAATCAAACACTTTCTTCAACTCCAAATCCACCACTCCTGCAGCATCCGCCCTCAGCAAGTCAAAGGCAACATTTCAAAATGCTTTCAGACGGACATATATGCAACAGCCAGCCTATGCTCCAGATCGTGGCAATCTCACACAGAAGCTCTTGTATGGCGCCGCAATCCTCGGAGGCACGATTGTCGCAACGAATCTCATCTTCAACCGGGAAACGAGGGAGGATGGTGGGATGCCGCCCTTCGAACGCGAGTACTTGAATCAGACTTTCATGCACACGGGACTTGGAATCGGCATCATTGGAATTACGGCGAAGGCTCTTCATTCTTCGGGATGGTCGTACAGATTGATGGCCACGAATCCTTGGATAGTGGTTATTGGTGGCCTGGCACTTAGTATCGGTACGATGTATGGGACTTTCAATACCGCGCCAGACAAGTGAGTCTCTCCACTATCTCTCCTCAAATTGAATCCTAGAACGTTCATGCTGACAACCTGCCTTTAGCTACATCCAAAAATACGCCCTCTGGACCGGTTTCAATGCCACCCAAGCCGCAATTCTCTCCCCTCTCATGTTCATGTCACCCGCCCTCCTCGCTCGCGCCGGCATCTACACTCTCGGCATGATGGGCTCTATCGCATTCGTGGGCGCAACGGCAAAGCAAGAAAAGTACCTCTACCTCGGCGGTCCCTTATTGGCAGGTGTAGCCATCGTCGCCATCTCCGGATTTGCACCATTGGTACTACCAGCCACTGCCGTCAGAACTCTGATGTGGAGCGAGAAGATCTGGCTGTACGGTGGGTTGGCAGTATTCGGCGGGTTCACCTTGTATGATGTGCAGAAGATATTGCAGCACGCGAGGATGGCGGAGAGGGGGATGGTCAGGAAGGATGTTGTGAACGAGAGCATCAGCTTGGAACTTGATTTCCTCAACATCTTTATCAGGATGGTGCAGATTTTGGGGATGCAGAGGAGGAAGTAGTCTGAAGGCGGCAAGGAGTGTAGCCAAAGACAGATTCTACATGGCGCAGTCGGGAGTGCCCTTGGCTTTTGTTACCACAGTTCAAAATGCAATCAATTCTCCTATCAAGATAATTCTAAACGAATATCCACAAGGATTGTACCAAAACAACCCAGGCGGGGTCCACCATTACGGCAGAATGTTTGGTTTGTCTATCAAGTAGGCCTCCTGATGCAGGAAGTGGTGTCTTACAGTGACCACTCTCCACTGCTCAGCCAGTCCGAACTAAATATACAGCGATTGTCTCCAATCGTCAACCTCTTTCTCAGGGCTCACCTGCCCAAGTCGGGTAATGAGACTTGTGTATCCACCATTGCACCTCCTCCATCATCTGAATGCCTTTTCCTGATTTTCCTTCCGCATCACAATCCAGAGACAGACAAGGATGAAGATCAAGTAGGTATGTAGGTAGGTAGGTATGAATTAAAAGAAGTCTCGACGTTCCTCTCGATATAAATCCTCAAAGGACCAACGACAAGAATGGATACCAGCATCACTGCTGGCACATTTCACGAGAGAGAAAAAAAGCGCTCTGCTTGGTACAGACGGCACGCCTTTCGGTTTTTTTTGGAGGACCTGGGGCTCGTTTCTGGTGAAACTCGATTGTGTCTTATGGCTGTACTTTTTTCCCGCTTCCTCGCGTTAAAATCGTTCTTGAATGCCAAAAGGCGGCCCCCTGGCCATGCTCTGGTTAGGGTTCTCGAAAGGATTCTTCTGCTCGATAGCTACGCCCCCAGTCTACGCTCGAGGTTGCGGTAGTACGCTTCGGCCCTGTCTCGTCTTCCTACAGCCTGCCTGTGACATGACCACAGAACTTCGAATGAGGTGATACATAATAGGCGGCAAGCCCCCGATTTGACTCAAGAACCCCGTTCCCTGATACTCTGCTGCTGTTCGTGGAAGCAGAGATTCGAGGCGACAGAAGGTAGTGCACCGAAAGATGTCCAAAAGAGACCAGCGAATTCTTTTACTCGACATCAGTCATTGCTTTCATCGCCTCCTCGTGAATCGACGTCATTCCAGCTTTGATTATCATCGGATTCGTCGTCGTTGTCGCACCCCATTTTCAGCCGCGCTTGCAGCTAAGATATCTGCTCATCGATCCGTACTTTCGCCCGTACCAAATTCTCCAGCTCCAGGCCCATCCCGATGAGCGAGGCCAATCAAAGCCCCCATCGCCTCGACGAGCATAGGGCGATCCCAATTCGCCTGGTGAGCGTGCCCGCGGGTGCTGGAATCCGGATAGAAAAAAGCATACAGGTAGCTCAGTTTTCCACACTTGAGAATCTGGGGAGTGCGGTCCTCCAGAGACGGATAAGCAGAATGGAGTTCGAAGGAGTGTGTTGTTGCATGATCATCTTCGAAAAGCCGTAGTCTATCCCACCGTCAACCCCATTCCACAATATAGCTGTGTCTTTTTCCATGCGGCGTTGAGCAACAGACGCGCTGACTCCGTCCCGCGTCTTTCAGAATATCTCATTCTTCTTCTCAGCCACAGACCTTCCCCGTCACGGCTCAAGAGAAATTAGGCCATAGAATCCAGTACGAGGAACGCCAGCCAGGAAGTCCGGGATTTGACTCTGTCGTACTTTGATGGGGGGTGGTCAATGGCAAACTTTGCCCGTCGAGACGGCGAACTGCGATTTGGACAAGAAAAATATCTCTGAATTGGTGATTCGTCTTGTCGAATACGTCCCAGTGACGTTCCCCAATTCGACGGTTCGTTCTGCTCCCTTTTTGGAGGAACACGTCCAGTCCCTCCCAGGTCGGGTCCGGAACCATGTTGCTGCTCTGTTCAGGGTAGCGGTATAGCATACTTACAGTATCCTTGAAGCATTGATTTCAGTACTTTACTAACCGCCAACATGTAAAAGCGCCCCTGAAAGCTATAGCACGAGACGGAGCCGCGGGTGGTAGCATTTTTGACCCAGGCAAGGTGTGACCGTAGGACAGATTTCGTTACCCAGGTCCTACGCTGCTATCCAGATGTTGCACCAAACTTATATAAACTCTCCTGCTCTATTTCACGCCATCACCTCAGGTCCCCATCATCATTCCACCTCCTACTCCAAGCCGTGCTCCTCGATCTCTTTGCCCCTGCCTTGCCTTCTCGCCCCCTTTACACTCTTTCCCCTCCACCCACCTCTCCACAGGCAACAGATGCCTCTATCCTCACACCATTCCCTGACCTCAATCGGTCCCACCTCCCGATCCTCACCGATACACTTGAAACCTTCGGTGTTGAGCCACGCGGCCAGGTCTTCGAGGATAATAGGGTCGTACATGAGAATCTTCTGGTGAAAGGTGGGGTTCTGCTGGGAGTTATGCTGAAGGGTGGAGGGTGGAGGTTGAAAGGTGGTTATTGCGAGAGTGATTTGTTTGGATAGGGCAGGTTGAGAAGGTGAGGAAGGTGAAGGATTTGCTGTTATAACGGGTAGAGGGGCAGCTGGAGTCGTCATCGTGGCAGTGGATGACCGAAAAGCGGTAGGCTTCACTTTTGTTTTTGCTCTTTTCGGTGTATCCCCATTAATTGGCATTGCGGCTTCTAGGATGGTTGTTTCCGGCTCAGAGGCCTCGGGTTCTTGTTCCAACCACGATGCAGTCTCAAAAGCATAAGATGAAGGAGGGTTTGTTGGCGAACAATGCCGACGGACAGTATTTGCACGCTTGACACCCGTTCTACAACTCTGTACTTGTGCAACGTCGTCAAGGATGCTGTTGTCGGAGCTTTCAATATCATCGACGTCCATGACAGGTTCATCTGATATGGTGGCCTTATTGACCTTATACCGGGACTTCAACGGAGATTTGGCTTGTGGCTTCACTAAAGATGTCACCGTGACTTCTTTTGCCTTCTTGACCCTCGACTGAGCGGACTTTGAGGGCTTTTTCGTCTTCTCTTGCGGCAAATTCCCGTCGACATTTATCATTTCGCCTGCTGACTTCTTGGTCCGAGAAGTTTTTGACGATCGATTTTCTGGGGAAGATGCTCCTGCTCCCTCAGATTTAAGCCGGCCTCTCGGCTTCTTAGTCTTCGGGGTTGGTCTCGCGGAGACATCATGTAGCTTTGTCAAAAAGTCGCCGTGACTGGTCTCAATAGTCTCACCGGTGATGGTGGCAACACTGTCTGCACCAGAGACCGAGGGGTGCTTGTCATCCCAACATCTGTTTAATACTTCTATCATCTTCTCGCGCTTCTTGATCGGTTTGAATCCGTACGCTGCTAATTGGGTGGCTAATTGGTTCGTAGTGAGACCTGTGAATGATGGTCTGATGGGCTGCGGGTTGGGAATACGCTCGGCAGGTGCTTCTGACAACTTGTTCGTGGGCCCACGAGCTTGACCTGTGCATGTTCTTCCAACTGCAGCAGCGTGCAGGGCTCGGACTTGTACTGGAATCTGGGGCCTCCTCATTGCACAAGGTGTTTTCAGCTTCAGCTCGTCAATATCGAGTATGCCTCTAGAATCGTGTAACGATGACAGATTCCCTTCGTCCCATCCCATCGACAAGCAGTCATCAGTCATGATACACGTCCTCATCGGATCTTGCCCTATACCAACCTGCTTCTCTGGGCTCGTACTGTCTCTAAATCTTGGTGCACCAGGCTCTAGCAAAACATCCTTACCAGCAAACGCCGTTCTAAGATCTGGCGAATCAAACATGTCCACAGTATCAACCTGAAGCAACGCATTATCAACATCCCTTCCAGCCACTGACCATAGGTTTTTGCTCTTTACAAATCGAGAAACACCACATTTGTGATGCCGCCTTGGTGTCTCGGCTGGCTCGCTCGTGGGTATTGTGATCTGGGTAGACACGGGATCTGATATGAGTATGGTGTTTTCGGACTGCTTCATCGCTTGGACGGTGTCCCGGATGAACATGGGTGACTCGTCGCCGGCCAACTGACTTGCTGATCCGAAGAGCATATCTTGGTCATCAAAGGCTTTTATGGCGGATTGCGGTGAGCGAAGTGTAGACTTGCGAGGCGCTTTCTTCAAAGCCTTGGGATTTTTGGCTGAACCTTTTCGCTTTGCTGTGTCAGGGGCTGTATCTGAATCCAAACCTAGAGCTCGCTGCTGAGTGGCCGACAAATACTGCATCATTGGCGATTTTTCACTTGTCTCTTCCCCAAAGTAGTGAGACGTAGCAAGGCCGGTGATTGTAGTGGACTTCTTCTTTGGAGATCTCGTTCTCTTCCTGGCTGGCTCGTCGCTGCCCCTGCTGGGCTTTGGGAACAGCTTAGAAGCCTTCATAGCAGCCGCGGTCCCCAGAGCACCAACATCTACTACATCGAGCTTCCTTCGCTTTGTTGGATTGCTTTCACTATCATCCTTGGGAACCAGACTATCTTTCGGGCCAATTGCAGCTGCATTATATCCGAAGCTGCCAAGTAAGTTTTCGGAAAACGATGCCGGTGCTGTTCCGGGAGAGTTCTGATTGCTATGGCATGCAGGAGGAGTCCAGTCAAGCCGTCTGGAAGAGGCTTTGTCGAGGCCTAAAGGGCTGGGCTCTCGAGGTCGGTATGCCTCAGCGGCTTTCGGTTGGGCTTTGAGTTCGTGATGTGATGAATCACAGGCCTGTGATCTCGTGGTTCCGACATCTTTGATCTTATCCTTCTCCCCTAACCGGTTTTCTTCCGGAGAGACTGGTCTCTGGAAATAGTGCTTCTCAGAGCCCAGGCCTTTCTTCAGACCTTGCGCTCTCCTCACCATAGGCAAATTCCCTTTATTGGCCTTCTCCTTCAATGGCAGCTTCTTCGAGCTACTTAACCCGCTCCCAACCCTTTCTCGAAATGTACTTGTGGTCTTGAATTTCCGATTCCTGTCCAACCCTGTAGGTCCAGTCCATGGTGCAGCAAACCCATTCTGTGATCCTTTCGACCTTTGCGATGCGAAGATGGTCTCAGGCGACGGAAGCGCGGGACTAGAAGCCGTATTGTCTGCCGGCGTTGGAGAGCGTGCGAGGAGTCTGGGTGGCGAAGAGGACAGTAGGATGACTCCTCCCACAATGGACATTCTGCGACTCAGAGTGGCGGACGAAGGCATCCATTGATAGACAAGCCTTCATTTGACGTTGTGCTCGGTGTTCTACAGCATACCGTAGCCGACTGCACGAAGTCAATTGGAAGAAGCATGTCTACGGAGTACGGAGTATGGTGTCTAGATTTAGAGGCTGTCAACACCGCTAAACCGAGTCTGGAGCATGTTTTGCCAATTGCCAAGCGCCAAGCGCCAATCATTCAAGCCTCGGTTACTACTAGTAGTAATAGTTACTACTACGGAGTAGTCTTCGATAACGCCCCGCTTCTACGATAAGTTACTCAAAGCATTCTAGTTAGAGAGGAGCAAGATAATGGCCTCCAGACAAATTTCTCAGTGCAAGCATTCATACTTTAGGCATCTGTCTTCATATGACACATCCATCCCATATCACGAAACCATCATCGGCTATTAGTTAGGCCCAACTTTCCCATCAGTCCAAAGTCAACAGATTATTACTGTTGCTGAGATTCGTAGCATGTCCAAGCACATATCCTTTCAACCACTCTGGCTACAGCCGGAAACGCCGTTGCAGATCTCGAAGAGAACGCTCCGCAAACATAGAAATCAGAATCCATAACACGGCGCTTTAACAAGAACATTTGAACCCTCCTTGCCCTTACCCCGAACCTCCACCCCAACGAAGGCTGCAAAACGGATCCTTCGGTCACGCTCCGCCTTCTCCATACTGTCTCTCTCCTTTGCACTAACATTTGTACCAGAACCCGTCCTTGGATTGGTGACCGGAGCTAATCCGCCATTGCTGTTCTCTGCCTGTGACGGCTTCTTACTACTGACCAGTGCTCCAAAGATGCTCTTCTTTCGGGTATCCTCTTTCTTGATCGGCTGCTGCTGTCCATTGCCACCTTGCACGGGCAGCGAGTCAGCTCGATTTGGCAAACCACTACCTCCACTGTTCTCTCTGTCTCCCTCGTTCTCCCCAGGGCTGTTGTCATCTCCGCTGTGTGTAGAGCCCTGGTCACCTTGCTGTTGTTCGGGAGCACTAAGATAGTCGACGTTCCCACCAGGCATTGTCAAAGGCGGAATGCCCGATTCCATCTTCATGTATGTCTCGTTGATCAACGAGTAAGGCATATAGTATTCAACACAGACGTCACGAGATTCCTGCGGTAAAGAGGCGGCCAGACCAATTGCGAGCTCAATGATCATGCCAACGCCACTTTCTAGACCCGGCGGAGGTGGATCATTTAGGTTCATCTGCAACGACGCTGTCAATTTCTCCATCAACATCGTAGTAAGCTGTTGCTTGTATTCGTGACCTTGCTCGCCAACCATGCTGTCCGCCAGCCCCTCAAGTGTCGTCAAACGCCATGAGATAAGTTTAACAATTAGATCTTCACGTTGCTCGTCACCGAGTCCTTGGTTTTGCCCTACCCTTCTAATGTTTTTCTCAATCATCTTCAACTCAGTGCTTAATCCTGGTTCAAGTCGAGGATGAAAGTAGCGGTCTAGAATTTCATCGACAACCCATTTCGTAATGCAAGCTCGTCCCACAGCCGTCATCTCCTTAGTTCCAATGTTATGTGCGTCCTTGTTGATCATTTGAGCAAGCCACTGTGGAACTCCTTTCCAATCCTTTCGGATATTGAAGCTTAGATTGTTTATCGCACCGTCGAGACGATTAAAACGAGTAGTATATTCATGATCGTCGAGTGTTGTTCTAGACATGGAAAGACGCTGGTTTGCAACAGTATTTTGCAGGGCAGTGACCTGGGCATCCTTTTCGAAGTAATACTTCTTCACTTTGGAGTATTTGGCCTCTACAATTGTTGTATTGTGTCAGTCATATTCAGCGGAATGGAAATCCACAAGATCATACGTAGCTCTTCATGCTTCTGCAGTAATGCTGTGTAGTCCTGAACGCTGAAATCTTCTCTACTTCTTGTGGGAGGGGGTGTATTCCGCCCGTGGTCGGTCATGCTTGAGGAATGTTGTTGTAACTGTCTTGAGCCTTGAGACGTGCCATGTTGCGCATGGCCAGATTCAGCACCTTGTTGGTGTTGTTGAGCCAGTTGCTGTCTCATAGAGGGGTTGGAGCCGTCTCCTCTAGCCATAGTAGCTTCTGGTTGCAGGTGTAAAGACTGATTAGATTGGGTGACTTGCCTCCCTTGGATGACGGTTGATCTGAATTCGGTCGATTGCTGAACGGACACTATCGGAGAAGGGGGTCCGAGAGATTGTTGCGAGGGTGGGCGAATGGCTCGATAAGGATCGTGTATGTCTTGATTTGACCGATCTGCTTGAGGATTGTATGGAAGATAGGAATTCGACGTGTTCGACGTATGCGGTGGACGAAGCTGATAGGGCTTTTGAAAATTTTGCTGTGAGTTGGAATGTGAATCTTCGGCTTGATAGTGGCTTGAGTAATGGGAACTACTCTGACTTTGAGGTGAATCAAACTGATGTTGCTGGTGATTGTATTGCTCGTCAGACTCGGCTGGGGCTTGAGAGAGTGTGTATTCGTTTGAGGTTTCGTTCTCTTCGTGCGTATCGCTGGAGTATCCCTCACCCGAGTATTGCACTGTTGTCGATTGTGGTATGAGCCCTTCCTGACTTTGCGGTCTTGTGATCTTCTCCTTGGTCGAAAGGCTACGCCCAAGGGTCGACGAAGGGGAATATGATTGGGAAGAATTTCCCTTGGACGAGTGCAGACTGAACAAGTTTTTAATGGGGTTCCTTTGATTGCGTTCTTCGTGATTAGTAGAGGAGGTGGTAATCGAAGGGATCAGGCTATTTTCGCTGGCTGGGTCTGGAATCACATTCACCGTTGGTCTCCCTGAATAACCGTGACCTGCGGTGTTTTGATCCCTACTGGTCGATGACGCGAACTGAGCAGACTGCGGTTGCTGCTCGTCAGAGGAGTAGTAACGCTGTGCGTCCGAGGGGTCTGCGCTTTCGTCGTACTGGAGACCACCAGGACCAGGTCCGTGTGCGGCTGATTGGGGGGGAGGAAACGCAGGAGACTGGAGAGGAGTGTCGACGGGAGACTGTAATGGCGACCTTCCTGCTGAGATGTTTAGAGACCCCTGCGATTTGTTTGACCTGAACAGCCGCATGAATACTGGTCTGGTAGGATTGACACTCGGTCCCAAGGTCAACAAAGTGGGTACGGAGTACTGTAAGCGGGAAAGGAGACTTCCCACAATGGACAGCTATAAATAAATTGGTTCAAGCGCAATTTCTTGGACGTATAATTGGTTCATCAATCTATCAGGATTCGTACATAGGCATGTTCAGGAGAAGCATTAATTTCATCTCAGCATGTCATTCCTGCAGACGAGGCTGATGCTGCACTGTACTAGCCACCCGGTTCTGTGACCATGGAGCATGTTTCATTTTGTAGCTTGCTGACCACCCTCGCTTCATCCCATCTGTCCGGCAAAGATGCATGTTCCTTGCTTTGTGACCAGTACACATGTACAATCCATACTCTGAGGGTCAGAACTCACGAAGGAATCACATTCCACCCAGACAGTCGATATGCAGTTTTTGGCTGACCACTGATCAACATTGTAATATTGAGTGTATCCATGTTATCAGAGCCCTAGTCTTAGTCATGGCCATCTTCTCCTTTTCAGACAGCCTGGACAACCTATCCATGCTTCCCTAGTTTGGAAACGCTGCAAGATGTTTATGCACCCATAAGCATTGTCAGAGAGCTTCGGCGTTGCCAAGGAATGACAAATACCCTCGCGGTCAGGCAAAGTGCTATCACTCGTTAATATCGCCAACGGCTTGTTCAAAACGGGTCCGAAACGCAGGGTGTATTACTATCAGCCCACCTGTTATTGGATAAAGTCTTCTCTAGTATAGCAGGCATTTCTAACTTTCTGCCAGGGGAGCAGAAGCTTCCTTCAATGCTTGCTCTCACAATCCTGGCCCAATCATCTTCTGTCAGATTGAAAGCATTTTGCACAGCACAATAGTTGTCCAGAATATAGGCACCGAAATATGCAGGTTGTCGCTGTTGATCGAAAATCTAACGTCATTATCTAGATACAGCCGGATTGGAAGATCTAAAATGTTCTTCACGCAGCAAAGCTTGACATTCGAAATAGGGCACATTGTGATTAGCATCTCCCGCCTCACAAATTCTGCCAGCAGATCAGGGTCTTCTGCCAGTTTAATGCCATAGTCGACTCTCTGAACATGGAGATGCTCCAGTGCTCCACGCATATAGCCAACGTCAGCTTCTTCACCAGCATGAGCAGTCCTTCGGATACCCTCTTTCTCCGCAAGTTGATAGACAGACTTGAACAATTCCGGCGGGTTGTCTTTCTCACTTGATGAGAGCCCGATACCCGCCAAGCGGCCACTTTTCAGGTCAGGCAATGCAAGTTCGTAGTGCTGCTCCGCGCTAGAACATGGGAGGTGACGCACGAAACACATGATGAGCTCCGTAGTAATATCGAGCTCAATTTTAGCCCGTTCACAGGCTGTGGTAAAGCCTTCGATGATAGTGGTATATTCGACTCCTCGTGCGGTGTGGCATTGGGGATAGAAAAACACTTCTGCATGTACAACTCCATCTCTTTTGGCACATGTAAAATAATTCATGGCCAGTGCCTCAAAATCCCCTGCCTTGACAAGGACAGACATGCCAATAAAGTAGTACTGTAAAAAGTCATCAAGCGACACAAACGAGCCATATCTTTCCAGCAAGCTAGCAGCTGAAGCAAAAGCGGGATCTGATTCGACGGGGGGTAAGCTGATACAGTTTTCTTTGGCCAGGGTACCCTCGAGATGTAAGTGATGCTCACACTTTGGAAGCGCTTGTAGGAAGGCATGCATAGGGCCTTTACACATCTTAGCAATGTGGAGAGGAACTCGGTTGAGTCTATGTATGTCAAGAGGTGCGTTAACTGGCGCGAGAATATGGATAGTTGTTAGGACGTATTAATTATTAATTTGGCACTCTATTGGGAATGGACAATTTCCCAAATCGACCCATGGGCCACCTCAGCCACAAGGACTGATTGCACATCCAATGCTAAATCAGCGTAGATGGCTTGGTCTAACTAGACGCTTTCATATATTTAACAAATATTGTCGACCCTAAAGTCTGGTGGTGGCTTGATTCAAAGCTTCCCTTCTACTCTTCGAATTGACATCGAGATATGGAGCTTCCCCAAGCGCTGCCACTCGGTCACCAGCCCGGGCCTCGATATAATCATACGTTGCGCAATGCAACTGACTCCGGTTATCCCAAATCGCTAGAGCATTTTTGCTCCACTTCCAGCGCACTTGCAGGTCATGGTTCTGGACTACCAAGTTGAACAAATAATTCAACAACAAATCACTCTCATCTTTGGACACCCCGTTGATGCGTTTCGTGAAGCCCTTGTTTACATACACCGACTTCCAACCAGTAACAGGATTCGTTCGGATAACTGGATGTGTTGCAGTGAGGCTGTCGCCATAGTTGAGAGGACTGCCACGCTGACCCTTTCGTAACGGATTGCCCAATCTACTGCTCTCTTCCAAAAAGAACTTTGCATCATGGGTGGCGGTTAGTCCCTCCAGGAAGACCTGCATAGCCGGCGAGAGTCGGTCATAGACAGCATACCCTGATGCCCACAAGGTATCCCCTCCGGTTGGTGGGAGACTGTGGATTTTGAGCATGGCATAATCTGAGGGAACCTTCTCGAAACTTATATCTGTGTGCCATCCGACACTTGCGTATCGGGAAGTGTCAGAGAGCTGGTGAGTGAGACCACCGCCGCGCTTCTGCTTCTCGGAACTGATAACGCTGATCTGGTCACCAAGTTCGCTGCCTTCTTCAGTTAAGGGATGAATATGCAGCCCAGAGGATTCAGGACAACCCGCAAGGACACTCAGGCTCTCACAAAATTCGCGCATTTGTGTTGGGCTAATGTCCTGATCACGCAGAAAAACAACTCCACGTTGGGAAATATTCACAGCAAGATCCCTGATTTGTCGATCGCGGTCAAGACCCATGAGCAGGTCTGTGACTTGAAGGTCCATATATTCTCGCCCAATGACTGGCGTGAGGTCTTGATGTGGATACATGTCAAGGCTTCCAGAGTAAGCTATCGACTTCGAGCACCGAGTCTGAGCCTGTACGTTGCCTCCTCGGATATCAGGATGAAGTGTCCGTTCATGTACTGAAAATGGGCCTGAACCGTTTTTCAATCCAATTGACTCTGATTGCACTGAGAGAGGCATGATTTGACCTTTGGATAACTTCGAGATGGATTGTATGCCCAATGTTAGATGATCATGCCAATCAATATGGGCATTTCGGACAGAATAAAGAGCCCGAGCCTAGTATATGCTATATATGAAGAAACATAAAAGACCAAACGCCGATTACGATCCTGCTGACAACTACGGTAGAAATAGAGAAAGAATTTTTCACTGAGTATCCGAGAATGCTTCTATGCACTTACTGATGAGTAAGCGGACAAGGAGGGGGCACTTTTCGATGCCGAGTTCCATTGCATGAGATCTTGGAAGAGATAATGGTGGTGCGTGCCGATGCAACCAAAGGGTCGGCCTGTATTGGCTGTGGGTATGTACTACCAGGATGTGAGGAAAGAAGCGGGGGTGAATCACGACATTTTCTACCGTGACAACGTCAACATCCTCGGTTGGAGATCTCCTTCCCCTATAGGTAATCAGCTGGCATTTGTGAATTCAAGCATTACCTTCATCCCGTGTGCTAACCTTAGTGTCTCAGCATCGTAACGATTTTATCGTGGTTTTTGCTCTACCCATTTGAGTCTTGCTGGTCTCACTTGTGGTTGCTTCCTTTTCCTAACCTTCAGCTATGGTCTTGCAACTCTTTCATCTTTCTCCGAGTTGCGCCATCTATTACTAATTCACGAGCTTTCTTGTTCCTTCTTTAGCTCGATCTCCTCACCAGAAAATGGCCGACAATAGTCTTTTGGAAGAGCAAAGAGGAGGTGTTCTCGGTCCAGAGAAATCGCATATGTCGATTGTTCCGGTGGGCAGAGAAACCCTTTCAAACGCTCTTCCGCCTCACGAATCCTACGAGGGTCGGCATCGCTGGGATCCAGAGGCCGTGTGGACGGAGAAGGAGGAGGCTCACCTTGTGTGGCATACCGATCTTCGTCTACTCAGCATACTCTGCGTCATGGTCTGTGCCGACAAGAGTTGTATACTAGAGTCGCTGCTGAATTGAAACAGTTTTTTGGGTTACAGCTTGATAGGGGCAACCTTCAAAATTCGCTTACTGATTTTTTCCTGAGGGACTTAAACTTATCGACGAATGATTATAATAACGTATACCACCTTTTCTACTCATATATTTTTTGCCCGCTTACACAGCACAGGGGACGACCATACAACTCGTTTGCTTTCTCCTTGCGGAGTTCCCAGTGCAGATGCTCACAAAGAGATTTGGATTTCGACTTGTGCTTCCTACCATGATGATGGCCTGGTCAACTGTCTGTATGTTTATCCTGGTCCTGCTGTTGCGTTGACTACTGACTGTTTCGTTCACAGCTTGGGCACAAGCCTGGATCACAAACCGTGCCTCATTTTACGTGACAAGAGCACTGATTGGTGCATGTGAGGGTGGTTTCATCCCCGGAACTATCCTCTTCGCAACATACTTCTACAAATCGAGGGAGCTTGCGACACGGCTGGCTATATTCTGGTCCACACTCAACGTCAGCATTAGATACTTGAACTCCCTTCACAGTTGAACTAAAGTTTTCCAGGTAGCTCGCGTCATATCAGCGCTTCTTGCGGCTGGTATCCTGCAAATGCGAGGCATAGGTGGAAAACCGGGCTGGTTCTGGCTGTTTCTCTTGGAAGGACTCTTGACATTTTTAATTGGGCTGTTTGTGAGCAAATCGCACTGTGCACCCCAGCCTGGCTACCACTAACATGGCTGGGCAGAGCCTTCTATATCTCCCACAATCTCCCGTTGCGACAAAGAGCTTCCTCTGCCGCCATCAATGGTACACTGAGCGCGAGGAAATAATCATGATAAATGTATGGAATCCTCCAATCTCATTCTACAGCTCCTTCTGACCTGAATGCTAGCGCCTTCTGCGGGATGATGCTGCGAAAGGCCTAACTGCTATCAAGGAACCCGCAAAGTGGAACGATATCAAGGGGGCTTGGAAAGATCAATCGATGTGGGGCTTGTACCTACTGGGACTTGTACTGATTTCTTACGACTACCTCTTTCTCGTCTCTTGGCCACCATAATCCGCTGCTATGGCTGACTACTGTGCTTGTCTCCGCAGATCGCATATATTCCCCAGACACCAGTCCAATCCTACCTCACCCTGACGTTGCGAAACCTAGATTTTTCTGTCTTCGATTCCAACATGCTTTCGATTCCCTCCGCTGTGCTTCAAATCATCCTCATGCTCGGCTTAGCCAAGAGTAGCGAATACTTCAACGAGCGCACCTTCCACTGCTTTATTGGCGAGTTCTGGTCTCTGCCACTCCTTGCAGCACTGCTGGCCCTACCCGCTCGAGGATACGCTTGGGGTCGCTTCACTCTCACTACGATGATCAGCGGCTGAAAGTCTCCCATTTATTTAAGCAGTTTACTCTTTTGTGACACCTTCCGGCAAAATTTCCCAACGCTCCAACAGAAATGCTTTATATATCAAAACCTCTAACTAACATTACTAGTGCAGATCCCTATTTCCACCCTATTCTCTCCGCCTGGATCTCCGAAAACTCCTTCAACGTGAAGAAACGCGCACTCACCGCCGCAACCTATAATGTTATCGTCCAGATTGGCTCGCTGATCGGGTCGCAGATCTACCGTGCTGATGATGCACCATACTATTACCGTGGAAACAAGGTCTTGATCTCTATATGTGCTTTGAGCTTGGTGGTTATGCTGGGCCAGAGGTGGTGGTTGATCCTGTTGAATAAGCGGAAGGAGAAGGTTTGGGAGAGAATGGATGAGCGGGAGAGGGTGAGGTATCAGGAGGATATTGCACAGAGGGAGAAGGATGGGAATAAAAGGTTGGAATTCAGGTTTAGGTATTGATTGTTTTGTTCGTGGGTTGAGTTTGTATGCTTGGTCTCTACAAGACGGGAAATGTTACAGAAGTTTGGAGCATTACTCGCAGTGCTGGGCTAAGACTAGTAGACTACTGTACCAACAGAAAGGCATCAGGCAGGCAGGAATCATATGCATGCAAACCATTTCTGCCACATTATTGACAACTTCAATACTGTGTTCCACCTCTACGGTTGCCCATCACTTCTCGTTTCCTAATTTTGTGGAATGCAAGACTTTCTTCGTCCGCAATGCTCATCCCAGCACATTGCACGAATTGCTAGGAAGTCCAGTTCCACTTCAGACTCCATTACTGATGTTGCCCCTGTATCCTTTGCCAATCCATTTGCAATGAGGATCTGCAATAGATGCTGGCAATATATCAGGCGCAACAGTGCTTAGTAAAGAGCGGTCTTGAGACACGACCAGTTATCGCCGAATCGTTGACTAATCATTAGCTATACACGGTGAAGACAAAAATCATCGAGCGGAACGTCTGATCATGCTAGGTAAATGAATGCCTGTCCCAAAGACTTTAAAAGGCAGCTTCACCACGACAATGAGCTTCGCGTTTCCTGCATCGTCCAGCCCACCTAGTTATCTTGATGTGAAATTGATGGAAACAAATGTTCTCTACCGGAGAACAGATTATCGCATGGTCGCAGAAGACTTCAGTCAATCGTATATCGGGTTGTCACAAAAACGACTCCAGCATACATCATGCAGCTCATCTCCTGCGCCACTATGATCGACAATCTCCCGTGTTTCAGGTAGGTATCGAGACCGAGTCCAGTCTACGGAGTATTCTCATGACTTCATAGACAGTTTAGGTTGGAGATCAGACATTGATTGGATTATGAAACTGTCCCGTGTTTGACCTTTGGACATTCACGTGGAAGCCTGGTCAGTGGAGGTGAACTCTACCCGCATGCGGACTCCCCTAAGGGTTATTGTGATGCCTATATCGTTACCTTTTACAATTCCTGCCGGACTGCAGTTTGATTGTCAGACTTGTATCAGTAGTAGGTCGAAGAGGACTGTCCAAGATGATAAATCTGAATTGGCAGGATCTCAGCTGCAGCCCCCAGGCGATAAGATGACTAGTGCTTGCCCCCTCAGTTACTAACCAAGATACAAACTTACTACAGGGGGGCCTAAAGTACTACGGCTACAGGCCTAATTTTTGTACCCCCCCTGGGTCAAAATATCTTACAAACACCTTTTTACATACACATCCCTGTCAGCAGGCCCTGACGCTTTTTTGCACGAATTTTGCTTATCCTGCAAATTCCGAATCAGATACAAGAACGCTATAGAGATACTCTGCACAATTACAACGAGCTACAAGCGGCTGTTAATGCTATGGGATGTTATGTCTTCTGACTATCTTGGGAAGTTGCTTCACTTGATGCAGGTAACATGCCAAGCAGTTATAGATGCCAATGGAGTGTAAACTTTATTTGAAGACTAGTCTTATTGGGGCTATTCTTGGGCGTTTATACTTAATTCTGCATAGTAAGTTTTTTACGGATACTAGCATTTCAGCAGCGAGGGGTACAAAAACTACGTAGTAGGCCTGTAGCTGTAGGAATGTTAGTCAGGTGCTAAGAGCAGCTAGTTCTTATTACGACAACATAGTGTGATGCTTCGTTACTTTAAAGCATGCTCTGTGTGCATCCATTCTGATGAGTCAATCGTTACATCTAACTTCTTTTTGAGCATACGTAGTAGCTGTTCTGTACAGAGAGTGTTTACAAGAAACGATACTAGCGCTGAGGTAACATTACTTCAGGCCCCGGGTCCATGCGAGAGTTCATGTGACCCCTTTTTGGCTGAAATTTAGCCGAAACGAATCAACAGCTCATCTTCTAAGCGCAGAAGCTGTTGCTTTGCTTCGGCTAGATTTCTGTCGACGGGTGGGTGACATGGGCTCTCACAACCCCTGTGCCGTAGTTGGCTCCGGTTACATACAGGTCCAAGATCTGCACCCCACATATATAACAGGTGGCCACGACTTTCTGCCGCTTACTAAGTTACTTCTCTTTACTGCCAAACCCAGCAGCTTGGTAGGACTACGTAACAAGTCCAAGGAGCAAATTAGGCTTGCCTGCCACCAAACCTCAGTGAGCAGTTTCTGCAGGTTCACGCACACAACCAACATGCCAAGCCTCAAACTGGCGCGCCAATTCAGTCCCAGTGCACTGGTTTCACCTTGTCGCCTTGACACACGGGCCAGAACTTGCTGAAGTAACCAGATCGACCCCCCAATGTGTGTGTCACCACGTTAGTCTTATCGTTTTGTCCGCCGCCGCCCAACAAATGGCATGGTAATTTTCATCACCTGCAAGGCTTACCAGCCTTTTGGGGTCATGGCGCAGCAGCCACGGCGGTCTGGGCGTCCAGATGACCATGGTCACCGACCCGAAGGATCCAGCATTCCCCATGCTCTAGTTGCTACAAGAACTTCATGTATTCCCCCACAACCAGACATTGATGCATCTCATCTTCTTCTATCCCTCTACCAGTACTGCTGCACGTGCCAAGCTCATTGGCCATGAGTTTATGGCCTTGACCTCATCGCCTTTGTGGTTTTTTGTTCTTTGGTACTGATCACATGATCTGAGCGATCTGCCATTTCGATAGGCTTGCCTACCCTCCCACCTCAGCCGTATCTTCTCGATACCATCGCAACGCTTGCTTGGGGCTCCCCATAAGCTCATTTATCCATATTCCATTGTACCGAAATCATGGCAAGTGCTAACTCAACATCCTCGGATCGGGCGCCCGATCAAGGCGGTGTTCTGGATGCCAATAACCCAATTGCTTTCCACCCGCGGGATCCCATTCCCCTGTTCATCATTCAGGTACAGTGTTTGACGCGTTGGCCTCATTTTCCATCCTTGCTGACTCTGTCCAGGCTGCCGTCATTATCATATTCTGCCGCCTCCTGCACTTTCCTTTGTCAAAGGTTCGGCAGCCTCGTGTCATTGCCGAAGTGATCGGTGGCATTCTCCTCGGTCCGACCGCAATGGGCAGAATCCCCGGCTTCAAAGCCAATCTTTTCCCTGACGCGTCAATGCCACCATTGTCACTGGCTGCCAATCTCGGTCTTGTGCTTTTCCTCTTCTTAGTTGGACTCGAAGTTGATCTTCGCCTTTTGGTCAGCAATTGGCGTGTTGCGCTCAGCGTGGGAGCTCTTGGCATGGTCCTTCCTTTTGGTCTTGGTTGCGCAATTGCTTGGGGTCTCTATCATGAATTCAAAGATGAGCCTGGCTTGGCTCCCATTAGCTTTGGTGTTTTTATGTTGTTTGTTGGTGTGGCTATGGCTATCACGGTAAGCCCAAAACGATTGACTATGGAAGCAGAAGCTGACTATGTTAGGCCTTTCCTGTTCTTTGCCGCATTCTGACCGAACTCAAACTCCTACAAACCACAGTCGGCGTCATTGTTCTTTCTGCTGGTGTTGGAAACGACGTTGTTGGGTGGATTCTCTTGGCGCTTTGCGTTGCTCTCGTTAATTCAGGTACTGGTTTGACTGCTCTTTACGTCCTCTTGGTCGCGGTAGGATACTGCCTATTGCTTATCTATGCCATTCGCCCAGCCTTCTTGTGGATTCTCAGGAGAAGTGGCAGTCTTCAAAATGGTCCTTCTCAGTCAATCGTCGCCTTGACGCTCTTGCTAGTCCTCCTGTCATCATTCTTCACCTCCGCAATCGGCATTCATGCTATCTTTGGTGCATTTATGATTGGCCTGATCTGTCCTCACGAGGGAGGCTTCGCTGTAAAGATTGTGGAAAAAGTGGAGGATGTTATCTCAGTGCTGCTCCTTCCCCTCTACTTCGCCCTGTCAGGTTTGAACACCAACATCGGTCTTCTGGACAATGGCATCACGTGGGCTTATGTTATTGGCGTCGTTGCCATTGCCTTTTTTGCAAAGATCACCGGTGGACTTCTCGCAGCTCGAGCGAATGGACTAGTATGGAGAGAGAGCGCCACCATTGGAGTGTTGATGAGCTGCAAGGGCCTGGTTGAGTTGATTGTCTTGAATATTGGTCTTCAAGCACGCATTCTCAGCACAAGGACTTTCACCATCTTCGTGGTCATGGCACTTATCACCACGTTTGCCACAACTCCATTAACCAGTCTCCTTTATCCTGAATCATACCAGAAGAAGCTTGACCTATGGAGACGTGGTAAGATAGATTGGGATGGCAATGCCCTTGTGTCTGACGATAACAACGATACGGACAAGGATTCACTGGCTGTCGGTGACGAAATGATTGTTCGCAAAATGCTTGTTTATCTTCGACTTGATGGCTTGCCAAGTCTCTCCACGTTTATCAGCCTACTCAGCGACCATGCTGATGCACCAAGACCAGACGAGAAGAAGCATCATCTCCTAGCGGATGCTCAACCTAAGGCTGAAGATGCCACAGGCAAGAAGGCGTCCGATCACGCACGTCATCCACGTCGCCCTCTGGAGGTCCATGGTCTTCGTCTTCTGGAATTGACAGAACGCGATTCTAGCGTCATGCAGGTGTCCGAGATCGAGGAGTACGGACCTCGGGATCCTGTTGCTAGAGCTTTCCGCATGTTCGGACAGTTTAATGACATTGCAGTCGCTGGTGATGTTGCTGTTGTTCCAGAACGGTTTTATGCCGATACTCTCATCGAGAAGGCCGATGAGCTGTCGTCCGATTTTGTCCTCATTCCTTGGAGCGAAACCGGAACAATGAGCGAGCAACCATCTCTACAAGCACTATCGAAACCTTCCTACCAGATTTCCGGGCCATATATTTCCTTCCTCAACGAAGTCTTCGACAGGGCATCATCCAACACCAACGTTGGCGTCTTCATTGACCGTCCAGAAGCACCAAATCACGAAGAACGAAATAACAGAGCTCTCACCCGAACAACCACTGGTGGCATCAGCGTCCACAGTGGCCGCGGTCGACCTGCAACCCCTTTCAACCACGCTCTCACCTATCACATCATAGTACCCTACTTTGGCTACGCGGATGACCGTTTTGCCGTCCGCCTCGCCCTGCAACTCGCCAAGAACGACACCATCACCGCAACCATCATGCATTTCGCCGAGTCCTCCTCCGGGGTGAATGTCCTCTCTTCATCCGAGAGCCCCAGCCCGGGCTCTACAGCTGGCACTGAATCATCCGGCCCTTATGAGAAGGAATCAGCAGCAGACGAAGCAGTTTCGTTCTTCACCTCCCTTCGTGACAATCTTCCTTCGACCCTCTCGTCTCGAGTCGTCTTTCAATCCTACTCTCTCAACTTAACTAGCACATCCGCCGACGTCGTCGCCATAATCAACAAATCCATCACTGCCACCGCATCCGATGGCAGTATTGAACACATCGTCATCACTTCCAAGTCTTATAGCAGTATCTTCACTACCGCCGCTACCGGTAGCCTCTCCCATAACAACACCAGTGGTAGCGGTAATGGAGGGACTACTACAAATCCACCCACACCCCGGACAGGAGGCCCACCACTCCCACCCACAACACCGAGCAGGACCTTACTCTCACCGATGGCGACTGCGTTGGGTATTCAGGCTCCTAACACGCCAGGCGGTAACGACAGTGCTTGGTCCGGTGAGAGCAAGGTTCTCGGCGGCCTAGGCTGTGCACTATGGGAAGCGAGTCGAAGTGGTGGCTTGAGAGCAGGGTTGCTGGTCGTGCAGGCCAAGAAGCCAAAACTAGGTCAGACCCAGACTGCAAAAGGAGGAAGCAGATTGGATGTCATCGCTGCATCTGGTGAGAGTTGACGGTGTTGATCTCTTGGGTCAACTAAGAGGGATTTCAACGTTATTTTTCTGTGGGTCTTTCGGGAGCGGGCGGATCTCTATTCTTATTGTTCTTGAATATACGGATACCTACAGACACCCGAGGGACATGAAGAGATATAACGAGCGAGCGGTTTTGTATATGAATGCATTGCCTGTACAAGGCAGGCATTCCCAAAGAACCACATGTTCTCTTGCTTGTCATGCTAATGACCACGTCACAACAGGGGGAATACAGTATAAAATGCTTACCTAATCTAAATTACCCTGTCCAATGGGGTTATCCCTGGCAGAGGTATGAGGCTTTAAGTTAGACCACTACTAGGATAGGGATGTCATCGCGACCCTACTCCCTACTGCGGTACCCAGACTTCCGCAGGTAAGTCTTGCTAGCTCCGTGCTACATAACTCAGAGTCACCTAGGATAGAAGGGGTCTATGGACTTTATCAGTCCGCCTTCAATATCCAAGGAAGGTGAAGCACGTTTTGATTCAGGGGGAAATGAACATGCTGTCGTATGCAAATCTACAGTATATTTGGAACGACAAAGCTAAGACCTCGGATACACCAAAAGAAGGAAGTTCGAAGATGTTAGACCTGAATAAGCATCGATGGCATCAGATCTACCAGCCAGGTCAGCTGGATATCATCTGACTCACAAACTATTCCTCCCCTAGGAAAGGCGTCATACACACGACTGTGACATGAGAACGTTTGGACAGTGTCAAGAGACTCTGCACGGAAGCTTTACTGAAATAGCTTTTCTTTACGGTGTAGGGAATGCAACAGTTGATCCTTCAATCTATCTTTTTACAGGCATTACAGACACTTACAACTTGGAACATTGGCGAGCTGGGAGGCTTGATTTGAAATTGGATGTAACAGCCCAAGGATACTTGGTATCCGAAAAGCTGTTGATGCCTGCCTTTACAATGGTGAAGATGAAGAATGTTTCCTTTGTTCTTTCCTCCTCTTATCATCATCGTACACCCGTACCCCGTTGCTAGAGTTTGCAAATGCTGTCTTCTCCTACCTTTCTCTCCGCTTCATTTGGGGATACTGCTGGCACTGTATAACGGTATAGAAACGACAAAATGCTCTTCAAAACTCCCAAAGACCTTCTGGTCGCAGGACTGCTTGCTGCCGTACAGGCTCGCTCAACCCCTACTCCGGGAGCATGCAGAGACTTAACACTAACTGTTACCACAATGGCCGACACGGTCATATTCTCTCCTCTTCCTGACATGAGTCAGCCCGACGGGGCTGATGCAGTCATGAATTTCTTCGGCGCACTTCCCGACATCCTCGCAAACAACCCACATCAACAAACAAGTGGAACATATAATATCACTGCAACATACTGTCCTCCAGAAGGCGGTATCCTTCCAGACAGGAACGAAGTTCAACTTCTCGTCCACGGGGCCACCTATACCAAGGAGTACTGGATGGGTGGAGCATGGCATGGTTCGGACGACTATTCATGGACGAAGCAAGCCAACAAAGCTGGCTACGGCACTCTCGCAATTGACAGGCTGGGCAATGGCGCATCTGAGCACCCTGATCCCCTACAAGTGGTTCAGCTCACGTTACAAACCGAAGTCCTGAATGTCGTTGCACAAAAGATCCAAAGTGGCGAGATCACGGGTAGCCCAAGCAAAGTCATCTACGTGGGTCACTCGCTGGGATCCATCTTAGGCACCATGCTAGCCAACAGATATCCCAACAGCATCGATAAACTCGTCTTGACCGGCTACACCAGCGACGCCTCAAACGTCGCTCCCACTGTCGTCGCCGGCCAGTATCTTCCTGCCCAGAACGTCGAGCCCGCCCGCTTTAGTTCCCTCCCGCAAGGCTACTCCACCCAATCCATCGAATCAGGCCGCACCCTCCTCTCTTATGCCGGCGACTTCGACCCCTCTATTCCACCCTTGGACTTCTGCACCAAAGGCACTCTTGGCCTCGGCGAGATATTGGGGGTTGGTTCTGCTCCAGCCTCCATCTACCAGGGGCCCGTCTTCATCTTGACTGGTGACAAAGACGAGCCCTTCTGTGGTACCAACCCCAACGCTCCCTGCGAACCGCTCATTCAGGCCACGGCGTTGGAATTCCCCCGGGCTTCTACCTTTGGGTACTTCATGCCTCGGAACACGGGCCACGGCCTCAATTTCCACTATACGGCTAGCGAGTCCTTTGCTGCGGTTACAAAGTGGCTCAACTCCGAATCGAATGCTTCCTTTTTACAAGAAACAGTGAAACGGTAAATCTTCTTGATTAAACCCGGGCAACAACAGAATGTGCGTTCAGGTTGTGCGAAGCGCAGCATTCTTGGCCCGTATGAGACGCAGCCGCGTTCCTTTGCAGGAGAAAGACTGCAGGACACTGTCAGGGCTCGCGTCTTTCTCTAAAGCATCACTCGACTTCCACTAGCACCCTGCTCCTCCTGAGCTACGAATCATCCCTCGCTCTTGTACGCTTACTTTCAAACCATCATTCCTCATGTAACATCAATTGTCCGAGTATTTCTCCCAACGATGCGCAGTCTCAGATTCCTCTTCACTATATATCCATCGTTTCCTTACAGATCCTCCCGTTGAAACGCACACGCGCATCAGTTCGAGATGTAAAGTAGATAGATTTATAGTAACTAATCTCCCAACCGAAGTCAAGCATTCTACATCTCTATGTATTTTGTATACATATAGCAGCCGCCCACCTGCGCCTGCGTAGATTCGATGCGGAGTCGGCGCTCAGCTTGCTTATGATCCGCCCTGGGGATAGATACGAGGAGAAGGTACACAAGCACTGCTTCAGCAAACTGTAAGTCCAACTTTTGCTACATAGCAAGAAAATGGAACTGCATAGGCATAAGCAGAGGCATAGTCGCTGCTTGCTCTTGCGCTGAGAGTGAGTACCCAGCGACCACGGGCAGGCAATCCTGGCTCGGGATATTTGCTTCTCTCAGCATACTGAGTTATGCAGGACATGCTGAAGGATGCATGAGGTTGGAGGTTATCTCTCTTGCGAGACAAAATGGGGGGGGACTACGGAGTATAGGCGCGTTTTATATGAATGAATAGGTCTTGTCGGATACTAGTTGATACTGATACCACCCGCCATAAACCCTTCCGAAGACATCCCATATCAGGCGGTGCAATCATCCAGATCCAGATCCAGATCAACATGCACCCTCAAGCCCTTATCCTGCATCAAGTCATACACGCCGCGCAGCTGCTCCTCGCCCATCGCATCCCGAAGGTCAGGCACGCTGAACGCAAGCATGTACAAGCTCTTGCACCAGGGACAGGCGCGGATGGCGCGATGAAAGACACCGACTGCCCTGTCCGCCGCATGTTCTCTCTTGCTCTCCGCCGACGTGCTCTTTTTCGGTGGTCTCATTGGTGGGGATTGGGCGGGCTTCTTGGTGGCTGGTGGGCTGGAAGCGACGTGCACCTCCCAGAGAATGTAGAGTTTCCATATGATTGGGCTGTGACGGCCTGCTGGTGAGGTTTTGGAGACGGGATCCCGGTCATGGGGTGAGGCGACGGCTTCTTCGAATGCAGCGCGGATGGAATGGGATGTGCTTCCTGCGAAGGTGGGGCGGTTGAGTTCGCTGTATATGTGGAAGAGGGTTGGGATTATGGGTCGTAGCAATGGATTTAGCATGTGGCTTGCTGTTGCTGTTGCTGTTGTTGATAGTTGGTTGGTGGATGAAGCCATAGCGAGCGTGGGGATGACTTCTCTGATGCGGTCTGTGAGGAGAAAGCGACGCGTGTGGAAGTGGTAAAGGCAAAGGAAGATGGTGTTACCAGGGAAGAGACGGATGGACTCTGAGAGTGGGATTGTGATGTCGGATGGTCTGTAGCCGGACCGGGATGTTCTGGCGTGAAGGTGTAGCAAGCGGGCGCGGGATTGGTGGACGAGGCAGAGTGCTGAGGGGGATTGGGAGATTGTGGGATGAGTTGAGGTTGTTGTATAGTGCGCGAGAGATGCCGCTAAGTCGTGGTCGGAGGTAAGGTAGGTCCAAACGGTCAGAACGTCTAGATAGTGGACTGAGAGGTCGGGATTATTCAAGGAGAGGTTCTGGTTGAGGTGAGATGACAGGTATTGATGAGCCCGGAGCTTGGTGGTCGGATGTCCTTCTGAGTATGCTGCCACAGATTGAGATAGGTCATCCAGTGTCACTTTTTCGTCCGCAACGGCCAGGCACACTCTCAAGGCTCTGGAGAAGTCCCGCCGATCCAGCAGTGCCCATAGCCAGGATCGCCAGATCAGTATAACATCTTGCTGACTCGTTTTGGAGAATGATGGACGCATGGACAGAGTTGTGCACCAAACCCGCTCCGCAGCTTGAAAATTGCCAGTACTGCATTCCAGCAGGGCAAAGGCATTGTACAGCCGAATTGACGAGTCGTGCTTGAGGAGACTTTTGGCCTTTTTGCGAGCTTCCTTGACATCAACTTGGGTGTTGAAAGCTAGAATGTACTCTGCTAGGAGCTCATCTTTAGGTGAAGCAGCAAGAAGCTGCTGTAAAGATCGCTGGACCCAGTCGCAGCGAACTTTATTGGACAGTACAGAGTGGAGGCCTCTCCACGGATTGGGCCAATATTCATTGTCACTCCACAGAGATGCTGTGTCTATGATAAAGGACGGCATGGGGAAATCAAATGGTTGACTTCGTTCTGACGGAATGATCCAACCGTCCAGGCTCATCTCCCAGACGTCGCGGAGGGGATTATTAATGAACGCGTCTTCAGATAACGAACGATCATTGAGAGGTCCTGGTCGGAACGGCAGAAGATGACAGAAATATAGAAAGGCTTGCAAGAGTTGTTTCTGAGCTTCTTCACCAGATGGTCGGAAGAGGAAAGGTTGAATATCTGAGAACAATATCACCCTAAACGGATCATCCTCGTCAACTTCATCGAGAGTTCTGGCTGGCAAAGTTGACGAGCTCATTTTCTGCTGCTCTTGTACACTCCAGGCTCTAATATCGCCTTGATAAGTTGTCGTTGGAATGAAAGGATCACTTCGAGGCAACACTTCACTACGCCGAGACATCCTCCACCCTCGAGCACCTTCTTCGCCCAAACGAGGCACCTCGCTATCCCAGAATTCCTCAAATGAGAAGAGCTCGTCACCGGCCTGGTCGCTCATAGGCTCAAAATAGCAGTATTCGAAGATGGCTTGCCATAATGCATGAGCGTGCTCTGAGAAACCCGCCTCGCGCATGAATGTTGTCATTTGCACGAAGACGTAGCTGCGTATACCCTCCAACTCAGATGAAGCCTGTCGTTTTCGAATCATGTTCAGACAATCCTTGAAAAGGTCTCGACAACTCTCATAGGTGAAGGACAGAAAATTGGTCTGTCGAAAGGTCAGGTACTGCACCCACAAGCGCAAACTATCCGGAAGCCCATTCAGCACAGATTTCCACTCTTTTGTTAATTTCGCATTGTCCCAAACTTTAGCTCCCTCCATCATCATGCCATGCACCAACCAATCTTGCAGAGGATGTCCTTTGGTTTTGGACAGGGCTTTCTTATACATAGACAATTTGACGTCGGCATGTCCGTGATTCTGAGCATCGGACGATACTTGAGTGAAATCACCACCAGACTCTGCGAGCAAGAGGTCCTGGTGCTGGATCAATGCCAGCCACGCGTTGACATTGGATGGATCTTCGTTGACAAGCCTTGAAAGATGAACATGGCGCTCTCTCGTGCTGTTCCCAGCGCCCGAGTCAGAACCAGGCGTGTGCTCAGATTCAGAATCAGGATCTGAGCTCGTAGAAAGGCTTTCGAGATTCTGTCCGGCTGCAGATTTGTCGGGATCGTGATCGTAGTTGTTATCTTGTTGTAAATTTTCTGGGAGCCCTTCTGCATGGGAATGCCAATCATTCAGCTTTTGTCGCTTTCGACTAGGATATGGTGATAATGGAAGATAGCTTTTGTGAGCATCGACTTCGGCATCATTCTTCTTTAGAGCAACAACGAGCGCCGGGCCTGTCTCCTTCAACAAACCTGTGCGCAATGATCTTGCTACACGTCGGTCAGCCGGATGGAAATGCTCAGCCGTGATCAGCCGTCGGCCAGGCTCAAGCTCAGGTGTCGTTTTGAAATCTCTAGAGAGACCAAGGATGCCATACCGACCAGCTTCACGATATTTTGGCACGGTATACCGACTTGGAGCACCGTATCTGACATTGTTCTCATCACTTCTTCTATCTTCTCTGAATTGAGCTATGTCTTCATCGTCCAAGTTGCGGTAGCCTGATCGGTCAGGCGAGTGGTGCAGATCGAGGTCGACACCAGAAGCGGAGGTTGGAAGATCCTTGTCGGCCCTCCCGCTACGGCCATGTTCCTTGTGTAGATGTTTTCGATGTTTGCTGAAGCGAGGTTCTGTATGACAATCACCTCGCTTTTCTGGGGCTACCGACCTAGCAGTGCGTGATCGATCGTTCTTCTCGTCGTCGCGACTTGCTGTTGGTGGTCGGGGTTTGAAGCTTGCAAAGCGTGGCACCGCAGATTCAAGCGACTTGGAGGCAGAGTTGAGAGAATTCAAAGTTGCTTCAGGAGCACTTGGTTTTTGCCGGCCGCCTCGTTCCATCCGTTTACTCAAGGTCAATCCCGTACAAGTCGGCCGCATTCAGAGTTGCGACCTCGGCTGCACCTGTGATCAACGTCATGCACCCTCGCGAAAAACTTCCCTTTGTGAAGTAATTTTTCTGGTCGATTTCATTCTTTGCAGCCAGCAGTCCGCAGCCAGCAGTCCGCAGCCAGCAGCCAGCTACAGACACTTGAACATTGACGGGGAGGATACGGGGCGGCGGAGGTCTTGAAAACTGCACCTGCTCCAGGAAATCCACTTGGCTCGTCACAAATGGCCTCCTCTTTTGCTGCCCAGTTGAAGGAGATTGCGGCGAAGTCTAAGAATGAGCTTGATCTGAAGGCTCACAAGACTGCTCATTCCCAATCCCTTATATTCGCGAAAAAAATTGCTGGCACTCAAGACTTCGACACCATATATCAACTATGTCTCGAAGGCTTCGAAGATCTTTGCAAAATCGATCCGCGATTCCAGGAGTATCAGCGCAACTTGTTCAGCCAGCAGAGCAAAACCCAAGAGCGAGATCTGATGACAGCGGAACAGAATGCCACACTCGATACGGTGCTTGAAGGTTGCTTAGGACTTCTAGGGGGGCGTCTCCTATTGAGTCCTGCCAGGAAGGTTGCAGAGTGGCTTGTCCGACGGTTTAGGTTTGTTGAAATTTTAACTGCCCTCACCGCACAGTGCTGACATCTCCTTGTTGGCAGAGTACATGAATACAACACTTCGTTCTTTCTCCTTACCTTCCTGCCCTACCATGCCACTCCATTCTTTCGCAACCTCCTATCGATTCTGCCCTCACCGCTTGCTCCCCAATTCAAATTTCTCGTACCTTACATCCCGGGCTTGACTAATCCTCCTCGACATGCCATTGCTTACGGCGCAATAAATAATGACGGCTTTTTCGCTGCACTCAATACATATGCGCTGAAGGTGTGTCATGCCGGAAGCCAGCACCAAACCTTGCTCTCCTTCTGGGCAAGCATTATAGCAGAAGCGATAGCTGGTAGGCTTGACCTGGCCAAGTCCGGCAGAAAGGAAATCCAAAGGCAAAGACAAGAAGACGTGCTGTTGAAAATACTTCCTCTCTTGAAAGATGGATTGTCTATGCACGAGATACCAGAAATGATGACAGCCTGTTTCACTTTCGCCATACTTTTAGCCAGCAAAAGCCAATTGGCGAACAATGTATTGGATAGCCTTATGGAAGCCGTCACTGGCGCTCTGAAGAAAGAGACCATGGATGCGGGCCTGATTTGCCTCTCCATCATGACTCAACAAAAGTCTGAGCAGTTCTTGAATAGGCGGGTTATTACGAAGCTGTCAAAAGTCAATGATCTGGAAAAGCGACTGCAAGCATTCAATAAATCATGTGACATTGAAGGCTTTACATTTGCGATAGTTCAGAGTGCTCTATCCGATGTCCGGGCGAAGGGACAAAAGGAACGACTTGATTTAGTGGAGAGACTGCTTTGGGCTGAGCTGATGGATTCAGAGAGAATGATTCGCTCTATTGCTTCACTGATAGTACTGCTCAAGAGCGCAAGCCAGAATGTCGATCTAACGTCTTTCCGAGATACAGTAGCGGACTTGCTTCGAAGACTCAATGATTCAGAAAGATTCTCGTCTCTTGTTCCACATGCAGTACAACAGAGCGGCGTAGATTCGGCAAACCTGGAAGCCAGTCTGGAAATTATGATCGAGGAGCCCCAGAGAAAACCAGCTGAAGTTGAGGAGATGGATGTTGACTCCGATACTCCGGGCACAGCCCCGAGTCCGCTCGATCGTGCTCTAAAGCACGTTCCACAACGCACTGTTGAAGAACATTCGTTTCTATCGCCTGTACCGTCCCACCTGTTCCCACCTCTTCTAGAGGCATTCACGTTAGCTGCTCAGAGTAAGGAGGGGCTTGAAAAGTTTTTGGAATTACCGTTGTGGAAATTGTCTAAAGATACTGATGAGCCGTTGTTTGCCTCTTTTTTCGTGCGAGTGTTTTCTGGTCCATACTCGATTCAGGTGCGAATCGCTGCCCTGGGTGCTGTCCAGAATTTTCTCTCCCAGTTGTCAAACTCTGACCCTCAAGCTATCCTACCCTATGTCCTGCCACAACTTGCAGATCCTGCGCAGAGAATTCGGAGAGCCGCATCAGAAGTTTTACTTGCCATGGAGCATGCATTACCGTCTGCGTTTGTGGATGGCGAAACATTCAAGCAGTGGGGTGCGAAGGATCTGTATGGCTCTGGCAAGATTGAACGGTCGGTGTCGTTCCAGCCTACCCAAGACGTGTCCAAGATCCTCCAGAGAGCCGTACTGCCACTTCTTGAAGAATGCATACTGGATCCAACAGAGATCAGAGGCGCCCTCAAAAGCGCCCTGAGACCTAGCTCAGGTGACCGTGTCAGCTCTAAGACTAAGTCAATTGAGTTAAAGAAGTACCTGAGACAAAGCTTCTTCCGCCTCCTCCTTACACATCTCTCCTCCACACCTCTATACTCAGTCAAGTGCGGTCTCCTAAATCTTCTCTCAGATGTTGAGAAGCTAGGCGGCATTTCGAAGCGGAAAGAGCTCATGCCGCTGCTTCTTCGTTGGGCATCGCTTAGTTATGAAGATGTCGAGACGCTGGCAGCGGCCGAACATTTGGACAAAAAAACCGTCAATGTGGCCATGTGCAGCATAATATCTCCCACTGACGAAGATGCTGTGAAAGCCTTGCTGGGACTAACTTTTTCAAGCAACAAAAAGCGGTCAGATTTCGCAATCGCTGTTTCTGAGCGCATTCAATCTTTTTGGCCACAGCTGAAGACAGATCGACAGATTGCAGCGGCTGACGCATTGTTAAAGACAATGTTCAGCGAGGAAGCAGAACGTGGAGGCCACTCCCAGCTACCAAGAAGTGTATTTAATTCAGTAGAGTTGTCCACTGATGTTCTTATACATCTCCTCAACAACGTGCGATCTTCGATGGATGAGGCGAAGGAGCATTCACCTGCGTCGAAGAGGAGGCGTACCAATGAAAGTCAGGCTGTCCCAGTCAACAAGAGTTTGAAACTTGCCATTATCAGCAAAGCGACGTTTGTATTGGAACTGATCGACAACTCCAGCCCAGAGAGTCGGCCTCAGCTTCTAAGCAGTCTTTCCGACGTCTTTATGGCCTTGCATCAGGTCAAGCTGCAGCACCAGTCCGATATGAGCTATCTATTGTCTCTGTCACTTGGTAGCCTCTTAAGCATTGTCCGTAATGCTGCTTCGCATGCATCTAAGCTGGAAAAGCTCGATGTGTCACGTTTGCAAGTCGACGTCATCATGGATTGTGTTCGCACAACCCCCAGTCCTCAGGTGCAAAACACTGCTCTTCTGCTCATAGCGGCTACCGCAAAACTCCTCCCGGAGCGTATTCTCGACAGCATCATGCCCGTGTTCACATTTATGGGGTCGAATGTGTTGGGAAAAGAGGATGAATATTCCAATTATGTTGTTGATCAAACAATGGACCAAATCATCCCAGCCATGATCGAAGCTGTTCGCGGCAAAGGTCAGGATCTCGTCGGCCAGACTTCTGATCTCGTCTTCAGCTTTGTGGTTGCGTTTGAGCATATACCTCCACACAGAAGACTCCGGTTGTTCAAAAAACTCGTTTCAAACCTTGGTGATGAAGTTTTTCTCTCGATTCTAATCTCTAGCCTCACAAAGCGATATCCAAATCAAGATGATGTCAACTCCTTTATTGTGACTTTAACCAATACCTTCGATGCGGATATCCAGTTGGAAACTTGCGTGCGGCTTGTTGGAGGTCTGCGAGATGCGCTTGCTGGTCAGCCCAATCAATATAAGGCAGTAACCGACGCCGAGAATGTGAATGGCAGCATGTCTCCGCTGGTAGTTCTCTCTTTGCTGCGGACACTTGATAGGCTTTTCAGTGAGTCCAATATCAAGCCCAAGATTGCAAGATTTGGTATGTCCGTCAAAAATGGGAAGGAGAACCTCACATCAACCTGGAAAAGCCTGCTGGATCAGATGATACGTCTCGTACAGACACCTGATCTCGATCAAGAATTATCAACCACCGTGAACAGCGTTCTGTCGAGCCTCTTACGCCTGGTACCAATCACAACGTTCGTTAGCATCACGGAGCATTTCCTCGTTGGTGGACCAGATATCATCAAAGAAAGAATACTGAGGCTTCTACGATTTCGCTTACATGCTCAGAATGAGCGAACATCAGCTCTTCAAGCTCAGCTGATGGCCTTCCTTCAGATATTGTGTAAGACACTGACAGAGCCCAACGACGAAGCTATCAAGCATGCGGCCCTTGAGTGCATCGATTGCATCTCAGAGCTATATGGCCGTAAGGATGCACCAGCAATGGTTCAAACAGGACGAGTCATCAGTGAAGCGTGCCTTAAGTCGTCAGAACTCAAGCTCGCAACCCTTGCCCTACTATGTCTATCGTCGATTGCCGATTCTGTGAAAGAAGCAATAGTGCCGATTACACCACAGGTGATACCAAAGGTATTCGGTCTAGTCCAATTCAGTCTTCAAGAAGAAGCAGAGCATATCGAGCTTCATAATGCAGCCTTTGCTCTTCTTTCCGGCGTGTTGACCCACGTGCCGTTCATTTTCTCGATGGAGCATCTTGACCAAATCCTGGTGCTATGTGCAGAGTCTAGGAATGCGTTGTTAAACACTGAAACCCATGAACTACTCGAACAGGCTCTGCGGCTAGTTGGTAGCAAAATCGAGCTGGCAAAGATTGTTGGGTCGTTGCGGCGGACCTGGAACGCGACTGTGGAGAACGACCTGCCTGCCGTTCAGCAAGCGCTTGCTTTGCTCTTAAACTCAATTCAGACCTCGTCCAAGTCACTCGTTGCCAACCAAGCAGACAAGATCTCTGAACTTCTTCTCCAGGCTTTCGATCTCCGAAGAATCCAGTTCACCAACATCTCAGAAGACAGCTACACCAATGCTGATGTTATCAAGGTAGAGCAGACCGTCAATGCAGTCACAATAGAGTTCATCTACAAACTCAATGACACGACATTCCGTCCTATCTTCCACCAGATGCTCGCCTGGGCCACGAAATGCCCGGATGTGAAACCCGTAAATCTCGCCAAAGCGCAAAAGCTAAGACAAACCACGCTCTTCAATTTCCTGGCCCACTTCTTCGGAACCTTGAAATCGATCGTCACGTCATACGCCTCCCACGTCGTCGAGCCAGCCATGGCTGCCTTGAAAGAAATCTCCAGCGCCGCCTTGTCATCACCACCCCACACCTCTACAAAAGCCAAAAAGCGCCACCTTACCAAATCTCCCTCAACCCAAGATCAAAACGACGAAAAAGACACCACTCAACTCTACACAGCCATACTCGCCACCCTCCGCGCAGCTCTCACCCACGACCACGACGCCCACTTCTCCAACCCCGCCCTCTTCCACCCGCTCTCCGAGATCCTAACCGAGCAACTCCACCTCGCCTCCCACCCAACCTACACCCCGTACATCCCCTCGCACACTATCCCAACCATCGTCCGCCTCGCCGTCGCGGTAGTCGACACGCCCGAGCACCTCAAACGACTCAACAGCCTCATCTGCGCCCTCCGTCGCTCCGAAGATGCCAAGGTCAGATCCGCCAGCGTGAAGCTGCATTTGGCCCTCGCAGGCGCAGAGACACTCACACCACCACCACCACCAGCAGGAGAAGGAGAAGGAGCGGGAGACGAGGAAGTAGGGATAGCGGAGGAATGGTGCGGGACCGTGCTTTCGGTGGGTGAGGGGATGGTCTATGTTAATGAGATGTTGGAGGATGAGGATGAGGAGGTTGAGAGGGGGATCAGGAGGCTGGTTAGGAGGGTGAGGGAGGTGGTTGGGGAGGAGGGCATCTTTGAATGAAATGATAGATGCGAGTGGTGCTTCTACGCAATTGGTGGGGGGGTGAGGGAAGGAGGGATTTATGATTAGGGTGTTGATAGGTGGTAAATAGGCCACCGCTATATCCCGCACGATCGCTGGAGAAATGACTGCACAGCACCAACAGCATGTGCATCAAGACCAGAGCAGTGTATGGAGGAGATCGTATTGAACAATTCCAATCAACGCTCAACGCAACAATGGAAATCACCTACTACTACTTCGTTGTAGCTAGTTCTTCTTTTCAGCGCTGCAACCAACCCGTACATAGTAGCAGTAGTAGCCCCCATACCTCTGCCAAACCCGCATACCTGTCCCATGATATGCTGACTGATCACCGAGTCCTGATCACGCCGGCCGCGACCAACTTCTGGATTTTCGTCCTGATCATGGGGTTTTTCATGTGCTCTGCCAGGGAATTCTGTGAGCTTTTGGCCTGCTCGAGTATGGATTGCATTACAGGGTCCTGCAGGATGGACATGATTTCGGGATCGCGCTGGATCCTCTCCGCCGTCTGTTCCTCCGTCTCGCCGATCCGACTGCTGAATTGAGCCTCGAGGGCCTTCTGCTGCTGCTGCTCGATCTCGCGATAGTTCTTGCCTCCTTCGTCGTGCTCGTGAGCCTCGGCGCAGACGTCGATGCACTTGTTGTATTCCTTCATGCCGAAGAGGGCCTGTGCTTTGCGGAGGTAGGCGCGGATGAACTTAGGGTCACGCTTGATGGCTTCATCGCAATCTTGCACGGCGCCGGGGAAGGTCATGAGTTTGATGAGGGCGGCGGCGCGGTTGCTGTAGCCCCGTGGATCTTCAGGGGCGCGCTTGATCATCTCCGTGTAGGCTTCGACAGCACCGGGCCAGTCGGCTTCTTTGAATTTTTGGTTGCCCAGTTCACGGGCTTTGTCGGCTTCTTCTGGGTTGATGTAGGCATCTTTCTCGGCTTTGATTTGCGCTTTCTCGGCGGCTTTGAGTTTGTTGAGAACCTCGGGGGTGCGGTGCTCAGTCAGGGATTTTTGGTAGTTGGTGATGGCTTTGGGAAGGTCGTTCATCTTCTCGTAGGCAGAGCCGATGCGGCCATAGGCTTTGGCGATGACCTTGAAGTCGGCCAGGACCTGGCGGCCTTCTTCAATGGCCTTTTCGCAAGCTTCAATGGCTCCTTGGTAGTCGCCCTTCTCGAATTTGGCAGCACCTAGGTTGGTGAGGTAGGTGATGTCTTTGTGGAGTTCCCAGGCATTGCTGTAATGCTCGATTGCGGCGTCGAATTGTCGCTTCTTGTAATTCTCCGTGCCAAGCCTTTTCTCTGCCTCTGCTTCGTCTTTCGCCTTTTTCGCTGCCATTGCCTCTTCATCTTCTGGTTCCGGTTCTGGCTCTGGTGACGCCTCTTTCGGTTTTGGCGGTGGCTGGGAAGAAGGGCGGGCATCCGGCATGGGCAGATCCTCTTCAACATCACCTGAACCAGAAGCAGTAGGCGCTTCGCCAGGAGGTCCTCCGAATTGCATATCAATCCCCAACAGCACACTCATCACTTGCAAGAACCTTGGGTCGCCTAGCTCTTGGCCGAGGGAGCTTGGATTTTGCCGTAGCTTTTGAAGTTTTGCCATGAAAGAGGCGTCCGCAAGAAGTGGTGCAGTTTTCGGGTTGTTGCCAAGTTTCTGAATCAGTTGCGGATCGTTGAACATGTTATCCAAACCTCCCATAGGGCCACCACCTGCTCCGTCAGCTTTAGCTTCGGCATCCATAGCCCTATTAACAGCTTCTAAGCCCGCCTTTGCTTGGGCGTTTGAGGAGTCTAGCTTCAATGCTTCTTCAAACGCGTCATGAGCTCCAAGCAGGTCACCTGTGCCATGAAGCGCAGCGCCTTTTCTTCCCCATCCTTTAGCCCAGTCTGGCTTAATCTCGGTTGTCTTGTTGGCATCTTCCAGAGCTTTGCCAAATTGCTTCATGGAGGCATATGCCCCGGATCGGTTGGAATAGAGGACATGGTTATCAGGATCGAGCTCGATAGCTTGTGAGAATTTTTCACTGGGCATATTCGAGTCAGATAATACACCAGGAGGACAAAGAAATACTTACACTGCCTCCTCGAAGTTTTTGGCAGCAAACGCCTTGTTGCCTTCGGCCTTGAGAGCGTCGGCCATAGTATTTGCGATGTTGACTTTGAGTACAGCGGTAGAACGAATTGAGCAAGTTTCAGGCTCGTTTTCCGAGTGTTGTGTATCTTCCTATTAACTTAGACACTACTTGGTGAACCCGGAGAACTTTTGCGCTGATCATGTGTTTGTGTTGAAGCTCCAAAGCTCCAGAACTTTCGAAGCGCACAGGCCACCTGACGTCCAACCCCTTCGGGTTCCCTTCCGACCAGTCTGGGCGTCCTAAGGGGTAGCCCAGCCTGCCAAAACTCCGTTGGTCGTTTTGCAGCAAGTATTCCAGGAATGATACTATGCTAAAGTAGAGAAGCGGATATCTGTTTTGATGTTGTCATGTCTTATCATCATGCGTCGAAGCTAATGGGTATCACTGTAAACGAGGTTCCGCCGCTCATGTAAATCACGCCCTGGATAATCGCCTTCGCTATGCCACAAGAACACAACCAAACCTCCGAGCTGAGAATCACCAGACCAGACTATGCTCCTGATCTATCCGTGTACTCTCAATCTTCAAGAACCATTCTTCGAAGTATTCGCAATTATCAGGATTGACAGGTCCTCCAACTTCGCACATGTCGAAGACTGGACATCTACCACAGGGTATTTCTGTCATACCACCACTCCCCAGCTTACTCAGCTCCCGTTCTCTAGCGACCTGCATTGCACTATCATTTTCTCTTGTCGTGTCACGAAGCCGTTCGGCGAGGTCCCAGTCCGCAACGATTTGTGTCGGATTTTTCCGTGCCTTGTACATTGTAGGAGCTGACCCATCAGGGGTAGCCTTGATTTTAGTGATATTGTCGTCGTAGACCATGACTTCAAGCAGCTGCGAGATATTACTCTCGGTGATTTTTCCGGATTGAAGGATTTTGTTGTCGTTGACAAAATCCGTCAGGTACTTGAGAGTAGGGTATTTGGAATATCCAGCCGGGTATGGAACATATATCTTCTCAGGAAGTGTCACACTAACATGCTGCTTCTTCGAGGTTGGCCTGTGTTGAATGTCTGCATGCGCACTGCTGGAGGCAGACAACTCGTCACCAGCATTGTCAGTATCCATTCGTCGAACCTTTCCCTTGTCCTTTGTAGTACTATCAAATCCATCATCAGGCCTTTTGCGCTTCTGAGAAACACCTAGCTTCGAACCCGTAGACTCCGCTGCCGGATTGGTGATCTGATTCCAGCTCAGATCACTAATTCTCCTCTCCAGTGTTCGGGCAAGCTCCTCCAGGAGCTCATGGTCAAGCACGCCATCTGTGAACCAGGCACCTCCTGTGGCATCTTCACCCGGTTGTAGCCCTGCAAGTATGTACATTTTGCGTTGAGGAAACTTAACCGTTGACATCGACTTAATGTACCCCCTCTGAAGGAGCGTTTTGATGCTTTGATCGACATTTTTCTGATGCAGATTTAATTTACCCTTGATGGTTTTTACCCAAGCTCCAGCTCTTCCAAGGGACTCAATAACAGAATAGACAAGAGACTCGTCAGAGGAAAGGTCTTTATACCTGGATGGTCGGTGAGCAGCAATCACAGTCGGCACACTGGAGCAAAGAAACCCACTTTTGGGCACTGACGTGCGATACAATTTTCCATCCTATCCCACCTGACCGAAGATCATGCGTACGAAAGAGACGATCATTGATCAAGGACTGGGTGGCAGCGAGGAGTAAGTTTGGGTCTTTGTTCGGAATAACATCCCCTGCAAGCAGATCTTGCTGGGAGAGAATATGCTCTTCATCATAGTTCACCCGGCACCAGTTATACAAGTTAACTGTCAGGACTCGGAGATCTTTGGCGGTGGAAGCAGATGGACCAGGTGTTGGAGGAGCTGTGGATTTTTTTGGAGCCATCTTGAAAGTGTGCCAAAAGGCACCAGGATTGCCAGCTATCGACAGGAGGGATGAAACATGCTCTGCAATGCTCTCTTAGCCACCCGTAGCAGAAGAACCGGGCTGATCTACCTGATAGCCAGTGAATTCAGCCTTCTCTAGAGACGACAACTGTTGATTCTCGGTGATGACTCTATAATATTAGCCTACGATCTGAGCGGCTCAAAATGGTTTTGGAGGCAAGCTGCGGGGAGGAAAGCTTAGTTCGAGAGGCTACTTACTAGATGTGCTCTAGTGAGCCTTCCTACTTGAAGCTTGGCCCTTAGTAGTAAGCCTGCCGGCTCAGGTTCTTCAGTTTCAGTTTCACAGTAACTACTTACTGCGTCCGAATTGTTTTCGACCATTCTCACAGGTTCCCAGAACCAGCGGTCTACTACGTTATACCATGATACCAACGTTATACCATGATACCAACGTGCACAAGCTACCTTCTCAATTTCATCGCTACACTTATCTTCTGGAGTGGAGCCTCGCCTCACATCTTGACCTTGGACATGCCACTACAACAATTACCCCTTATGAAGCCCACCAACTGTACCACACAGAAGACACAGATCTGGATCGTGAAAACACTTCCAAAACAAGTGATCAGTGAGGAAGATTAAGTGGTGGCAATTTGGGAGCGTGCCACCATCGAATCAATATTTCGGAAAGGCTGTTGTATCTGTTCGATAGTGTTGCTTGCGATGAACAGTATCCTGACATAATATTGCCCCTTTCAAGACCATTCTACTGAAATTTGCTTCTGAGAGTAGCTGTTGTCATCGAGCTGAAACATGACTTGGGAACCCTGCTTGCCGGTGGGTTACGGTTTTGACAGTTGATATTCTGAATCGGGCATCTCTGGGCTTCATGAGGAGCTGAATGCAGACCTTCGGCTGACCGCTAGGGGCCGGAGGGCCTAGAATTGCATTCAATCAGGGCAAGCTCTGAGCTAGGTAAATCTTCATTAGTCTGACAGATGACTTACGTAGTAATCACAGATAGCTGATCAAAGTCAAAGTACCTCTTAGAGCCAACCTAGTTTCTGTATGGCTCCTATCCATGAATTATGCGATCTGATGTGGGTATCCCTATAGCTATTGGTACGCCATGACTGCATTTGAGCAGCGCACTAGCTGTATCATTGTTCTTCGTCTTGTGCATTGTAGCGTGTAACGTGTGGCCGGCTCCTGTTCCGTAGTTACCATGTGCGAGCTCAATGTCGCTGCTGTGGTTCACCGATCATTGATCGCCGAGTCATCACTAGGCTCCTTAAGGTAAATAGCTATGCTTATCCGTGCCTGCCCCTTGAGCTAGAGCTGCACACAGAAAAGGTAGAAGCTAGGAGCTGACTAGTAGTTGTCTCTGGTGGGGCTCTGAAACCCAGCCTCAAAATTCGTGATTTGTGCCCACGTTGAGCGTTGAACCATCTTGAAAAACTCTCGCCTAGTTCACCATCCTGCTGTACATAACTTCTGCCATACCGCCCTTTGCATGAACTTCTTCACGTTGGCCGTGACAGTGGTTCAGCTTCTCAGTCGAGCTCAGTGCAGCAGCTGAAGGGTAAGTCTTCAATGTACCCTTAGTGCACCCAAGGAATCCTCATGCGACTGTCATTGCTGTATAGTCGATTAGATCTGTTCTGTTGCATGCTCTTTCTTCTCACAGAGGTAGCCATTATCCGTATCACTGCGGCGATGGCTATACATTGGATTTCTTCTTGCTCTGTTGTCATATCCTTGATTGCGCTTCATGCAAATCGGATTTATCCAAACTGGGCATATTTGACTGATACCTTTGTTACTTCAGGTTACCAATTGATCAACAAAATATAACTTGCTCACCATCAAAATGTCGTCCAAAGCAATTCCGTCACACCTTCGTACTCAGGCTGGGGCAGGGAATGGAGCGTCTGAGGGTGATGCTACTCGAAAGCATCACGGAAAATCACAATCCCACGTGGTACGCCGAATATGTTTCCTTATTTTGTGGTTCTTGTGGAATAGCCTGTCACCGTGTGTTTACGGAGGATGCTAGGCGCGCACTTTCTTTTATAACAGCTGCACTTTCGCTTAACTGCCTGTCACTGTAATATTTTACAACCTCTACCCCAGTCGATCTTCATCACGATCCGTGTCATTGATTCTCCCTCCACTACCCTTCTCAATATTCCGCATGCTGTCGGGCAAGCAAGAAGACGCCAAACGCGTCTTAAGCAGCAATAATGATGTTACAGGAGGTGGGCTAACGTAAGTCTTCTCGGCACCCCCATAGGCATTTGAGAATACTTCAACCAACGTCGCTGCCAGCCAGATGAGGAATGCTCTCAACATGCTCGCGGACACGGTCAAAGACCCAGACGAGAAGAAGCGATTTGAGACGGAAATGGACAATTTCTTCTCTCTGTTCCGACGATGGCTCAACGACAAGGCTAAAGGCAACACCATCAACTGGGAGAAAATCGCGCCTCCTGCACCTTCTCAGGTTGTAGCTTATGATGATCTGCCTAACTCAAACGCAGTTGAGTTTCTCAACAAGCTTGCTGTTGTCAAGTTGAACGGCGGTCTTGGTACTTCTATGGGCTGCGTTGGTCCGAAATCTGTCATAGAGGTTCGTGACGGCATGTCCTTCCTTGACTTGTCCGTTCGTCAGATCGAGTATCTCAACCGCACCTACGATGTCAACGTTCCTTTCGTTCTGATGAACAGCTTCAACACTGATGGAGACACTGCTTCCATCATCAAGAAATACGAAGGTCACAACATCGACATCCTCACCTTTAACCAGTCACGCTACCCACGTGTCCTCAAAGACTCACTCCTTCCTGCTCCCAAGACCTACGATTCCCCGCTGTCTGACTGGTACCCCCCTGGACACGGTGATGTCTTTGAATCTCTCTATAACAGCGGTATCCTTGACCAGCTCCTCGAACGTGGCATCGAAATCATCTTCTTGTCCAATGCTGACAATCTTGGCGCTGTCGTCGATCTCCGTATTCTCCAGCACATGGTTGAGACTAGGAGCGAATACATCATGGAGCTTACAGACAAGACTAAGGCTGACGTCAAGGGTGGTACGATCATTGACTACGAAGGAACTGTCCGTCTGCTCGAAATAGCCCAAGTTCCCAAAGAACATGCGAACGAATTCAAGTCGATCAAAAAGTTCAAGTACTTCAACACCAATAACATCTGGATGAATCTTCGTGCAGTCAAGCGTGTCGTGGAGAATAGCGAGCTTGAGATGGAAATCATTCCTAATGACAAGTCTATGCCCGCAGACAAGAAGGGTGAGGCCGATATCTCCATCGTCCAGCTTGAGACCGCTGTTGGAGCCGCCATCCGACATTTCAAGAATGCCCATGGTGTCAACGTTCCTCGCCGCCGCTTCTTGCCAGTCAAGACTTGTTCTGACTTGATGCTTGTCAAATCTGATCTTTACACCTTGCAGCACGGCCAGCTAGTGATTGACCCAAGTCGATTTGGTCCTGCTCCGTTGATCAAGCTCGGCTCAGACTTCAAGAAGGTTGCACAATTTCAGAAGCGTATTCCGTCCATTCCCAAGATTCTTGAGCTTGACCATCTCACCATCACTGGCAATGTGAACCTCGCTAGAGGTGTCATCCTGAAGGGAACTGTCATCATTGTTGCGACTGAAGGCAGCACCATCGACATTCCACCTGGAAGCATTCTTGAGAATGTCGTTGTGCAGGGAAGCTTGAGGATCTTGGAGCATTGAGTGTTGTTTATTCCGGCAGACTCAAATGTTCGGCTGCACATGAACGGCATGCAAGCAGAATCGTTCTCGTGCTTTTCTTTCTCAATAGCATGTGATGGCGACATCACCCAACTTCTAGTGATACGACCAAGCGCAGACGTCGCTAAGAGGTCGATGTAGTCATCCGCATACTTGGCTACGTCTCACATAGAGATTCAATCCACAAATTGCTTTGACTTTCGTCTTCCCTACTTGATGTGAAGATTGATTACTGCGAGGCCTGCTACGCTGCTGATTCTTATTGTAGCCTTTTGTCCTCTCTTCCTTCTGGGCCTTAAGTTTCTAATTCACTTAGATGCTCATTCCAATATCCAGCTCTCACAACCAGAGCATTTGATCATCTTGAACAACATTCCAAGTCCTTGAAATTACTGACTTGCAGGAGAGACTAATGTACTATGAAGGTGGTGGACTTGCCCATAACTACTACCTTTCTATCTGTTCGTTGCCTCCTCACCTCTACTGAGCTTTGATACATTAGCTGCCTTACCATCATTCCTAAATATACTATGGTGGCTACATACATGATGCGGATTCCAACCCCAATTCCCTGGCTTGTTCTTGAGAATCCTGAATCCGATTCGGTGCATACCGCTCCTGGTATCCAGCCATTCACTCATATTCAGGATATGCCATGGTTATGATGCATATTGTTCCTACCCTAGTGACCTAGTATCTTCGTCATCCGGCATCATTTACTGTCACAGGGATGTTCCGGATCGGTCAAATCATTACAGATGGTGTGGTGCAGAAGGGACGATGATGGTTCTGCGGATGGTCCAGACAGAAACTGTGTTGCGAATCGACAAAGCCTGACAGGATTGAGCCGGTTTTACATGCTATGGAAACCCGGGGGACCAGATACCAGTATACCGACTATTCAATTTATAAAAAAAAATTGGGTGTTGAACAGATGGACAACTTGTTCGACATCATTACAGGCCTACTTACATAAAACACAAGACCAATCTAACTTAGTACGAACCCATGGCGGTGCCCCGAAAGACATTCTGTTCCACCAACAACTAGACTACTGTCTCTCTACATTGTCTCCAGAACAAAGAGAAGCAATTAGGCCAGTGCCTATTATGCTGAAGCCCATTTCGCCGATACTTGTGAAAGGAGCGTAGAAAGAAGCGCCAAAGCATCATTGAGAGACTGTCCTGCTGGGCGGCTTTGCAGTATGGGAAAGAGTGGAGAACATTGGCTTCCTGATAAGAGAAGCATAAGTAAGTAATAAGATGATTTTCCTTCTCACAGCAGTAACCGGGATAAGATACACAAGAAAAGACAAAGATTATCCCAGTGGCCGCAACCTTTTTTGTGGCAATAGTCTATATGACACAGGGGTTATATTGGGTGGGCTGACGAATGTTTTAGACGATGTGTACCAAGTTGTACGTCAAAAGTAGTCAAACTACGTTATTTAATCTTACGTAATAAGATTTCACCAAGCATAGCTCATGTTGACTCACCTGCAACAGTGCTTAGTCGGGCAGGTACCCAGGCCTAAAGAAAGCCTACAGACGCCTCTGAAGCTTAAGTGCTCCATAGGCTTCTCTTTAAGTGATTGCCCACTTATGTTTCAGAGCCCTTGGCAAGTACGGAGGCTTCTCTAGGTAGGCCCGATGGCCTATAAATTACCTGCGACATATCTTACGTAGTAGTAAGTTAGAGGGCCTCTGGGCCTAGCTCACACTTATCTTCCTAGCTCTTACCTTAATATCAACGTTGTTTGGCTAATATTTGGTACACAACTCTGTAATGCACAAGTTATCTCCTTCCTGGTCCCTGTTCAGGTCATTCCCCAGAAGAGTGGTGTGACAAAGTAAAGCCATCACCCGATCTTGTGGCTTGACGCTGGTAGTAAGGTTGATCTACCAAGTGGGTTCGAGACCTACCAGCGCTCTCTTTTTGGCGGAGTTGTAGATGACGTCTTTCTTCTGACACTCCTCAGGTCTGTCTCGATGAAACCAAAATCTCAAAACATGCCCAATATGCTTGTTCCGGCATGAACATGAACATTCCAGGAGAGCCAGCGAATGAAACCTTGCTGGTTTGAACCCATGTTCTTGAAGCTGCTAACTAAGTTAGTAGTACCGTCCTGAACGGAATGTTTTGAATATAAGTAAAGTTAGACGGAGAAGATGCCTATCTCATTGTCTGCGTCGCCCCTTATATATGCAGCATTTATATCTTTCTATGCGGCAGTGTACCTCCAGATGTAAGTTATATGTCATCGCTATCGCCATCGTCGTCGTCGTCGTCGTCGCACTCATCAGAGAGTTGGGAGGTCGCTGTAAACCCGTCTGAACGGTAGGCATAATCTATGCTTGACGTTTGCGAGAATTTACCATTGATGCTGACTCCTGTATGAGACAGACGACATCTTCTGCGTATGCACGAAGAAGATGCACCTCCACCAATAAGCGCACGAACTCGAAGACAAACAAAATCTCCAGCACTATCAGGTTCTCTAGTGGAGCCCCGTCAACCATTTCACCCACCTGAACCATCCCAATCACCCCTACTACGCGGCCGCAGTCGTCCTAAAAGAAAAACTATGTCATTGAATACCCAAGAAGTCTTTCGTGGATCTGGTGTAAACCCAACGCAACCTCCCGCATCACAACCTCCCGCATCACAACCTCCCGCATCACAACCTCCCGCATCACAACCTCCCGCATCACAACCCGCATCACCCCGCATCACAACCTCCCGCATCACAACCTCCCGCATCACAACCTCAAATTCCCATCGACACCAGCCTGGTGCCACTTTGTGCACCTCAAGCACAACAATCTCAAATTCCACCCTCTATTATAGCCGCGCAACTTCAACCTAGGGACCCAAGATCTGTCTTTTTCGCATCGCTATCTTCTCCTAGGGGCTCCGGCTCTACCCCCAGCGACTCCAGACATTCGCATAGACACTCTGAACCTCCTCCCGAACATTCTACACACTCGTCTAGGGAGCCTGGAGCTTCGTCTAGGAAGCGTGATGCCGATAGAACACAAGAACATCCTGCTCGAGGAGACAAGGCACAAAAGACTTTGGGTATGCTCGTACCCAGCAGTTCTCAATTGCCCAGGGCCTCTGAAGGTACTCCATTGCCCCACGCTAACAGGGCAGGAGCCGGCCAGCCCAACGGAGGAGCAGGATTTTTCCAATCGGATACAGCATTGGGATCTGCCCAACTACACAGAGAATCGGGAGCTTTTCAACCCGGTGGAGGATTAGCAACCGTCCAGTCCAGCGGAAGAAGAGCGGCCCAAGCCAGTGGATGGGTAGAAAGTGCCCAACATACCGGAGCGCTAGCAAATGTTCAGCGGCCTCGAATGTTTAGTATTAGACACTCTGGCGGAGGGCTGGCAGCAGCTCAGCCCGAAAGGAGATCAGAAAATGCCCAGCCAGGCGGAAGGTTTGGAGCCGCTCAGCACGGCAGGGGAGTGGAAACAATCCAATCCCACCCGGGCTTTGAAGCTTTTGCATCTCCTAGCGCAGGACTAACATATGTCCAATCTGGTGCAGGACGGGGAATCCCTCCACCTCGTCCACCCCCGGGATCCCCACCCCCCTTTCGCGGAGGACCAGGAAATACCCAGTCTGGCAGAGGGTTTGGAGATCCTCAACCCCCTACCGGTGTGCCACAAACTATGCAACTAGCTAGAGGATATGGTGTGTACCTACCCCCTCTAGTACCTGGAGCTCCTCTCTCTGAGGCAGGAACAGGAGGTTCTCCATCTCGCCGCGCTAGTACAGCAGAAGAATTCCCGTCCGGCAGAAGATCAGGAGCTAACCGGGTCAGCGGAACGCCAGAGAATAATCTGACTCGGACACAGTTAGAGGCTGGGCCCCTCCCAGGACTGGAACCTTTTCAGACTGCCGGAGGAAGATCGCAAGCTGTGCCATACACCAACAGGCAAGCCGTCAGACTCCCACGCGCCACCGGAGAAGTCCCTACTTCTCGACCCGTAAATAGAACAGCTTCCCCGTCCCCAAACATGACTTCTGGAGCTGCTACTTCTCAACCCGCCACTAGTGGAGCTTCTCCATCCCAAAACAATACAAGAGGTGTTGACACTCCTCAGCCTGGCACTAGTGAAGCGTCCCCACCCCGGAGGACGGGCAGGAGTGCTGCCACTCCCCCAAACGCTCCTGGAGGCACTGCGCTTTCTCAACCAGCGAGCCAAGGAGCTTCGCCTTCCCACACGGTTGCTAGGGGAGCCGCTACCCCACAACAGACCGCCGGAGCAGCTGCCAAGTCTCAGGCCGTCACTGGCGCAACCCTTGCAAACGCCGAAATAGTCGGCATAATAGAAGGATATTTGTTCAAGATGGATAAGTTCCTCGAGTCTGCGATGCCAACACCTGAAGCTCTCCAACAGAGCCGGTGTTTGCGACAAGCCGTCAAAGGCGTCCGAGAAGTCCGTGCGAAACTTGAACAGAAATACGAGCAAAGTCTTACACGGGAAGCTCGAAGAATAGAAATAAAGCTAGAAATAGATGATGTCAAAAAGCTCGATCAGGCTGCTCGTAATGAGGAAAAAGAGGCTTGCCGGAAAGCTGAAGAGGCTCGTGCTCGTAGGGAAGCGGCCGCCGCTGAGGCTATCCGGCTGGAACGGGAACATAATGCTATTGGCGATAGCTCAAGCAGAGAAGGGACTCCAGAGGCAGGTCCTCCTGGGCCTTAACCGACTGAGGCACAGTAGGAGTTGTCCTCCCATCTATAAGAACCTCGTGTCCTTATAAGCCTCCAACCAGCGGGAACAGGATGGAAAAAGAGGTAGGTAAAACGAGAACGTGATATATCGCAAAGTGATATCTAGTACAGAGAGTAGAATTTCGTAAAGGATTTCTTTACTTAGATAGAATGGAATATAGGCTATACATACTTTTGCTCCAGAAAAGGCGTCGGAGAGCAATATCAGCTCAATTTTCAGCCCTACCACGAACAAGGTCACCAAAGTTTTCGCTTGATCAGACTGTTAGTCAGTCAAGGGCAGGGCTGGGTGTTGCAATCGAATCAGCTCAGCATCAGCAATAACAACTCACCAAGTTCAGGAACGGTTTCCAGCATCACATCCATTCTTGCTCAACGAGATATTTAGCAGCTTGTGAAAGAGTACTTCACGGGGCGCTCAACGGGCGGGCAGTATCGGTATGGCAGCCGCCGATTGAGCCAGAAAAAGAAATCGACCCAACTACAGATGCCTACTTGAACGTGCATGAAGCAAAAAAAAAACAAAAAAAAAAAAACAGATGGGACATATAAGTCCCGAAACCCCACATAAGCAGCAGTACAATATACAGCTCGTGTCCTCCTCGGCACCTGACAACATTGGTGAACCGGATGGGAAAAAAGGCAAGATGTTGTCAAACTTCTCTGAGGGGGGGGCCGATTGATCCATTTTTTTTATCATCTGTTACTCCTGACCTTGCGCCCGCTCGTACTAACTGATACTAGGATGCTCTGCGAAGATCTAGAGAGGATAGGAGAGGGTGAGTCTGTGGGGGCCCCGCGCCCGTGAGCCTGATGAGGGGACCGAGAAAGAAAGTGTGAATGGGAAGGGGCGGTATCGGAGTAGTAGGGGTAGGGTCGATGAGGGGAAGGGAAGATGCCAAGTTGTGAAAAGGCGTGTGGCTGAAAGTGAGCAGAAAATTAAACCAAAAGGACTGCAGCTCGAATGGCTGCCACTAACATATATTTTGTTTGACAAGAGCATACGCACACAAGCGCAGGACGAGAAGAGGAGAAGAGGAAAATATATCAGTCCATCTCGGGTAATTTTCCTGCATGCATCTTGCATCGGTTCCCTCATTCACTCGTTGCTTCGTACAGTGTTCTTGTCACTCGTTGCTTGACAAAATTAAAAGGATATAAAACACTCAACAGGCTCAAACGCCAGAAAAGAAACCCTATAGGCCACCCCCAATAAAACAAGTCAGAAGCAAAATCGAAACACCAAGCCGTATCTCCATGCTGAACATGCCTCTCATCCCGTCATAGCCTGCACCTGCTTCACCTGCTTCTCAATCTCCATCGCACTCGTCGGTCTCTTCTTCCTCTTTTCCGCACTCCTCTTCCAGTTATCAGCGAAGGTCGCTCCAGCGGCAGCATGCTCCTTCAGTTGAGCCTTACTTGTAGCCATAATGTCAATCCGCGATTTGTAGATGACCGCCCAGACATCTTTGGCTGCTTTGAATTTCTCCACGCTGTCCTGCCTGCTGCATGCCCTAATCAGCGTATCTGCATGATGGCAGGTTGAGAAGTCGACCGCCGACGACGACACTGACGTGAAGACATTCTTGACTCCCAAACGCCTGAACAAGGCAGCAGCATTTGATTCTGCCACCGAAAAGTCACCCATGTAGAACTGGACATGAGCCAGTAGTGCCAAGATCTGGTCCTTCGACACTGACTGACTTGTCTTGTTGCCGTTAGTGAGACAGAGAAGATCTGCCAGCACATTTTTGGCCTCGAGGAGATGGCTCCGACTCACCAGCAACAACGCCAGTGTCCATCCGGTGCTCTGGTCTATACCTAGAACCAGCTGCTGTCGTCGGACCCATGCCTGGCGCAGGTATGGTATAGCTCTTGCGTGGTCATGGCGATCAAGGTCCTTAGGCTCGTCATGGTCAGGTTTACCGCGATCATGGAGCAAGATTCCAAGCTTTGCATGATTGTGGAGCACTTGCTTCGACAAGGCAGCTCCATTCTGGTTGTCACATACCATTTTCAACAGGTCGATAACTAACCGAGTTTGACGTTTCTCCTCCAACATCGTCGTAATCTTGCACACCTCTGCTTCAAGATCTTCTACCTTCGATGCAGTCGCTTGGTGTCTGTTGCGCCAGATCTTCGTTAGTTGAGCCTTTGCTGCCTCGTACTCCTTCTGCTCAACCAAGAGCTGCGCATAACTTGTCGCATTTTGCAGCGCCCAGGAGCGATCCGCCTCGTTCCTGTTTTGCAGCCCGTCCAACCAACCAGCGTGGTAGTACAGACGTCCTGCTTCCTCGGTGTTCCCCTGACGACGGAGGACATCGCACAGCTGTGTCTGAACGTCACGAGTATCCGCCCTCTCGACGTTTCTGATCCCGCGACGCTCCATCTCCTTGAGAACGAAGCGAAGTTCCTTCACCGCATCATCGTATCGACCATCAAGTGCATACGCCTTCCCACAATCGAATATATACCCCAGTTGGGCTTCCTCGGCTTCCCGGGCTTCCCGCTCACCCTCACGGTCTTCTAGCTTGGCCTTCTCTTTCTTCTCCTTGCCCTTGAGAACCACCAGCTGCTCGTACTGCTCAACCGCGAGGCTATACTGTTTCGTCCTGATGTACTCATCAGCAGCTCGGACGCGCAGCCGCTCGATTGTCGCTCTGTCACCGTCGATCTGCGTTCCCAGCTCCTGAAACGTTTCGTGCGCAGCAGCGAGAGAAGCTCGGTGTTGGTCGATCATCTCGTTAGCTTTGTTCAGATCGTCGTTAGCTTTGTTCAGATCGTCGTTAGCTTTGTTCAGATCGTCGTTAGCTTTGCTCAGATCGTAGTTAGCTTTGTTCAGATCGTCGTTAGCTTTGTTCAGATCGTAGTTAGCTCTGTTCAGATCGTTGTTAGCTTTGTTCAGATCGTCGTTAGCTTTGTTCAGATCGTAGTTAGCTTTGTTCAGATCGTCTTTGCATTTGTCAAGCTTTCCCTTGAGCTTGTAGTTGTCTGCTTCGAGCTCGCAGTTGTCTGCTTCGAGCTCGGAGAATTTGTTAAGACTACTAGACAAGCCCCCGTGAACAAATGGCTTGTTCCATGCTGTGTCTGGTCTTCTTCTGTCGTATCCACTCTTCACACGAGTTGTTCTCTCGTGTAAGGAGAAAAGAGGGCCCCATAGAGGGTGGTAATGAGACGAGGATTGCAATTGTCTCGCGAAGTCCGAATCCCACAAGTGTGCGACTAGGATGTAGAAGTCTTCGAATGGTGTTCTCGGCGAGTGATTCATGGTCAGCTAGACAATGGAGATAGTATAAAACACTAATGATAATAGTATATAATTGGACTGCAGTATGAATTTGTGATTGGATATAAGGAAGAAGTGAAGTGGCGTGCTGGAAAACAATGGCGGCAGAGAGAAGAGAATACAACACACGAAGCAAGAAGGCAGTGAAATCAGCAAACGCAACCCAATGACCCATGGTGAAAGAGAACAAGCGCCCAATATGAAGAGTGAGGCAGTAAGGCCAAATCAGTGGAATTTGCCTATTTCAGGCTGTGCTTTGCCCAGCTTGACCCTTGGGAGGGGTCTCATGACTCTGATCGATGCCTTGTGCACCGTACGCACAAGAAGGCTGCATTTTTCTTTTGGGGGCTATTGGATGAGGTTGAGATGGCATACGCATACCTAGCACATCATAGCACGTGATTGGGGAAATTCTGTCACGAAGTTGAGAAGCGAAAGGGTCGTATGCGATGGGAGACAAGGGGAGGACCTTCAGAGAGAGAGCAGGATCCAGATATTTTTATTGGGTGGTTGTGGCTCAAGGCATCCACAGCCACCACGTGATCCCAGCCAAGCCAGCCACAAGGCAAAATCAGCCTTGGTGTACGTAGTACTGAGTAAGGCTCAGTCGCAGTTGATGCTGAGGGCTGCTTATTCAATCAATAAAGAACACCAAGAGATTTTGATGCTTATGGGAACAAATTCGGCATCAACGTGAGAGATAGTCTCAGTCATCTGCAGCTAGCGAACCCGGACTCCGAGACATTCTCGGTCTCCACGATCTCTACCTGGGTTGGAGCTTATTCCGCTTCTTTCGGTGTCAATTGTTGCCTTGATTCCGGCCAGGGAGCTACGCGGGTGTGTGTGTTCAGGGTTTAGATCTTGAGCCTCCGTCATGCTTTACCGAGGATGAGAGCTCCTGATAGAAAGGAGACTCCCGTGGAAGCCAACAATTCATGTCATATCTCTCCACTTGAAATTTATACACTGAAACCCTTTTTTTCGTCCCCTTGTTATTACCACCCTCTCGTTTCCGAGTTCCCCCCCCCGTTTCCAGCAGTCAGGTGGAGGCACACGCGTATAGTTCTGGTGCAGTCAACGTGTAACTCAGTGCATGCGTTTCAAACTTTCCTACGCCTTCTAATTTGCTAGTACTTGTGCTGTAAGGCGATAGCCATCCATCCAAGATGATTTCGTTATACGAGATATTGTTTCCGAAGCCTTCCTCGACCTTGATTTAGGTCCCTCTCATCGACAGATCAAGATGAAGAGAAATACCGTACGCTAATGGACTAGATACGGACATGTCGAAGAAGTGATTTAATATTTCCCCCTCTACTAAGATATATCATACATGAGTGAAACTACTCTTTAACCATGGCTTGCAATTCTCATGCAATGGCTCGACCATATCCTTGACTAACGCCTTTCGAAATTCAAAATCATTCCAGCTAGGACTGCAGAATCCGCCACCGAAGAAGCACTTAATACACTGTACCACTGCAAGCCGATACTGTGGGAGCAAGGGGTTTGTCGTGTCATCAAGCCAGATCCACGCCAGCCGGAGCTTGCCCCAATAATCGGCCGGAACGAGTGTTCCGGGGAATTGATCCTCGATCGTTTTCTCATGCCAGAGCTCAAGCAGCATGACACCGAGTTCAAGGAGTGCCTCCTTGGGTTGCGGGTGCTTCGCTGAACTATAGGACTGGGAAGAAAACTTGCAGGAGATTAACGGTTTGGTGAAGTCAATGTCCATGGCCGATACGCTTTCGCCATTTCCTCCTGGTGTCTTCATAAATTGAATGGTTTCTTTCGACCAGCTGTCGTACAGCCATGGTGTTTCGTACAGTTGTAGCAGACCAATCGCAAGTGTCAACGCCAACATCATTCGATCCCTCAACGCAATCCTCCTATGATGACCTCCCTGAATCGAGAGGAACTCTTGCAAGGAACACACGTCGAATTTTCTAGCAGCAGAAGGTGAGAGGCATTGGTGGTGGTCACAATGAATATTTGTCTGAGAGGCAATGTACAGGTGCAGCATCTTGTTGGCAGTAATTGCGTAGTGTAAGGAGGAGCATAAGCAATCCACCTTTCGAGAAGTAGGCGGAAGAGCTTTAGCATTTGAAGTGACTATGACCGTAACCTTTGAACGCGAGCTAGACTTAGTTGATTTCTGTGTCACGTTGGTTGCCGATGGGTTGAGGTGAGGGTCTTCGAGCATCTCGACCTTACTCTCAAGCCAAAGTATATCATCCTGGGGCCGATCGCATCGAAAACAAACCTCGAACACTGGTTCCTTGGTCATGGATTGATTTGCTTTGAGAGTAGCACGAGTGAGAGCTGGAGGCCTTCGGTCAAGGCTCAGCTTGACTTCATGGAATTTGTGAAACTTGCAGGTCCATCCGCTGGCAATCGCCGAGTACAGCCTCACAGCATTGTCCCTGGTTGTCGCAAGGGTCGATGCAAATTTGGTGGCTGTACGTGAAATAGACTCTTCAGTCGCATCTCGATTGGCCGCCACCGCAGCAGAAAGTCGTTCGAGAACAGAAATAGATCGGTCAAGCTCCTGGATGCTCTTATCAACATCCGTGCGACCCAGAGTCAAGTTGAAGCGCGCTTTCAGATTGAAGCTGTTGCCTGCTGAAGGTTCATTGGCTTGGACGAAAGCACTCAGACTTCCAGGCTTCGACTGCAGCACAGCTTAGCGACCGAGGGTACAGTTTTAGGCCGGCGAAAAAAACGTACCAGTTGTCCTGCCGGTAGGAAGCCCTCGATATGAGCAGCGATATTGCGGAAAACCTCCTCACAAGTTACTACCGCATGTTTGTAAAGCTCGTTCGTCTCTATGCCAAGGTAGGCATCAACCCTTTCCTTTAAATCGTCGTTGTTGCGGAGTAGCTCGAACAACTCTTGCGGGTCTTCCGGTATATCATCGACGTCACTTACAACCCTGATTAACAACGATCGCACGTTCTCCGTTAACAATGTTTTCTGAAGATGCAAAGCATGGATGAGCTTTTCCACATGCTTTCTCCGACGAAAGAAGACGGAAGTGCGGCTGAGACCATTTTTGTACAGATCGAGCGCCGGGACAAGTAGTGGTATCACTGCAAGAACAACGCTAGCAATCTCAAGGCCCGACATCGTCATTCAACATCAAAAGATATGTACAACTGGCAGCAAATCTTACAGCATGGTGTCAGCGGAAGACGGAGTTCTCCGACCACCGCAACTGTTCGCCACGCGCTATTACTCAGAAACGCATACACTCACAAAATGCTGCAGTTAGCATTGCAACGCTGGTTTATGATCTCCTTCTAGGTGATTCTATAGCTTGCCTCTTCCATGCGTATATATAGCGGTCATCCTGCTCCTCAGGAGTTGAGAGAGCAACTCAATCAATTCAATTGAACCCTCTCTCTCTTGATACTGCTTATCTAATCAGTATCTCCGTACGCTATTTGCTACAGCCTCTAACACATGGATATCAAAAGTTTACATGGTGAGAAGAAACGTGACAAGAGTTTTGAGCTTCGAGACATGCCCCCCAATTTGCTAATGAAGCACGAACTAAGGCTTTTAGTCTATTACAAGCGGCGCGAAAGCCTGAAGACCCTGCCTACCTATTACGTAGACAGCGCTACGAGTGGTATTTTGGCGTTGAGTGGGCGTCAGAACAGTGACGGCGAGGTGCTATTGATGATAGTGGGTGGGAGTTGCTTGATTTCTCTACCTCACTACTGTCCGCGTGTGGAGAAGGCGTTGGACACTATTTCACCCAGCTCTAGCCATATCCTAGCAAAGACGGGCACCACGTCCCCTGCACACTCCGTTGCAGTCTTTCCGTAGTAGAGACCACCAAGGACGTCGTGATATGTTCAGCGCGGGGAAGATGTTATGTGCCTGTCAATATACATGAAGTAGACCATAGCATCGTCTGTTACCTTTGGTCAAGTAGCAATCGACAAACTTGCACATCTCTTCCATTCTTAACCTATTATCAGTCTTCTGGTAGTCCACTCAAAAGTGATCAAATGTGTATGAAAATTACCCATTGTGCCAAGACCAGAATTACAAGGACAAGTTCTGGTCTCGGCACACCTGTGTGGGCAGAAAATAAATGTCAGCAGAGTCAAGTTCGTCAGCAAGCCAACCTTATAACACAACAGAATGTGTCCAATGCATGGTGATCTACGTTACTGGCACGGACCCGAGGCGCGCAGTGAGTAGATGAATTCCTTTCCTCTCAGCCTCACAATGTTGTGCATATTTAAGCTGGATGTGCGGAATCTCGCTTGTGTCTAACCAGCTTGAAGCGAAGTAATTTTCAGCGGAGTAGCGAGAGCAAGGTACTCCATCTAAAATCGTCACAGAATGACGTACTCTGTGCGCTCAATCAATAGACAAGACGAAACTACCACAGTATCTCTGGCGACGCTATCTAGCAACGCTCTGCAACTATTCGCAAACCTAGCCATCATTGCGCCCAATGATGCGGAAGCCCAAATCAACCCAACAGCGCTCAACATTGAGCAACAACACGAGAGACTAGTACTATGGGTGGCCAACCTTGGAGCCACGCACCTCGGTCATAGTTCGTTAGAGTACCGTCTTCGAGAAGCTGATCTGGTGCGTAATGCCATTTGGACCTTCCTAAATGACTTGTGCAATTCACTCCTTGAATGTGAGACTTCCGCTATCATGTTTGGCTGGCAATTCTTGACCTTACCAATAGGCAGAGAGTTTCTGCTCTGTGGTGATCTGAGCGCCATGGACGACGTTTACGCGTCTAGGCACAACGAAGGAGCTTACAACTACCCCGATCAATCTATGACTGCTATCCAACAGAGCATGTTAGAGGCCGATTATGGTTCCGAAACCACCGGTTCTGCGGAGCAAGAGTTCAACTTGATTCTTGAAAGCATAGCTGAAACAATTAACTGTCTTTATAGAATTGCTACACGTATCAGAAACCCTGCGACCAGAATCCTGACTAAGAAAGTCCTCGGTTTTAAAATGATGGATCGTGAAAGTGGGGTTGATTTGGAGGGGGAGTACGCCTCGCTTGATCGAGAGCACTTGCGGGAGGTGTTCAAAGATTATCGATCTGCTGACATATTGGATCGCTTTGGGGAGCAGGAAATATCACCTCAAAATTTAGATTCTGCTCGAAGAGAACCATTGGAGTTCCTTGCTCATCGTCTTGCACAGGCCAATACTCTTCGACGAAAACAGTTCGCATACTGGAGCCGACACCGAAAGAAGCTCGACGCTGCGTCCGAAGCCACCGCACAGGGAATACATGTTCAACAGGTGCAACCGCAACAAGCTTCTCAAACCGTTTTCAGTACCACGCGCTCATTTGAAGAAGATCGTTCTGTAGTTCCTTCTCTACCGACTACCGCAACTACTTTAGATCCAGCCAAAATTGACCTGGGAGACACAAAGTCCGTAGTCACCATCTCGGATTATGGAGGATCAATTTTCAGCTCTTCTTCGACGAGGAGAGAAGTTATACAAATACCGAACCCTCCGTCGAAGTTAAAGGGCCAACGCTATTTTGAATGTCCATACTGCTTGACCCTGTGCTCCGGAGCATACCTGGAAAGGAGGTCTTGGAGGCAAGTTTGATATTTACCCAACTTTTACCGCAAAAATAACACATTCGTAAAGGTCCCATGTGCTAAGAGATTTGCGTCCGTACGTCTGCACCTATCAGGACTGTTCAGAAGCGACACAACTCTTTGAAACGAGGCAAGATTGGATTGCCCATGAAGATTCGTGTCATCGACGAATCTGGCGCTGCCTTGAACATCCTGAAACCACCTTCCCGACAGTGGCCACGTACAAGCATCATATAAGAGAGCTTCATGTGCCAAACTGCACAGAATTGGAGTCCATAGAGCTTCTGCGAGCAGGGGAGTCTGTGCCTGAGATTGCTGATCGACCCTGTCCAATCTGTCTATGTAATATTTCAGATGCCGCCACGTTACAACAACATATAGCAGCCCATCTGATGCGGATTGCGCTCTTTTCCCTGCCGCGCTCGACCGGTGCTGACGACGATGTAGAATCTGGAACCAGTTGGTCTGGGAGAGCAAACGGGCATCACTCGGATTCTTCTCAAGAGATAAGCAATAGCTCGATTTCTTCAACCCAATCCAGGGAGGATGATATGAGATCATTTAACAATGAGCAGTGGGGACATGGTAATGCCTTGTCCCAAAATGCTTTGAGACATCTGGAGATGATAATGTCAGACCAAGGATCCAATACAAAGGTCGGACAATACCTGTCGCATCTAGGTGACTCCGACTTTGAGAATCAATGGTTGAATCAAGATCTTTCACCACCTCGCCAGACGACTAGACTGGACGATGATGTGGCATCTGCAGTGAAATATGAAGCCAGTTCAAGGCCTCATAATAGTGACCGGCTTGCAAAGGAGTTGGCTGACGATCGCAACTCCCGGGGCGATTGGGATTCGGCGGATCTTAATGACTTGACTCCTGAATTGGACAAGTTAAAGGCAAAATGGGAGGAAAGAGATGAGATTAGACGTAAATCCGGATTCCAGCAGCGGTACTCAAATATCGAACTTAGCCGAGAGTCCCTTCCTTTAGAAGCATTAATGTTGTCAGGAGATGCACCTCCTGATTCGGCCAAACCCTCTGTTACTCCTCCGCAAAATAGGGGGAAACGGACATCCAGCGAAAATTTCCAAGCTCCCGAATCACCACATGAGTCAGAAATTTGTTTTCTATGCAAAGGTTGTGGATATGTAAGTACTCTTCTGTATATATGCCTCAATTTAAAGGCTAACAAATCCCCAATAGATTCTTGAGGAAGGAAAGGCTTTTGTACTTGGTACGTATCTATCTTTGTAAAATTCCCGCAACCAGCGCTAAGGATTTTGCAGCGGGCAATAGATGGCACTTGGAGTGCTTCAGATGTCGCATGTGCAACAGGCTTTTCGACCACGATCCAAATTTGATATTACTGGGTGGTGGGAATTTGATCTGTAACAATTGCACCTACTCATGCTCCAACTGTGGGAACATGATCGAGGACTTTGGCATTCTCGCAGGTAATCAAGCGTTCTGTGGAAAATGCTCCACATGTCGCAATTGCAAACGCAAGATTGAAGACCTCAGATACTCCAGGACAGCACAAGGCTTATTTTGTAGGCCGTGCCATGAATCATTAAGGGCTCGGCAATGGGAAGAAAAGGATGGCCGTGGGCAACGACAGCAGGACATCAACATCAAGCAGCCCTCCAAGTCGGTCGATACCGACGTGGGCCAGCAAGATCCTGCAGCCCATACTAAGGGTACACCAATGCGCTATAAGTATTACGTCTTTACGAAAAAAGAGGATTGGAGGGTGGCAGATAAGGTCGAGATCATTGCGCCGCAAGAGGAGTTAGAGCGAAAAGTCGCCGAGGGCAGGAAGACCAATTCGGTGCTAGAAGCTATGAAGAACATGAGCGCCGACCGTCGAGCTCAGATTAGTCGACTTCTAACTGAAAAGAATCTTGCCAACGAGCATGGTGATGCTGTGAGTGGCAATGCGTTCTTATCAACTCTCCCAACCCAAGGGACTGGATGTTAAATGGTAAAACAATCCGGGAGCATCTGAAAATGGACGTCATCATCGCTCAGCATATACTACCTGACAAGAGAGAAGGGCTAAGTTATTCGTCGGAAAGAGGTCAGACATCAACGAACCCCTGAAGCCTGAGGGAAAGTCCATATGGATTCGGCCGTTATCAGGATATAAGGACTCGGATGTAAAGCCACCCATACCAAGCACAACCAGGGCGGACCAGAGAAGTTTGCGAGCATCGCGGGTTATAAGAGCCGTTAGCGGCATGGGAAGGATGACTCCCACCGTGGACGTGAACGAGTTGTGACCTTGGCTGGCGTCGATAGTTTTGTTTCCGGTCAACGAGCTAGACAGCGGCGTCTGGAAGTACCAATCTCAGTAGCTTTCGTCAGTACCATCACTAGAATAGAGATAATTGACGGTTGGGGCACCTTGACGAGGAATGGAGTTACGAGAATGGAGAGACCAAGGAAGAATTGTCTATCTCCGCTGGCGAGCACAGGGTCATTTGGAAATTCCAAGCCAGTGCACGCGTGGCCGTGTTTTCTTTAGTGTGAGTGAGGTAGAAAGGCGTGCATAAGTAGTGAAGGAACTGTAAGCGTACGTTTATGGCAGCTCAACTCACCGCAGTGACACTAGCTGGGTAATTGATGACGTCCGGATATTGCCTTGTGACTTGAGGCTAAGATGGTCCAGAAAAGAAATAGAGTTCGATGCTGCCTCCAGTTGCACGCCAGGATGTTCTCAGGGCTCATCAAAAACTCCTGGCCGTGAGCATTTTATCGGAAGATCTCATGTGAATGTAGGTGCAGGAGGCATTGGACGAAGTCTCATTGCTCGTCACAAGTGTTGGTGAACCATCTGAGTGTCCTTCAAACCAGCGGGTCTCAAAAGCAAAGGTATGTCAACCATCCAATTTACGGTTGATAGGATCTCCAACTTATCATTTTGCACCGTTGAGGTGAAATTGGTTCCAAGTCCAGAACCGCAAATTATCTCTTCAAGGCGTATACGTGGTGATTGCTTGCTTCGATATAACAAGTCAAGGAACTGATTTGGAAATCAATATCGTTCCCTTAGACGAGAGGATCACATCTCAGTTTGAATTCGGCGTTACCTCGAAGGAGAAATTAGGATCCTTAGGTCCTGAGAAGATCAACATATTCGGTGACAGGATATAGTGGCTTTCATTGACGTGTCGGAGTACGACAGGCTGACCTAAATATGCAATCTTTCATCCCTTTGGTACTCGACTGTAAAGCTCAAAACATCCATGTCAGCGCCATAGATATCACAAGCAGGCCCACCTAGAATGAGATCTGCGGTCAAGCCCAGTATCCTGACATTGCACGTTGCTGGCCTGATATCTTGCGCACAGTGCTTGGGCATAAACAGCTTGAGGGTCTTGAATATTTGGTAGCAAGTTCTCGCCAACGTCAACACTGGCGAGCACTGTGAAAATAGGCCTGAAGCTGACAGTAGGGTTTGCTCCTCCTGCTGCAGCTGACGACTGAGCGCTCACATTAGCGGCGCAAGGAGGAGCACAGATTGCAGCCACTTCAGACCGCCGAGCACCATGTTAAAAAGAGCTCAAACAGTGGACGGAAAGATAACGTAGGCAAGAGAAGAGGAACAAGAGAAAATGAAATGGTGCAAGGTCTACTCGGAATCTCCAGTAGACCTTGAGGTAGGAAGCGACAGCAAGTCTATAGAAATCTCACGCCTCGAACCTGCCAAAGCTTCCACACACGAGAGCAATGAGCCAATACAAGCTCTACTCGCTGTGTAACATCCAAGCTTCCCACCTACCTTGCAAGCTTGGTACTCTTCATGACGCACGAATACTACTTACTTGGGGAGCCTCGCCAGCTAACCCTTCTAGGACGAATGATCAATAGGACATCTATGCGAGGATTGCAACGCGAGGCGGTGTGACGACGTGATCGGAGAGAGCTGTACGGTTCCGGCGAGCAGGGATTGTTTGCAGGCTGAGGCAGGTCTTGACAATTTGGCCTTGCTGATGAGCAAGCTGTAGTAGGAAAAGGAAGGTCGGAAAGTGCCACGTTGCAGGAAAATGTGCAAGTACCAGGGATGGGTGATGCTTGATGATGGGGTTTGTACCTGAATATCCAGGATGCCACGGAGAAAGGCTTCCTCATCAGGCATTCAACAAGGGAGATAGCTGTCTAAATGAGGTTCCAGATGTTTGCACTGCCTGGGCTGGGGAAGGATATCGCCGGGAATGCAGCTGCAGTAGATGGAATACAACCGCAATTTGCTGCATCATACCAATTATCGTTCTATGTATGTACCTAAGCGGTTTGTCTTGATTTGTCCAGGTATCCTAACCTCATCGTCTACTGCTGCTGTCCCTTTACTTCTGCTTGTGAGCTTGTCTCAATCCCTGGCCAAGCTCTTCATGCAACCCATCATCATCAACAATACATATAAGAACAAGAAGCGAAGGGTATGCAGGGATAAGCCGACCTCAACAACAGGTCCATCTAGCCGCCACAAACAAATAATTACAATTGACGATTTTGGCTCGACTCTGCGTTCGCGCTGTTGCAATGGGAATCTGTCCCAGTCAGAAGTTGAAAAGAACCCAGCGCCCACCATCCCCCATGCTCCGTGCAATAAACCATCGCAGAATGCCGTCTACCGGCGACAACAAGTCCTCTAGCGCATCCCTTCACTGGTAAGTCTCAGGCTTCACCTTCCGTCGTCGGAAATAATCCATCACCTTGCGGGCCGGGCCAGAGCTACCCTCATGCCGACTCGGTCCCTGGTCGTAGGAATTGTTGAAGTTGCGGTTGTTCTTTTGTAGCACTCCCTTACCTTGACGGTTTTGCTGCGTTGAAGGTCGGGAAACGTCTTGGCTGTTGAAACCTTCTGGATAGAGAGGACGTGTTGGGTTAGTGCTGCTTCCGTACTGCTGTAAATAAGCTCCACCTGATCCAGTATAGACTCCCGTACCGCCATACGCATCAGTTGGGACTTGCGGGGGTGCCGACTGGTATTGTGGTGGTCTCGAGAAATTGGTTCGAGGAGGTCGAGGCTGGTCTTGCTGACCATCCTGCCCAACAGGTTGGGTCTGAGTCCGAGTCCGAGACGGCTCTTGTTCTAGAGGGTATTGGCCTGACGGTCTTGGAGCTTGACTCGTGGAAGGACGCCCTTGAGTACTACTAGTTGGTGGCTGTGGGAAATCTCCCACTTCTGGGGCCGGAGACTCAGATTCAGTGTCTTCTTCCTTACTTCCACCCATCAAACCTCGAAAGGAGAAGGTAGCTGGTATCAGGGATGAAAGTCTTTTGGGTTTCTCGTCTAGTTGCTGTTGGGATTCGAGGTCCATGCTCTTCTTCTTGCCCATCACGAACGAGAAGGAGCGTTTCGAATCGGTTGAAGTGCGTTGCGGGTTCTCGATGGGATATGGCTCTTTCATACTGGTTGGCGGATACTTTCTCTCCTTTTTCCACTTCTCTGCTTGTTGCTTCCCAGACTTGACCGAGCTACTTCTACCAAACAACCTTTCACCTAGACCACTCAAAGTGCTTGATCTCCTGTGATGGGTTTTAGTCGGGGGAGTTTGCACTTGCGGTGGTGTATCATTGTTCCGGACGGGCACGGGAACACGGCTGATCGACTGACTGGGGCCATGTTGTGGTATGGGAGCAGAGATGTTGTATCCTCTTCCATTCGTCGGCTGGGTCACTTTACCGTGTGCGTTTGCAGCCTCCACGGTTGGAGCAACAGGCTGTCCATAAGAGCCTCTGGTGGGAAGACGCGGATCAGACCGAGCAGAGGCTGATGTAACTGGTGCATTGCCTGTACTGGGTCGACTGGCTTGAGTCTTGGTCATGGGAGGCTGTGACGTTGCGACGCTGAACGCGCCTGCGGTGTCAGATACCGACCGAGGCACATCTCTTGCTGGCCGTGTAGGAGGAGGCATTCTCTGTTGACCATTGCTGGGCGGGATCATGGGGTAATCTGCGACTTTCGTGGCTTCGTTCGCAACAGATGGTTCCTGAGGCAAAGGCTTTGATCGGGTAGGTAGCTGGGTTGCAGCGCCAGCAGGTCCCTGACTGCCACTTCTCGCACGCGTAGCTGGAGATGTGGCAGGTGCTTCACCGCGGGTAGTATGTGATTGAGGTTCAACATATTCTGGCTGGATGGTGTGTCGATTCACACTGCCCCTTTGTGCGCTCGATTCTGCCTCGTCGACCCGGGCAAGATTGGCTTGCTGGTTCAAAGCTCCAACAGGGGATGGTGTGCTTGGGTTTGTTGTTTTTGTCGGTTCGCGGACCGAGGCACTCCGCGCTAATGCTTGCATTTCTTCTTGGTTTTCTGAAACTATGTTAGCGAGCAAATATGGAGTGTTTGAGCTAAGTTTGACATACCAGATGGAACAGTACTGTTTGCAATGTCTGCAATGTTGGTAGTACTACTTGTGATATGAGAAACAACATGGTGATATTCGCTCAGCCAGCTATGCCTCGCCACCTCGAACAAGTCGGCACGCTTTCGAGGGTCTGGAACAAGAATCCTCCGTAAAAGGTCTCTTGCGTGAGGAGTGACATATTCTGGAAATGTAAGCGCAGTCGTGGTAATGTACTTGTATAGAAGGTTGATGTTATCGCCTTCTGGGTTCGCCGGATCATCATCAAATGGCAGATACCCTGCGAGCATGGCGTACTATCATGGGTCAGCAGTTTGAAACCATCGCGGAGCGATAGTCTTACCAGGATCACACCACAACTCCACACATCGACCTTACGCCCAGTGTAGAGCGAATCACTGACCACCAACTCAGGAGCAGCATAACATGGACTTCCACAACTTGTCTGCATCAGGTCTCCTTTTCTCATCCCTCTCTCGTCTTGGCGGTCCAGCCGATACTTCTTCACAAACTCGCGATTGCTGAGATTGTACACAATTTCGTCTGATAGCTCATCGGCAGGGTTAAAAGTATTGGCAAAGCCAAAGTCGCTGATGATAATGTTGCGGTTGCGGTCCAGTAGCAAGTTTTCCAATTTCAGATCTCGATGGACAATCCCCTTTTTGTGCAGGTAACCAATCCCCGAGACGAGCTGCGCAAACAGTCTTCTGGCAGCTGGATCCTTGAGATAGCGGTGATTCAAAATGTAGTCGAAAAGTTCACCTCCCGAGGCATACTCCAGGATGATGCCAATGTGTCGATCAGTTTCCACCATCTCATGCAATCGCACAATGTTCGGATGCGACAGCTCGCGCAGAATGGATATTTCTCGGTAGATCTTGGGAAGGCGGCTAGGGTTCGTGGCGACACTTTCACGACGGATGAGCTTGATAGCAACCTGAACGCTACCATCTTTCTTCCAACCAAGCTTGACCTTGCCAAACTCTCCTTCACCAAGCGTCTGACCTAGCATATATTCTCCAAATTGCACATCTTTTCGTCTCGTCGACTGTTTTGAATAATCCTGCCTTCTTCGCCCACCATCATCCATACCCTCACTTCCCATCGAGGCCATGCCAGATCCAGCGGTGTTATCCGTTGCCACTGGTGCAGGGCGAGCCTCAGCCATTCTGTCTTCCACGCGTGCAATATCAACTACCGGATTCGAAACCACTACCCTGTTGATGATCTCGCTATTCTCTCGCGTAAGAGATGCTGGAGGAGCAACTGCTACCATACCACCCTCAGATCGAGCCTGTCCAGAAATGTGCGAATGCTTCGCTTGTTCTCTTGTGCTTGTTGCAGTCTGAGGGCCATCGGGTGTTGTTGGTCCTCTTCGCCGACCATGCGAGGCTGAGGTAGTAGTGCTTGAACTCATATCTCGAGCATCATTGGCCATCTGAGAATTCTGACCAGGACTTCGTCCCTCATAAAGACGTGCGTCGTTTGCAGTCTGCCTTGATTGTCTTGCCGTTGCCGCTCTTGTCTCGAGTGGCGCTGTGGACGGAGCGGCTACGGCAGGTGAGCTTGGCTGCTGAGAAGATGATCTGGGTGGGGGTACGGGCGGTCCATCGTATTGATCAGAGGCCGTTGGATGATGGCGACTGCTCGTTTGCGCGCCTCCATACGTTGTATTGCCAGGAGAGACATAAGCATTCGTGGAGGGCGACGAGTAAGGCTGCGATAACGGCGAGGCCACCTGACTATCGAAGGCACTCTGCCGATCTTGCCGTCGTGGTGATTGGCTGGTGCCAGATGCTGAGGGGTTCTGGTTCGTATAGTAAGGATCTCGGCTTTGCGGCGACTGCTGGGCATACTGTCGAGCGGCTACGCCAGGAGAATATGAAGACGGCGGTGCTTGCATGCGCTGAGAATTGGACTGCGCAGCTGCAGAAGACATTTCCACATGAACTGCCAGTTGCAGAGGGAAATTGTGTAGCAGCTCTGCTGCCTTGCGATTTCCTTCTTGAGCTTATGCAGGTGGAAAGACGGCGGAGTATCTGTCTGGAAGGTCGCGGATGACTCTCACAATGCTACCAGTGGCTTGCAGCGGTGTCTTTTGTGGGCCAGGTCTTCACAGCACCTCCACTGCTTGCTGACCGGTCTTGCTCTGGATGTTGCCAATCTATCTAGCTCTTCAGTATGCTTAACCGTGTCTCCCAGATTCCTCAGAGTATGTAGAAGAGCTGCGTTTCGTTTGCATCAGGGAAGAGTGCTGGAATTGTAGTCGGTGGTTGTATCAAATGTCAATCGCAACTTTGCCAAGAGCAAGCACAGCAGCAAAGGAGCGTTGGGTATGCTATTGACACAGTCGGCGATGCCCTCTTTGCTAGATGGACATCACACTCTTAAGCGCGTTGAGAAATGTAGACAGCTCTTCCGAGTATCTGCGGTGTGGTAGAAGCAGAAAACACTCCTCAGCTAAGGCCCACGCTGCACGATTAAATGAGGGAAATTCAGGGGCCAGGCCTCATCATCCACGGGGAGAGAATGACATCGCTGCGAGAGGGGGCAATCGGAGAGTGAGGAAAGCCCTATGATGGCGGCACGAAGGGAGCGGCGGGGAAATTCGGTTGCATGTACTCCGTTGAGGGTGAGAAAAGAATACCTGGACAGCAAGCAGTGTTGATCAGCATCACACTAACTACTGCGTTGGAGGTGGTGAGAGACAGACCGATGAGGCTGGTAAGAAACACTACTAACTGATTAACTAGCGATTAGAGCTAGCCGGTGCTTAGGATGCACTGGATGTGCTGGCTTTGCTAGGCAGGATTAGGGCGGGACGAGCTGACTATTGTGCCGATCAGAATAGCGGCAGATAAAGGTTACTAAGTGCAAAGCCCCAGGCATCAGGACTGCCTTCAGGTACCTCCGGACCGGAGGACTGCCTTCAGGGACTGCCTTCAGGTACTCCGTACTCTCGTATATTCCAATTCTCTCCATTCAACCCGGGAATATCACAACAACTGAGGCGTGATCATGGGAAGCAGTTACCACCAGCCATGTCCGCGGCTTGATGATACAAAAGGCCTCTCTTCAGTTTCATATCTGTTCATGCAGTTGTCTTCGAAGCCTCTCATCCACCACCAAGATAAGGGTACCAAACCAATCACCTATTAGCACCTTCTAGTTATAGCATCCCACAGGATATTTCAGATCTTAGGCCGCTCTCTTCTAAACCAGTCCAGAACTCAAAAGTAAAAGGTTGCCGGCTCGACGGGTAGTATAGTCAAAACGAGATCCTGGTCTGTAACAAGAACGAGAACGTTCCAAATCTAAAGGCGACATCCCACCTCCTGCTCTCTCCGCCGTAGTTACTATCTCCCGCACATCAGCTGCTCGTAGTAACTGTGATGACGGTGAGCAAAGTGCAGAATATTAATCAATCAGCAGTGAATTGCTGGGGTCCCTTTCAGCAAGCCCTGACTGCATCCAGTCATTCGTTGCTTCTACATTGCATCTTGTACCCATGTATATCGCTCAAATTTCGTGTCCTCAGGAGCCACTTTCTCTTCTTCTCGCTACGATGGCGCTGAGCCTGCATGCATCTATGCAAGACTTCGCACATGTTATCCCCGAATGACTAAATGGCCACCGATGTCTCTGAATTTTCACGTCAAGCTTTCCAGTGTGGCCGAGGGCGCACCGACTATCGTGTAGGTTTTGTGGAAGATGTTCAGCTGTTTGTGTACCACTACATCGTCTCATCTGGCAAACTATCATGCTCACCACTACTTCCCAAAACTAAGAGCTCTTCATGCAGCTGTCAGAAAGAGAACAATTTCTCAGATTCGCAGCACGAGTCATCTATCTTGGGCGCTCAGGTCCTAGGACTAGTTAGGCAGAGTCATGCCCAGGGTCAAAGACACCATGATCCTAGTCGTGGCAAATCTCCCGGCGTTTCAGACGCATCTCATGCCTGCAGGTAAATAAATCTTCACTCCCACTGCATGCAGAAAGCGTATTACAAAGATCCTCTGTATTCATATTCATTCGTAATCATGCCCAGACAAAGGTTTTCATCTGTGTACCTATTGGCAACCCCAGACTCATGATCCGCATGCTCAGTGTTTCTCCGGAGCATATTGACCATACAGACCCTCTCCAACCCCAGAGGTGTATGTGGGGGGCGCCGGATTCGTTCCAAATGTGCCGAATCCGACAGGCTCTGTTCCGGGCCTTCCTGACGAAGAGCCGCCATAGAGGTTCTGGCTGTTCCCGGTGTGCTTCATGTCTGAAGGATAGCCGCCCTGACTCTGAGGTCCAGCTGCTTGAGGGGCGACACCTCCATCACCAGCACCGACGACCAAATGTTGACCATTTTGCATCTTGCCAACGACCATACCCTTGGCCACAGATTTGATGACCGCTTTCCGTGACACACCTGCTGCATCAATGTAGACTAGACCAACATTTCGGACGCCTCCACCAATATCGGATGCTACCGACCTAGCTTCATCACCATATCGATGACCCACCACTGTTGTGGCAGCGGAGGATCCTGACTGTAGAAGCTGACGACCGGCTTGATCAATACCATCAGCAATGGTAGAGAATGCAATCATGCTCTTGTTCAGGATACCCGGCTTGTAAGAGCTGGCTGGGTTGCCATCCTTGTCATATCCTACCTTCTTACTTCCCTTTCCAGCAAGACCTGCTCCAATATTCTGGGCGTAGCGACTGACTTGACCCACTGTTTTGGCACTCAGCCCTACAGCGCCCTGCGAGAAATTGTTGATCTTGCGAATTCGAGCATGTGTGGCAGGTGTAAACGTCATTGGTTTAGGGCTAGGCTTGGTCTTCTTTTGGAAATTGTCGGCCCCAGAGTTGAGTGCGTTTGCAAGATAAGTAGAACCAGTTACAATGAGTCTGGAGGCCGTCGCCGAAGTTTGAACAATTGTCGACTTTTGGTAAGCAGGGTGTCGGGACAGTTGTAGGTATTCATCCGATACATTGTTGACCTGGATGTTGTTGCCTTGACCCTCTGCAGGGAGATGAATTTCCACAGGGTCTACCAAAAAGTTCTTAGCGAGATCGTTTACTCGGGGCAGTGCTGTGTAAAATACGTACTCTTTGAACCGGGGCGAATTGTGGACGATTCAACAACATTAAACCCTTCCTGAAGCTCTCCAACAACACTTCCGTTCTCCTCATCCACGATGACTATTTGCCCCGGACGCGCCTTCGAGTCCCCTGTCCCAGCATGACCTTGACCAGGAGCATAGTGCGCTGGGTTGTAGTGCTCGTGCCCTTTGGGAGGTGAAGCACGTTCGAGGAAGGCAGTGCACTGAGCAAGTATTGTTTCAAAGGTGTCAACATCTTCCTGTGTTACTTTTCCAGGTGAGTTAGGCCGGCCAATTGGAGGAAATTCGATCCGTGTCAACGCCCCTCTATCGCTCGAGTGCATTGGGATAATGTAGCTGCTGGGAGGCTGATGGAAGACTTGTGTAGTAGCCGGTAGAGGTAGGTCGAGCTCGGGTGGTAGGTGCAAGTGAAGATAGAAATCCTCCTCGGGCGCAGCACTGGTCGGCTCTGTGCTAGAAAGATCTGTGAAAGGGGAGGAGGTGGGGACCATCAACAGAGACAGCGTCTGCGGACCAGATGGGTTGAGAGGTTGCTCCTCGCCATCTTGTATGTGATATGCTTTGATGCCGTTGATGCTGTACAGAACTTGCGGCTCCGAATGACCAGAAGACATGACTGTTGCTTGTAGGTGTGCAGTGGACGTGTACGATCGCAATCGACTGCCTTCACAAACTTGAAAGTTGTTTACGAAAGCTTGGCTGCTGACGTAGGTCAAGGGTTGATATCATGAGCAGACCAGCCTTACGTAGTATGCGTAGGATAGAAAGCACGGACAAAGATAACAGTGTCTGCTTTGAAAGAGAGCAATACTGAAGAAATACTTGGGGTAATTTGGGGGGTCTCTATTCAGTACTTAATGCAGCATTCAGGCGCTGAAGGCCTTCTGGGCAGCGTTTACTCCCCAAGTTCAATTGCAGCGTGGTAACGCCAGGTGCATGCTGCGCCACATGCTGCGCCACATGGTTTGCAAGCCACAGCCCCTGGATGAAAACGAAGTACGGAGTACACACAGAGATTGTTGACGCCTTTTCAGCCTGTAAATTGTGGTTTAGCCCAGAAAAGCTTTCGATGGAACATCATCTGTACTAACCCGAAATGTACTGAGTTTCCTGACTGGTTTCCCATAACATTTAATACCATAGCAGCTTGTATAAAACTAGATATCTTTGGCGGTGACTCTCTTGGTCTGTGAAAACATCACGCTTTGACCAGGATTCACCAGACTTAGGTAGAAACTGCCCTACTCCTTCATCAGCTTGCCTTTCTCTGCTCCAGTCACGACACGACACCTCTTCTACTTGAGAGCAAAATCGAGATCATGCGTATCCAGTAGCCTTCTTCTGGAGTGGCCGAAGACAGTCACTGGGCGGCTGCCAGACGCCATGAATTGCTGGTGTTGTTGAGCAGGGCTTGCTGCTGCCTATGGTTCCGTTGATCACTGAAGAGAGCGCAAAGCAGTTCCCATCCCGAGCTCAACAGCGCACATCAAAGTAAGAATGACCAAGGCTCGGCGTATTGTGAACTCAGCCTTTAGACGAGTAAGCTCTAGGCCTTCATTGCCATAAATCCAGTGTGCTTACTTATCGCTACTCCAAGAGCAAACTCTCCCCACTCGACATCTCTATATAATTAATGTTGTCCGTGGGCAATATTGTTACCGCGTCATTCCTTACTTGGGCTTTCACAGCATCTTGCAAGGTGTACGCCTTTCTTCGCAGAAATGGAGTAAGTAGACCACCTCCAATCTTGGCCTCGTCTGTCAACGAATATGTCAATGCTAGGACCTTCATTCCTTTTGGGGACTGACAGACCATGAGTTCCGGCACAGTATTTCGCCTTCAGAAGATGTTGGCATTTCAGAGCATTGATGGCACCCAAGTTCAGCTGTTTTGTAAATAAAATGGATATATCATGCAGCCCATGTAACATGGCGAGCGTCTGAATTGGCGGTGTAGCCGTTGGTATGGAGACAAGATCAGGAGGCTGGATGCCATGTGGTGAATAAATGATAGCTTCAGCTCCATAAAGGTGTAAAGACCTGGTGTCTCGAGCAAAAATGGCGACAGCGGAATGGAAGTATAGTGCGTCTGACTCGGTCACCAGTCGAGCGATTCCTATCCATGGTGGCAACGGTGGTTTAGATGTTTGTCGCCAGTCTGAACCTTTGCCGAAAGGGAAAATATCCAAAACCTGCTTGAAATGGCCCCAGGACCTGATGAGCTTGGCAGCCTTCGTTGTCGCAAAGCAAGGTACAGAGGTATCGATCTCTTCTAGAGTTTTCCGGTGACAATGATCTGTAAATTCGTGCGAACAGATCACAGCGTCTATATAACTGCCAGCGTCAGGCCCAGCGGTATCATGGTCCTCTGAGCTCTCCCTTGTGCTTCTTTCCAACGCATGAAGCTCAAGTTCTTCTCTTTCGTGGAGAACGTCATTCAGTTCCTCGATGGTTTGCACACTGCTCTGAATTCTATGCCATTGTGTGCTGAACCACCCCGCTACGTCACTTTGCGGACCTACTAGCCACGGGTCCAGAAGAATGTTGAAACGACACCGCCGAGGCGGGCAGATGGCGTCCTCGGGATATGGAAGAGACAGTAGCCACGTCGTATCAGCATTAATATGAGAGAGAATAGGCCTGCGCGCTGTAAGAGCTGCTGTAATAGAGCTCTCCAGCTCACGCTGTAATTGCAACGAAGGATGTGACATGATCCTAGACGTCGTGCTTCCAATAAGAATGTCAGAGATGTCTATCAACTAAGTTGTTTTTCCCCCTCGTCTAACCTAGAGGGTTCTGCAGGCCGGCGGCTCAACAATGACGCTGCCCAGTACAGGGTCGGTATCAATGACGGATGCACACTCCTGGCTCTTTGCCACAATGCTTCAAGCTGCACAGCCACGTGCCCCTCGGAAGTTCAAGCCGGAGATAGAGGTCGTAAAGGCAGAGAGTCTGAGGAACTACTCAACCGTGACCTTGGTATGTGGAGAGAGTTCTAGAGCATGTGTTGTCTTAGTGAAGGAACTTTGTATAACATTATGTGCAGAATCTCCTGGGCCACCAAGGCACACAGCAAGTTGCTGCTTGCGCTTGTCCTAGAAACCATTCACATTTCACTCCTCCAGCAGAAGTAGAGTAGCAACGATGGAGGAAGAATTGAAGACTAGAGTCATTATTCATCATCCATATGCAATGTGCATCATCAACATGCAATGCTGCTATCAATACGTAGTAGAACTGTCGTCCGTTCTTAAGCAAGCATTAACCCAGTTTCTTCCAAGATTATTACCACAAACTCCACGATCCCATTCCTCGGATCATTGACCGTCTAACTTCTTAGAGGGCTAAGACTTGTTACCCTAAAGGTTACTTGAAACGCGCGTCGCGGTCTTGGTAGGCAGTGTGGACGCCGTTAGAACAAGCTAGGCATCGTCACAACCCAAGAGTTCGTTTGCTGGGGGATTGTGCTTCTAAGCCGTTTCCTTACAGCCACGCCCCACGCTGTATCTTATCTTACAGCCCTAGGAATTCTGGCCTCCAATATCCATCTTCCACCACCCTGCTGTCTGACAGCTTCATCCGCTCATCTCTCCTTCAGATCTTCCAGGATCTCGCATACCTCGATGAACGACTCTGACTCTACTGATCCCTCATTATCAACTCGCATTCGATCTTGGTTCCGGACCAAGCCGCATGTTAGTCCTACACCACCTCCGAGTGATCCCGCCTCTACCTCGACCCTGAACCATTCATCCATCCAGGGCGAGCATGGCTTCACAGAATCTACAACCACGGCAGTGCCTGGCAGTCAAATCATTGAGGAAGGGAAAGATGGTCAACCCACCTCCCAATCCACACTTGCAGACGACAGAAGCCCAGGATTGCCTCCACCAGCTCCACCCCCTACCTCGGAGAAAGCAGAAGGAGAAGTATCTCCCACATCTTCCGCCGTAAGCTCCAAGGAAAAATTGCCTATGCGCAAAAGATTTTACAATGACTGCAAACGTATAATCTTCTGTAGCTGGATCAACTGGCTACTGATATTCGTCCCTGTTGGCATTATTGTCGGTGTAGTAGAAAGAGCACAAGGAGAAAGTAGCGCTATCAGTCCTACTGTCGTATTCGCCATGAATGCAATAGCAATCATTCCTCTGGCATCTTTGTTGGCCTTCGCAACTGAAAGCGTGGCTACCAAGATGGGAGACACAATTGGCGCGTTGCTTAACGTTACCTTTGGAAATGCCGTGGAGCTCATCGTCTTTATCATTGCTCTCGTTGCCAACGAGATCCAAATTGTTCAAGCGGCTGCGCTTGGTTCGATTTTGTCGAACCTGCTCCTAATCCTGGGCATGTGCTTCCTCTTTGGAGGGCTCCGTTTCCGGGAACAGGTAAGTCACAGCTCGTCTCCACCGCTATAGCTAATCGCTCACTGTTCTCTCCAGCTCTACAATCCCGCCGTATCTCAGATGAGCGCTTGTCTGCTCAGCTTGAGTGTGGTCAGCCTGCTCCTTCCAGTAAGCGGCCCTTGCCCCCGTTTAGAGAATCATTTCCCCTTATTTGCTGTTTGAGATTGCCGAAGAGCTGACGGTAGTCTCAGACAGCGTTTCATGCGTCATTCAGCAATAGCGACATTGCTGATAGAGTAGTGCTCAAAGTGAGTCGAGGAACCAGTGTGGTAAGATCTGCCATCTTTCACAAAACATCATAAGACTAACTTCCAAGCAGGTTCTCCTTTGCGTCTATGTTTTGTACCTCCTGTTTCAGCTGAAATCTCACGCCTACATGTATGAGAGCACGCCTCAACACCTGATCGACGAGGAATCTCATCCTGGTGTGCTGGCAGAAATGTTAAATGCTTCCAGTTCGTCAGACGACTCGAGCTCTTCGAGCGATATAGATTCGGATGGCAGTTCGGGTTCTCATACTACAGCCAAGCGCATCAAGCGTGCGCTACGCCGAAAGCGTCGCAAGTCCAGTGTCAGCTCCAGAGATGCCCCATCAGTGCCTTCTACCTATCACGTCTCGTCTCCTTTGAGCAATGTCTTTGAAAATGTGACCCCTGGAACGCGTTCACCTCAACAGCTCTCACCCAAACCATCGCACAGCTTCGAGGCAGTGATGAGCGGTGATGAAGGAGACATCGATCGAGAAAGCAGGAGAGCACGTCGCACGTCTACAGGAATTAACTCAAGAGATTTTGGCATAGACCAAAATAACTCTGTAGAGGAAGTGATCGAGAAAGTCAGGAAGCACAAAAAGAAGTTCAGAAAATCGAAGAAGTCGAAACCCCAAGCCAAGGCTCACGAAGTTACTGAAGAGAAAACCCTTGACGAGAAATCTACCCAAGGAGCTCAAGCCAAGGATAAAATGCCAGCACAAGCTTCGGCCTCGCTGCCGCAGGTTGCCTTCGTCAACGAGGTCCAGGACATGCCTGACACGAGTCTCAAAAGACCATTTCACTTCCGTGATCTTTCTCGAGCTGCAATCCCACGAGCTTTGTCGCCAGCTATATTTTCCCAGTCATCTACAAGCCAAACTCCCTCGGCACCGGGTCTGTTAGGACTACCCAAGGCTGGCCCAAACATCCGTCGAACCACCTCTATGCCAGAGATGGGCCACACTACGCCATCGCCAATCATCGCTCCCTTGTCTGTTCAGCCGTTACCCCATCTGATGCCAAGCAACCAGCAGATTACGGTCATCATCGATCCAGAAGACTCACATGGCCAACAGCAACTCTCGCGGACGTCGGCTGTACTACTTCTTCTTGTCGCCACTGCTCTCGTGGCAGTCTGCGCCGAACTCCTCGTCAACAGCATCGACTACCTCGTACAAGAAACTGGAGTTAGCCAAGCCTTCATCGGTCTCATCATCCTACCTATTGTTGGAAATGCGGCCGAACACGTCACCGCCGTGACTGTCGCCTCAAAAAACAAAATGGACCTTGCCATTGGCGTCGCCTTGGGCAGTAGTATTCAGATTGCTATTTTTGTCACTCCTCTGATCGTGCTGCTGGGTTGGTGCCTCCAGAGGGATATGAGTCTCTACTTTAGTCTCTTCGAGACGATCAGTCTGTTCGCTAGTGCGTTTATTGTCAACTATCTGATGATCGATGGGAGGAGCAATTATCTGGAGGGTGCGTTACTGATTGCGGCGTACGTTATCATCGCGGTGGCCGCTTTCTTTTACCCAAGCTGTGAGAATCTGAGTGAGGCGGGAGGGTTGGCGGAGGGGGCTTGTCGTTAGCAGGAACAAGCTTAAGGAGGCCGTTGGAAGGAGGGTAGAAGCAGAGTCAGCAGAGCTTGCGGATCAAGCTATGGAGGGGTTTGGGGAGACCAGCGTCTAAGGATGACAGAGAAACGGAAAGGATGCTTACGGATCAAATCATAACCACTCTTTCTCACGATACGATGAATACGATGAACCTCGCATAGGAGAGAGGGATGGGAATTATCAAAAGCTCCAGTTGAGCTGGCCAAAGGCCACACTATTGCTACCCACTTACAGCATTTGCTGCTCAGAGTCGCTCATACAATGCGACCAAATAGTCTTATGCTCATCTTTCCCTTTTTTTCCTCACTTCCGTGTCATCAAGAGCTGCATCTCATGTTATCCGGCATATCCACCCACGTGATTTTAATACTCATCAATTCCACAACGCCCAAGCGGTCTACTTATGACCTTGACTATTCCTACTGCAACGTTTTTGGGGGTTGTTTCTCCAAAGTTCGTTACGGAACAAAAAGAGGTTTAAGCGACAGTAAAACTATGGGAACGGGTTTTGTTGCAGGCCATCACTGCATGTTGTGCTACAAGTCGTTTTCTCTACAGGGGTGGTAACAACTCTTAGATGTTGGGAATCGGGCATCAGAAACAATGAGAAGACGACATCCTGCTCAACCACTCAGATACTTCCGAGTAACTTCCGAGCTCTGCTTCAGGAGAGGGGCCTCAACAGAACAATAGCTGAATGCAGCACGAGAAGAAATTTACTCAAGCACAGAGGGTCGTGTCGGATGATTTCCCAAACGAGGATACCCCATCCAAGATCTCTGTACAGGAAGGTGCTTCTTTCAGAGCAACTATAGCAGCAGAATTTCCTTCGGCTGCTTACCGAGATTGCTTTACATCACTGCAGCCGAGACCACCGATTTTATCGCTAGACACTGCGACAACCTTGAACCTTGACGTTTGGTGGTGGGGAACTAGGAGAACATAAGATACTGTTGGGCAAAGAAGAGTTCAAAAGATGAATATTTTATCTGTTTTATATATAATACTATGTAATAAGTAGATGAATAGTGTCAGAATACCATAATCAAAGGAGAAAAGACAATCATCAACCATCAAATATCTCTAAATCTGTTGTTGTACAAAGCCCTAATTAGTCTTAAGTAGGTAGGTACACTCCGAACCTTGACATTGCCAGGATGAGGGTTTTCGCGTCCAGCGAGATTGAACCCCATGGCACTAACTAGTTACATGTAAAAGTCGACATTGAACCACGATCGCCCACAAAACCACGCCAGCCGACTCCAGCCCCAATCAGTTCATTCCTTCACTCCTAGTAGTACTGGTTCGATCTTACATGCCACAAACACTACTCCATCCGTCCTTCCCGACATCCTTTGCCGGGTCCTCCACAAGCTCAACACCAGGGTGAGGTTGCGGCGCACCCACCGAAGCGGGCATGATTATTGTGTCATTCATCCCAATGAAGGGCGCCATCACTTGCGAGACTGTGCCTCCGGTTTGGCGGCGGACGACGTAAATCGGTTTGCCATCTTCGAGTTTCGTTTGGTCGCTCATTGAGGATGAGTCGGAGGATTTCTTGGATTCGTCTTTGTCGTTCACCCCCTTGTCCTTCATCTCCTTATCTTTCATCTCCTTGTCGTTCATCCCCTTGTCGTTCATCCCCTTGTCGTTCATCCCCTTGTCGTTCATCCCCTTGTCATTCATCCCCTTGTCCTGCACATCTTTTCCTTTCTCACCTTCATTTGAGGCCATGGGGTAGGGAGATGGGGTGTATGCGCCGGCATCAGAGTAGGTAGATGAGGTAGCAGAATAGATTGAGGTGGTGTAGGAATACGTGGAAGTGCCGTCAGGATAGGTTGAGGTCGCCACGTAATAGGATGGGGTGGCTGCACCGGCATCATAGGACGAAGAGCTGTAAGCGCCACCGCTGCCACCGTCATACTCCTTTTTATCATCCATCATCTTGGCATCTTCCTTCTCCTTCTGATATTTGTCATCACCGGCATAGCCAGTAGCAGCAGCAGCTCCACCACTGGCGGCGCCGTCATCGCATGAGCCGGCCCCAATTGTCATGGTTTCCGCAGCGGTCACTGTTGCAAATCTGGTCAGCTGGATAATGGCCCCGTAAAACTCTGCGTCTCCGCAGCTATGAGAAGGACTCACTGAGGCACGTTTTCGTCTTCTCCTTGCCTCCATCAACTACCCACTTAGACATTGCATAGTGTTTATTCTGCTTTCCGCTACCAATTTCAACTTCAACCAACACGTGAACCAGTTCTATCATCACAGTATTTCCGGAGTATTTGTCCAACGCATACTCCTGGCGCCTTTTCTTCTTCTCGTTGTCATTGTTCTAGGGCAAAATGTTAGCATCCATGTTGCATTGCATGGTGAGCGGAAGATCACATACCTCATTCTTTTTCATCAGAGCCATATACTGGGGTTCGTTAGCTTCGCAATTCGCAAGAGGCCGGATGACTGACTTTATCCTTGATATACTTGTCCGCTTCCTGTTGCCTCTGGTCGTACTCTCCATCGTACATTCCGCCATTATAGGTCCCCTTGTTGTAGTCCTCACTGCCATATGCATTCTTGTCACCATCTTTGCTTAGATCTTGCTTGTTGTCTTGACCTTGGGCACACGGGCACAGGCACATGCCGCTGGGCAGGCCATCCATGGTACGTTTGAAAATGTCAGCTGTTCCACTGTTTGCAAGGGCATGATCTTGCGTTCTAGGGGCTTTACATAAATCAGTAACAGTCCTCTCTGATAATAACATGATCAACGTACCTGCCAGAGCCCCATAGGAAGCTGATAATGCCAGAAGGCAGTATGATAAATGCATGGTTTATAAGATATTGATGGTATCAGGCTTGAAAGAAAAATGGTGTGAAAACTGGTAATGAATGAAAGAAATACAGATGAAAAGATTGGAATGATAGGAAGAGATTGGCTAGCTGTACTAAAGAAAGTATGTTTAAAAAGCCAGGGATATCTGCTGCTTTATCAAAGTCCCAAGCAAATGAGTGTGAAATTTTCTGGTCAGATTTACACGTCCGAAGCAGGTAGTGTAAGACACTGTAGCCTTAACAATGGGAAAATATAACTTCTTGCAGGTGACATAAAACGCGGGTCGAAGCATCGTATGGCAGAAGACATCATGGCTGTACAGGATGGGAGACTATCATATCGTCGTTGGCCGTTTCGACGGATGCCAAGTGAAGCCCTCGCGTTTCTAGACCATGAATTGTCGGAGAACCGTGAAATACATACAATGGCTGAATCAGGCCTCCTAGTGAAGGTCTTGGTGTATCGATGAGCTGGAGAATGAATTCAGTGATGCAAAGACGCTAAGGGGAACGTCTCGTGCGACGTGTGTTTGAAACACAGCAGGTCTGATATAAGGTCTGGAGTCTGAAGATTCAAGACACGGCCAAAACAGCTTGCGATGGATGTTGAGAAGACATAAAGTTCTCGGAACACTGAAGAGACGAGTTGGCCAACATAAACGAGGATATCACCATACAAAAATGAGGTTGCTCGAAGTGCAGCACCCGAAGCGTTCCGGGTAAACGCAACCAGGAGACTCGCAACATATAATCGCTTCGCTTATCTGAGGCCACCAGAGCAGAAGAGATACATCGACTTTTGCTTCGAACGAGACAAACATTATAGGTATCACGTTTATGGATTACCATTATGGTCCTTAAAGTACTGGTAGTTACTACGTAGTATTAAGTGATGGGGTCAAAAAGGACTGAACGCCAAGATTTTAATACAAATTCGGACTAGTGGTTCGCACACACATTCTCACCCGTAAGCTGAAGCGGAAACCAATCTCGAAATCCTGTGTCTTGCAAGAACCCCATCGTCATTAGCCTCAGTCGCTCCCAGGAGTTACCCATCATGTGTATGTATGCCTAATTGCAGTCGGTGCCACTCTCAATTCATCACTGTATCCTCAACCAGGCACCATTCCGTGACCATTATGTCACCTGAGTTGAACGTTCGGCTTGCCATTATGGACAAAGTGGCTAATGATGTAAATAGCTTTGGTCAGCTCTGAGAAGAGCAACTTTCAATTCATCCTACGTCTCCTCAATACCAACGTCGATGGCAAACAAAAGATCATGTACGCTTTGACCAAGATCAAGGGTGTTGGCCGAAGATACTCCAACTTGGTCTGTAAGAAAGCTGATGTCGATCTGAACAAACGGTTTGTCGCGACATCTGTTTGTTGAGCTTTCACAGATTGATCCATTGTAGTGCTGGCGAAATCACATCGGAAGAGCTTGAACGAATTGTCACTATCATCCAAAACCCTACGCAATACAAAATTCCTACCTGGTTCTTGAACAGGCAGCGGGATATTGTCGATGGCAAAGACACTCAAGTTTTGGCGAACAGCATGGAGAGCAAGCTTCGAGAGGATTTGGAACGGCTGAAGAAGATTCGGTCTCACCGTGGCCTGCGTCACTATTGGGGCCTGAGAGTTAGAGGGCAGCACTCAAAGACCACTGGCAGAAGAGGTCGTACCGTTGGTGTCAGCAAGAAGAAGGGTTAGACTATTTGTTGGCGGTACAATCTTCGTGGTGTACAGCGACTGGTGAAACACTATGATCCACGAAGAAAGCTCTGGCTACCAGTGTCACCACTCTACGCAGCATGGAAAATAGAAGTGAGTTCATTCTAGCAACCGATGGCAATCGACCCGAAACTTCTTGCTCCGTGGTCTCTGTACCCGACGTCGGAAGCTGGGTTTGGTGTACTGCTAGATCCTTGATCCATTCAATGTCGCTTTTCTTCTGATTATCGTGAAAGTGGTGTGATGTGTATGAACCGTGCACCTCTGGTTGTCAAGATTTGTTGCCCTTCCCAGAGGTCACTTACCTCACAGTAAAGAGGAATGAATATTGACACATATTGGTGTGTGGCTCAAACTGATTCATTCTATAGACCCATCCGAACCCCTCTCGGGCTTTTCCATTCCGCATCTTGATCTCGCCCAATGTCATGGCTGGTTCACCGCCATTACAATCTATTTGAGGGCCATAGAAACCGGGGATCGATACTTTCCGGGTCGATCAATCAACAGCTGCGGCTATCCGAGACCGCCAGCTTGCCATGCAGCCGGGAGTGCCATGTTGATCGCATCGGAACGTTGCACGGTGCATCATTGGATTTGACTTTTACCCAAAGCACGGGGCTTAGCAAGCGAGTCTTGCACTCGTTTTGCCCTCGAGACGTATCTTCAGCGTATCAGTGCTGAAGCAAACTTTCATTCCTCTTTTTGAGAGTGATTGCGTTGTTCGAGAAACCGCTTTAGAAATCACGGTCCTTCCGATTGATTTTATATGTGAGACAGAAGTTGCTTGATCTCGGATCAAGTGCATAATGATCACGTGTTATTGTTTATTCTCACACCTCTGAGCCTTTCCAGATCAGTAGAACCAGCATACCACTGAATGAGGCTAACCTAATTCTCCACAGCTGTACAACGCGATATGATCTGTGGCAACTTGACTGGTTACGGCGAAGCATCCGGAGACCTCCACACCCTGGAAAGGCGTTGTTGCACAGAAGTTCTATAGTGTCGGCCGTCCGCATTCCAGCTAATTCAGGATGATCTGCTTCGTCCAAGTGGTTTGTCCTCGCCGGTCAAGCACCAACCTACTACGTATGAACGGGTCCGAGGAATGCTTCCCAACCCTTGTGTCCTGTTCCTGACATTCTAGCCTTGCAGATCACGAGCTCCACAATTAGCAACAAGCAGATGCAATCAAATATCGGATATCGATTTACAGCCTGACATAGGTAGCATCGACTGTAGTGGCACCTTCCCAGCTGTCTCCACTGACATCTCAGCGAAGCAGGAACCATCTTCAGAGTTTGCCACCAGCTTCAGGATATAAAGCCAGAGCGGCCTTCATTTCTCCTATGACTACGCTATTTTGCTCATCCGTCGTCAAACACTTATCTGTTCATATCAAGTAGCTCTCAACTCTGCGATGGAATTGATCAGATTTGGCAGCGCCACAGTGCTGTTCATCTTGTCTCTTTTAAGCTCGTCTGCTTCAGCTTTCTCTGGCGAATTCGAGATAAGCGGGCTGGAGATTGACGCGCCGTTTCAGGCAGATCCCAAGTCAACCAAGAATACCACTGTTAGCTGTAAGTGATGTCATGGCTCATATCAGAGCAAGAACGATGTACTGACCTGTCATAATAACACTAGTCGTTTTCAATGACCAAAACACACCAAAAGCCAGCCCAGCTAGCTGCTCTCTGACGTGGGCAGTTGGTCTCAGCCCTCCATCCCAATCCCTGCCAGGGGTTTGCTCTGATAGATACGTACGTGCCTGGCTACCTAGTGGCACATACAACGGGGTTGCAGACTTCCAGATCGAGATTACTCATACTTATGAGGATAATACGTGAGCAAGGCCCCGAGGCAATGCGACCCTGTTCGCTACTGACACCGTGGTCTAGCATTGGAGATCCTCCATACAACATCAATACACTCTTTGGGTTCCTCAACCTCACTTCTGGCGACGCTGGAGAGATGTCGAATTATACCTGCGACATGGCTCGAGCGAATTGTCGCTCAGTACCTGAAACGATAATGATTGCAAAGGTACTCTACGCATTTTCATGATGCAGAGTGTCCTTGACTGGAAATGGTTAATGAGCTGAAGACTACCTGTACTCGCAATGATATGCGGATGATAGCGTATACTCAGGTAGAAATCAATCATATTACATCCGTCGCAGCATCAGTTGCACGTTACCAGAACCATGACTTACAGCAGAGCACTGGGTTGTAAAGCTTGCCGCCGCTCCATGTCCGGTACAGGCGGCTGATCAGGGGTGATCAGGGTCTTGCCAAGAGTCCCTGCAGGTCTCCCAGCCGACGTAGACTGCCAGTGTTAGCAGATCAGGCACCCTCGGCCCTGCGCAATCATCCACGTTTCTCTATCAAGTGATTCATCATAGCACCACTGTTGTATCGCCATGTTGAATGTGTTATCTTGCTCTTACATACAGTTCTAAAGCTTCAGTTACCGCTCTTCTATTTATACAAACTTCCGTCCCTGCTTTTATCCGTCCGACGACGTCATCGAGGTCGCATAAGCAAGCTCCAAGGAACGACTTTTTCTGCTGCTCTCCCAATCACTTGAGCGGTAACTAGAGGATGAAGGTCATCGCATCGTTGTTCCTTGCTGGGACAGCATTAGCAGTTGTCCCCCCGCCGCAGCAAGCCTTCCAATTCCCAAAGCAGTTTCCAGAGGCAGCAAAGCATGCCTGGTCCAAACAACTACACAACCTGAACAATGTTCTGGGAAGTCTCACAGACGAAGCCAGAGCCATTTGGGACGATGTCACTGCATTGTATCCTGAGGACATGGCAAAGGCAAGCTTCTTTTCGTCACCAAAGAAACATACACGCAGACCTGATCATGAGTGGGACCACATTGTTCGAGGCAGCGATGTACAAAGTGTATGGGTTGATAACGAGCAAGGAGAGAAAGAAAGAGAGCTCAGTGGAAAACTTGACACCTATGACTTGAGGGTCAAGAAAGTCGACCCAAGTTCTCTGCAGGTTGATCCTGGAGTCAAACAGTACAGTGGGTACCTGGATGACAACGAGAACGATAAGCATCTCTTTTACTGTAAGACGCCACATCTGTACCGCCATAGCTTTTACTGACCATTGCAGGGTTCTTTGAGTCTCGAAATGATCCCGAGAATGACCCAGTCGTACTCTGGCTGAATGGTGGTCCCGGCTGCTCATCCTTGACTGGTTTGTTTCTTGAGCTTGGTCCCGCCCGAGTCAACCAGCACCAGAAGCTTGACCCTAATCCTTATTCATGGAACTCGAATGCTAGTGTCATCTTCCTGGATCAACCCGTAAACGTGGGATTCTCCTATTCCGGCTCCAGCGTTTCCACCACGACCGCTGCAGGCAAGGACGTCTATGCCTTGCTTACCTTGTTCTTCAAGCAATTCCCTGAATATGCAAAACAAGATTTCCACATTGCTGGAGAGTCCTATGCTGGCCACTACATTCCCGTCTTCGCCCATGAGATTGTGTCACACAAGAAAACCAACATCAACCTGAAGAGTGTCTTGATTGGCAATGGATTGACTGATGGTCTAACTCAGTATGCGTATTACAAACCCATGGCTTGTGGCGAGGGAGGCTGGCCCGCTGTCGTCGGTAGATCAGGTTGTCAATCTATGGAAAATTCTCTTCCACGCTGCCAGTCTCTTATCTCTGCTTGCTACGATAGTCAAAGCGTCTGGACCTGTGTGCCAGCTGCCATCTACTGCAACAACGCTTTGATCGGCCCCTATCAACGCACGGGCCAGAACGTCTACGATGTGAGAGGACAATGCGAAGATACCAGTAATCTCTGCTACAAGGAGCTTGGATGGATTACAAAGTGGCTGAACCAGCGCTCTGTCATGGAAGCTATCGGCGCGGAGGTCGACAGCTACGACTCATGTAATTTTGATATCAACCGCAATTTCCTCTTTCAGGGTGATTGGATGCAGCCATTCCACCGTCTTGTTCCATCACTTCTTGAAAAGATGCCGGTTTTGATCTACGCGGGTGACGCGGATTTCATTTGCAACTGGCTTGGAAATCAAGCCTGGGCGGAGGCACTCGAATGGTCAGGGCACAAGGATTTTGCTGCTGCCGAGATGAAGGATCTTAGAATTGATCAGGTCGGAGGCCAAGGCAGGAAGATTGGGGAAGTCAAATCACATGGAAATTTTACCTTCATGCGGATTCATGCTGCCGGACATATGGTACCTCTTGATCAACCAGAGGCTGGCTTGGAGTTCTTTAACCGATGGCTCGCAAAAGAATGGGCTTGAGGTTCTACTTCCAATGAGCATTACGCACTATAGAGGAGGGAACAAGCTCGTGAGCTGGAGGAGTCGTTGAACAGCTTGCAAAGCTGACGTTGACTATCTGCCTGGTCTCGGCTGGCTCTCATCTCAGCACGGTGGATGCACCAGGTAATAGCTTCAAGTATACAAATTTGTACAGCCGTGAGCCAGAGCCCATTCAAACGCGCTACCCACGTGGTATTTGGTATTTGGTTGATCGCATGAGTCATCCACGGTAGTGTCGTCTCCAAAAATGACCAAGACATTCGAAAACCTACGAGCGCACAAGCGATATATGTAGGTAGTATACTTTGCCGAAGTAACCAGTATCCTGTGATTATTCCATGCGGGTGTTCTATTTTGCGACAACTCATCCACCGTGTAAGGTATCCATATATGCTCTTCCTTGGATATTGTTTAGAAAGAGATTAGAAATCTTCTTCCCAACTGGAGGCTTTTCATCCTCGACTTCCTCCCACTTTCACTTTTTCACCCACCTACCACATCTCTCTGCATAGCCTAGAAAAGTGATACGGCCACCGGAAAAAATGCCACAAAACATCCAACAACCCGCCAACCGCATAACCCTGACCAATATCTCGCTCGTCCGCTACCGCAAACGCAAAACCCGATTCGAACTCGCCTGCTACAAGAACAAGCTTCTCGAATACCGCTCCGGGGCCGAAACCGACCTCGACAACGTCCTGCAAGTGCCCACCATCTTCTTGAACGTGTCCAAGGGCGCCGCGGCACCAAACTCGGACCTGGAGAAGGCTTTTGGGAAAAATTATGATAAGGATGCGGTGATCAAGGAGATCCTGGAAAAGGGCGAGTTGCAGGTGGGTGCTGGGGAGAGGAGGGAGGAGCGGGAGAGGTTGGAAAAGGAGGTGCTGGATTTGGTGGGGGCCAGGCTTGTGGATCCGACTTCGAAGAGGGTTTATACTTCTGGCATGATTAGGAAGGCGTTGGAGTTGTTGAGTCAGCAGGGGGGACATCGGCCTGTGGAGGGGGGTTTGGGCGAGAAGTTGGGGAGGTTGAATTTAAATGCCAACACGGCGGGGAGTGGACTTGGTGGTCCTGCGAAGAATGGGGCAGTACCGGTGAGCAGGGGAGAAAGTGAGGCTGCTACGCCGGCTACCGCTACACCGGGCACGGACGATGGAGAAGGACATGAAGGTCATGGTGGGGATAGGCACCATAAAGGGAAGAGCAAGAAAAGCGACATGCCGATGTGGACGGGTGTGGTCACTACGAAGAGCGCGAAGAGTCAGGCTTTAGAAGCCATGAAGGCGCTGATCGCCTGGCAACCTATCCCTGTGATGAGAGCGAGGATGAGGCTGAGAGTCACCTGTCCCACCGCGATATCCAAGCAGGCAGCGAAGTCGAAAGGTACTACGGCTGAAGATGGTGATGATGCCGAGAAGACAGAGCAACAACAAGGAAAGGGGACGATTAAGGATCGGATACTGTCTTATATTGAGCAGGTGGAGAGTCAGGACGTGCTGGGGGAGGAGTGGGAGGTCATTGGGTTTGTGGAGCCCGGTGCTTTTAAAGGGTTGGGTGAGTTTGTGAGTGGAGAGACAAAGGGGAGGGGAAGAGTAGAGGTATTGGATATGGCGGTTACGCATGAGGACTAAATGAACGGTTTCGAAAAGTCGGCTTCGGCATTGCGATGGAGTTGGGTTGGCGAAATGAATGTCATCTTCTAGTGAATGAAAGGGTCGATCTATTTCATGCCGGATCTCAAGGGCCAGTGGCACATCATTATGGCTCAATTTCCATCCTATTCTATCTATTGTCCGTCCTGTCGTAAGATTGCATTACAATTCCAAACACAACATCCTCGCAAAGAGTGAGCACAAAAAAAGTTGGCTTCATACCTCCCTGCTCCGCGGCCGAGATAAACGCTACCGCGCCAAATATGAATACAAGTGTTACCTCTCTGGTCTGATAGCGGCTGCGGTCATGGCTTTCGAGAGCTCGGCCGGCGTGAAGGGCTGAGCATTTTCCTTCCTCAGGTCGCTTGGAGTGATGGTCTTTTCCAACTCAAGCTTGTTTACGTCTTTAGTGGTCATTTGATCGGTGGTTACTCTTCTCGACAGGCCAACTGCCCCGAAGTTAGTAGCGTCCAGCGGAACTGATGCAGCAGTACTTACCATCTTCAACATCGGCGCCCTCCTCATTAGCCTCAGCTACCTGGCCAATATGACTGGCATGGCTTTTCCGTCGCTCCGCATTGCCATCCTCCATACCACTTCTACTGCCCAGGCTTGACCTCGCCCGGCTCACCCAGCTTGACCTCCTGCTCTGCGCCAGTGTGCCTCTAGGAGAGCAAGATGCTGGAATAGAATTCTTCCGGTCGCGCAATGCATCTTCGAAAGAGAAAGCATGCAGTTGGTCCTGATGTTTTTGGTTCCAAGGCCCTCGATATTTGGACCGGGGTATCTCGCCTGGTTTATAGTACTCGATATCGGTTCGCTTTGGGGGGCTGCCAGAAGCATCGTCGCCGCTGCTCTTATTCCCTTTAAGGACTTTCCTCACCTTGGCGCGGAAAGCCATGCTACTAGTACTAGTAGGAGATCATTGATGAGTGGCCTTGGCAAAAGATCGAAGCAGGACGAAGACGATGGGTACGAAGCAAATAACCGAGAGCTTACACAGAGGAACACTTTGCGTATTGGAAGCAGATCGTGAACGCCAATCTCCACCCAGCATTCCATCTTACCCTTTTGAAACCTTTTGTCGATAACGCCAATACTTAGCAGGAAGAGGCCGTCCGAAGCTTGGCGCCAAAATTTATGAGACTTCTCAGATTCCTGCTATGCTACACAGCTATTTAATAGGGGATAGGGCGCCCATTTCGCTCGTTTAGGGCAGCTACTCTATCTGGCATTGTTGAGATAGCCCTATTAATCTCCTCAATGGTTATTTTATCCCACTCCTCCTGGATAGCTTGACGCAGCACAGCTTCTTCAAAGATAACCCCCCTGGACTTCAAGCGCTGCTTTATTATCCTCCAGATAGTCTCAATAGGATTGAGATCTGGCGAATTAGCAGGGTTCATATCCCATTTGATCCCTAGAAGGTCCTTGAGTACTTTAACCTTGTTAAGACCTTTGCCTTTGGTACCATAAGGCCCATCATTATCTTCGATTAAAACGCGATCCTTATCCCATTCAGGAGCGACGATTTGCTCTAGAATAACCATATAGTCAGCTTGAACAAGCCGTCCCCCTATACTAGAGCCAGTATAGAAGTGGAGCTGACCCTTGAAATTCCATCTAATAACGCCATACACGTGTACGGATTGGTTTTGGCGCTTCAACTTGAATTGGGTCTTTGAGAGAGCATTTCGAGCTTCAAAACCCTTTCGACGATGAATTCGAGCTTGTCGCTGCAAGCAAGTAGCAAAATGGGACTCATCATACCATCGAAACTTCTTAAATGCATCTAGTTGCTAATATCAACATTCAAATCCCTATATAATTCAGGCTTCAATATGTGCTTGTGAGAGCATTTTTTTCTGTGCAGCCATATAGGTTCTCACACCAAAATCCTTCATATTTCTTTGAATTGCACGTTCGGAGCCATTTGCTATACTAATAGTCTGTGCCACCCTAAGTGGCTTGACGAAGCAAAGCCAAAACTGGCATCTTCAACGGCCTCAATAGCTTCACATTCGTGTAGAGCAAGTACTCGTTTTCGGCCTCGATTATGGATTTTCTCGCTGCTGCGCGCAGTACCCTCTTTTATGATTCGATAGCCAGTTGCTTTAGATACATTATGTATCTTAAATAACTGCGTACGAGGCAGTTTGCCAGCTGTGTGGCGTGCGTCAGCAAGAAGGCGCGCACGGCGCGGCGTATCAAGCATCGTTTTTAGCGTTCGTGAGGCCGCAGGAGAAGGAGGATCTATCGAATAAGACTTTCGGCAGACGCGTCGTCTGTTTCCTCGTTCAGAATCCATTGTTCCCTTAATTTGAGTGAGTATTGGTAGAGAAATAGGGGAATGAAGAAGGGGGGGAGAGGAAGGGGATGTGAGAAGTCTCATAAATTTTGGCGCCAAGCTTCGGTCTGAAAGTTACGCCTAAAATTACCATCAATGAGTGCTTAGTTTGGGCCTAACCGTGGCATGATCAGTTTGCATAGAACTATGCAGCTAGACATCTAACATCCGATGAAATGGTGTTATTTTGGACGTCTTTTCTCCCAAATTCTGGCCATATGACCGTCCAACTATGGTCATTTGAGCGCTCCGATGATTCTACAATGACAAATCGTCTGCTATATTGCTAAGGACCAATACCGCGTCATTTTCAAAGCTCTTCTCCACGTACTAACGTAGTACGGGAGTTAGTAAGTAAGCTTGGACCTCCAACCCTGGCTTGGCTTTTATGGAGAAATCACCGATAACATGCACGCATTGGGATGTTCGCTCAATTCCTCGGTAGGCCAAGAGGGTGAGAACATCAATTGGTTTATCTTCAAACAGTGGCTCTCGACATGTGCCACGTTTGGAAGGATGAGATAATTGTTCTCGACGATGATGTGCATAAATCATCGTACGGAACCAAATAGTGAATGGATTGCATCCATGGCGCGTGGTCCGAGTAGCTGTAACGCTTTCCTCAGTCTGGTCTGGAGTCTAGACGCACATCAGCAAGCATACTGAGTCCCGTGGCGGTATGAAGATATAGTAGATGTCGCTTACAAGAAGCAGCAACTTGGTTGGTGCTTGCCCATTCTTCTCTCGTGTAGTAAGAGGCATGCGTCACTTTTACCCCGCTTTAATAGCCACCAATTAACTGGTTACATTTTCTTTAGAGTCTAGGACACAGGATATTATCTCTCCAATTATTGTCACGGCTTCCATCCTGAGTAGGCGCCGCTCTAGTCTGATGTCAGGCTGAGCAGCCCTGAGCAACCTTGAAGAATGAGGACCTTCGTCCGGCTGTCGCAGAAGCTCTTGCGGGAGTGGCTGGACATAATACGTATCCACTCCGCGGGCAAGCAGGGGGTTGGAATGCCTCAATTAGCGTTGTCGATCTTCGTGGTCTGGTGTTGCGATAAGTCTTGCATATCAAGGCCTTCATGCGGCTTCTTTGAGAAGGAATATGTTCAAGAATAGGCCGATCCAGATATCCTTCAATTATATATCCCTGATGCTTATTTATCGAGAGATCATTGTGGGAAATTCTCTAGGTAACCTTATTTGAGCTTCAATTGTGCGATATATGTTAATTGAGGCATTGTCCGCGGGGTGGATAGGCGCGAAGCCCAGTCGGGTGGAGTGAGAGCAGGGACAATTCCGCTACCAATATCCTAGCCAAGTCGAACTCGAAATAGCAGGAGGAGCAATGACGTGTTAACTCAACAACCCTGCCGTGACACCTACACACAACTTCGTTGGCGGTCCAGCAGAGCATTGGCCATTGACCACGAGTTAAATGGTGGAGACACTCTGGCCGCCGTCCGCGGAAGATCGCCCGGCTGGATCTGGATCTGCTCCCGCTGGCTTTGTAACAAACTTTCAGACTCCCACACAGTGCCGATAAAAAGTGACTTGTAGCGCGACGTTAAACCCTGTACTACGTAGAGCAATGATGCACAGTCCCACCAAATCTGATTTGTTTAGAATGTTCTGATTGCGTGGTCGTCCACCTTTTAATCCCAGCTTATGTGGTTCAATTGGCTCTGTCAGTGCTTGGAAGGTACTCTGATTAGCCAAATCAATGCTCTAGAGTCACCTTTCGGCGGCACGGGTGTCACGGGTAACTCATCACGGGTATCACTCCTAGAAATACAACATACGGAGTCTGTCACGTGCTAGCACTAACTACTTGGCAGACGATAGATTACTAGTGTTGAACTGTTTGAGCGCTGTTTGACTATGCGTTTTATATACGTTTTGTAACAGATCTGATACGCATTTCGTATAAGATCCGCATGTATTTTTGGTATCTGCGTTTCACGTTACGCAGCATCTGTACGTATAAATGCGCACTCTGCGCGCTGATTTAGATAGAACAACTTGCTATTTCCACACTGATCCGTCGATTAGTCAGCAAGTTCGACAACCAGCTTCCATTGCGTCTACTCAACTTTGCCAACTTCATACTTCAATCAATCAACTAATGTGCTGATGGCATGATAGAGTCTTTCGAAAATGTATACTGGGTTCGTCGAGTATGCCTTCGCTGGGAAATTTGAACGCGGCGTTCGTCTTCGTTGTTCCTCCTCGGTTATCCACGATGAGGTTGATCCGTTGCGAAGAGGGGGTCTCCCAACTCAGCTGCATGCGCTGATGCAAGCTTGTCGGCGATCCGATATTGCAGCTCCGGGCCTCCATATTGCCCCCCACAGCAAGCCCAATGAAGAACCTCTGAACCCAGCTTTTATGTGAAGGCCAAGTGGCTTTCTCCATTCTTTTGCGTCGACTTTCTCGACCTTCCCAATTCTATGAAGCGCCTTGCGAGATATGCAACTCTGCAGGGCCATCATATGTGATTGTCCTGCCACACTGACTGGTCTCATGAATCGGCTCCCAGCGAGCGTCGCTAGGCTTAAGATGAGAGGAGGGTGGGTGGAGGTTCCAAGAGAGCTTCTAGACCTCCGGACCCTAATGCTGCGTGATGAAGTCTATATCCCATAGCAGATGTCCAAGGTGAGGGGTACTGTATCTACAACTACAAATTGTCGAACTATTTCTTTCTTTCAGCTCCCTTATCCATCTCTAGAAATCGGTTGCAGGAAAACCAAAACCATAACTTCATCTGTCCACGTTGGGTCCCACCCATCATGTTCAGGCTATTGATCAGCTCTCTTGCATTGTGGCATGTAAGTTTCCTTCACACTCACAACTGTCTCGGAGGACACTCAACAAGGAATGCTGACACGGCCCAGACAGCGTCTGCCGCCACCAACTACTCAATCTCTGCGGTATCATGGGCCCCACCTCAAATGAATATCTTCGGCATCGCTCCGGACTCATCCGTCTGGCACAAATTCTACACTGGCTACGATTGGCAGCCAACCGAAGGCTTTGAAAACCTGAACGGCCAGTGCACCAGCGGCCCGACTGCTATCTCGTGGGGACCCAACCGCCTTGACTACTTTGTCCTTGGCACCGACAGTGGAGCCTACCACAAATTCTGAGATGGCACTACTTGGCAGCCCCCAGCCAAGCAATACGAACCACTGTACGGCAAATTCACCAGTCCGCTTGCGGCAGTATCATGGTCAGCAAACCGGATGGACATTGTAGGTCGCGGTACCGATATGGCATACTATCATAAGTATTTCGACGGATTTGACTGGCAGCCGCAAGGCGGGGCCTGGGAGAATTTCGGTGGCAATTTTAGCAGCCCTCCTGCTGTTGTCTCTTGGGGCACCAATCGACTCGACATTCTCGGTATTACTCCTGAGGGACAGCTCAAGCACAAGTACTGGAGCGGTGACCAATGGTCCGGCTGGGAAGACCACACTGGACTGAGCGGACCTTTCGTTGGCACTCCTGTCGCCTCATCCTGGGGATATGGCCGCGTTGACCTCTGGGCTGTGGGGAAGAATTCGAATCTCTACCACAAATTCTGGGACGTGTCTTACTGGACCGAGTGGGAGAACATGGGCGGCACCTTCGAGACGGCACCGCAGGTGGTCCATCAGGCACCAAACAAGATCGACATCGTGGGCCAATTCAAAGGAGATGACAGGCAGTACTACTACAAATACTGGGATGGCGCGCAGTGGCTGCCTTCGGTAAGCGACTGGCATCCCAAAGGTGGCGATTTTGCCTCGGCGCCCGCTCTTGTCAGTTTGGGAGCAGGAAATCTCAACTTCTTCGGGGTGGGCAACGACGGTGAGTTAAAGGTGCAGGTTTATGCTGGAAACGACTGGCAGCCTTCCAGTAAGGGGTGGTATTCTCTCGGAGACACTCTGCATGTGTCCTCTGCTCAGGAGGACTCGTTCAAAGTTCAAGACTTGTGAACGCTGCGGTAGAGAGAGAAAGAGAGAAAGAGGGGCTATGGTATCTTTGGGAATTACATAGTAAGGAGGAGCACTGGGAAGAGAGTAAGGGGTAGCTAGTTCCGAAATGAGAGAGACCAGACTAGGCAGTAGAGAAGCTTCATCGTTTGAAATTAGCTATTTTGCACTATAGACCCGGACGAAGGCACTCCACAACCAATCCTACAGTAGACTTAGGCCCTCACCACCAAACATCTCGTGTCTAAATACTGTGTATGGGGTAGTTAGTATTGAGGTTGATGATTGTGGCTGAGAGTAGTCTGATATCATTCCCCGAAAAGGGGGGAAGAGCAACTACAGTACTCGCGCGCGTGTCACTTAGCGAGATCTTTGTGAGGGTTTAATTGGTAGAAAAGACTGGAATCTCGACCGAGTAAGTACTTGTATTCTTGGGGGGTCGTTATTAATTCAGCCTCAGTCATCCTCCTCCTCCTCTGGGACTGGCTGACAATCACACTAGTATGGTCCATCCGACTCGTTGACATCCATACTCGAGTTTAGATCGTTTATATATTTTTATCTGATCTGCTTGATATCGAAATGAGCCTTCAGGAGGGAGGCGAGCACGGCAGCTCCGGATGGTACGAGTGGTCCAAACATCAAGGATATTTATGCCCCACTTCCCCATTTGTCTCTTTCCCTACCCGATCTGGTAGCTTTTAGGTGTTGGATAGGGCCAGCATGACCTCTTTCATCATCCTTTTCCAATCCACACTTACACAAATACCAATCTGGTTGGTTGAAGCTTTAGAACAGGCATGGTGGAAGCTTGGCGGTCAAGGCAGCTCTTACTACGGTAGGAGGCATATTAAATTAACCCTCTCCACTAGTAAAATTGTTATTTACAACCTTCATACAGATACCCTTACTGCGCTTGTACAAATTCCATACCACCCTAGGGGGTCATTTACCGTGTTCGACACGTTAAGCTTTCTCAATTGATTTTATCTTATTCTACAACTATACCAATCAATTATTGCCAGCAAGATGCCAGGTGGTTATGGATGCCAATGGGATGCACGCTCAATGTAAGATAGATGGTAGATTGTCCTAGTCGAGCGATTTGTGGCGTTCTATCTTGGCGTTACAAGCTGTTACTAGAGCGGGGGTTACATTTAATATGCCTCCTACCGTAGTAGATACTCCATACAGTAGTTAGTAGATATGCTGCATGACGTCGGGACCGAGTAGCTTGCCAAATAACAGGGAACATCTTCGACGACCCCGACAGCTTGTCATTCCAACCATCTGCGTAGTATTTCCTGGCCATAGCTACCTTTTCTTTTTGCAACCAGTCCTATCTTCGTGATATCTACTGTTGGGATACTCCTAATATCTAATATTACCATGCAAGCACTTAAGAAAATTTTGTAAGTCCCCAGTAGGGCGACTCCAATTGGTTTTCACTGTGCTCATTTGTACATGACAGTTCTCCTGGACACGATGTCGATGACGAACTCATGTACGGCGATGGCACCAAGAAAGCAGCCGTTGAGAAACCGAGCACCACTGTCGATAACGAACCTCACCCGCCCGAGTCTCGCACAGAGGGCGCCGCTACACAGCCTTCAGGTACAGCGACATCTGATCTGGAGCCACCAGCTCGACCTCAAGCTCAAGAAGGCATCAGTACTGCCAGCATCAAATCTGGAGTGGTAGGACATCCGGAGGAGTCAAGATTGATGTCGGAGACCACTGATCAGCCCAGCGGCGCAGCTTTCACACAAGACTCCAGCTCCTATCCTTCAGGTGCGCAGTCGACAGACTTCACTACCAGATCCAATCCTCAAACAGACCCACGCTTGACTCAATCAAGAGGCGCAGAGCAAGTTTCTGCAGGCAAGACTAGTGCCTTCAGTTCGAACCCAATTCACAAAAGCGACAATACTTCCCGTCACGTTGACCGAGAATCTAAGAATCCCACTCCACATCGACAACCAGAGCAGTCCAAAAATCCAATTAGAGGAGCTGGCGATGAAGGTGAATCCACACGAGCCCTTGGCAGTTACTCCCAACCTGAACGTGAAGGGAACACCTATGCTTCAGAACGAGGTTTCATAGGAGCAGGTGGCACGACTACAGGCAGAGGGAACGAACCTGCTTCTAGAGAGAGCGTGCCTGCACAGTATCCAAAAGCGGACCCCAACAACCCATATTCGTCCTCCCGTCTAGATCCGCGGGTCGATCCTCACGCAAAACCTTCGACTTCCATTGTGTCGAGCAACGATACTATGAACCGTCCCAGCGAGTATGGATCCGGCTCAGATAATCAAGGTTTAAGCGGTACCAAAACCACAGCTGAGCCCCTCGACAGAGCCAAAGGTTACTCGCAAATTCCTCATGGTCCTAAAGGCACTACTGAGCGCTTTGATGGTCCCAAGGGGACTTCAGAACCTCTGCAAAGCTCTACAGGCACTTCCGAACCAAAGCAAGATTTGGAAGGGTCATCCTGGCCACTCAAAGAACCAGACCAACCTCATAGCAGGGTTGAGGTTATGCCAGGTGCTTTTGATTCCGAAGCCTTTGTTACAGAGATCAGCCGTGATCCAGTTCCAGAGGATAAAACTTCTTATTACGACTTCGGAAGCTCTATTGCTGGAGGTGGCACAACAGAGGCTACACAAGGTCCCAAAGGTACTGCCGAGCCTTTGATAGAGGAAACTAAATATCTGTCCGGCACTGGCGGGGTACCAAGTGCGTCTACACCCGGAGTCTCTGGAGGGGAAACCACAACTTTTGATTCGCCATCCCAAACTGCCACTGCATCGTACGGTATTGCCAGCTCTCCATTTGCTACCGACCCAATGGAGTCCATGCAAGGTCCTAAAGGTACTGCTGAACCATTGGGCAGCTCCAGAGACTCCTCTTGGCCTCTGAGAGAACAAGGAACAGATCAATATCAAACCTCTGCGGGCGTCCCGCCGGGAACTTCAGGGCTCAGCGGTTACAGTACCGGGAATAGGAGTGATCACCCTGCACAAGGGGCTGAAACTTCGTCCTACGGTGTTGGTAGTTCTCAAGGTGTTGGCAGTGTATCTGAACGCAGCCAGCCTACAAACTCGGGCCTTGACACTTTGGACACCAATAATGCTATTGATGAGGGTCATAAGGGCCGGAATGCAGGCATCCTTGGTGCCACTGCTGGTGCTCTTGGTCTAGGAGCATATGCAGCCAAGAAGCATGGTGAAGACATGCCCGATCGTCCATCGGCTGGAACTAGGCGAGAGTCGATCCCTACCACCGCCTATCCTCCAAGCACTAGTCTAGATGACAAACAATACCCTGAGGCACGTGTGGAAGGATATGGAGCTACTCCAAGTTGGGGACAAGATACTAATGAAGCACCATACACGGGTGGCGCTTCTCAAGCCTTCACTAGAACTGGCACTGCTACAACACAACCCATGGTAGGCGCTATCGGCACGAGTGGTGCTCCAACAGCCATGTCGAATTATGCTGTAGGAAACAAACAGGAAGAAAGTCATATGGGAAGAAACGTGGCCCTTGGAGGCGCAGCAGCTGTAGGAGCTAGTGCACTTGGTGCTCATGAATATTCTAGGCGTCAAGCAGAGAAGCCCGCAACAGCAGCATCTGACTATATTCCAAAACATGAACCAGAACAAGGCCAATATGGTACAGACAGGCTTGAAGAGCGCCAATATGGCAGAGACGCAGCTGTTGATGGCATTGCTGCGCCAAGTAGTACGCACGGTTATCCGCAACAGCAATTCGAGAAGCCATCGGCAGCCTCGTCGGACTACGCTTCAAGAGACAAGCCAGACGAGCGTCACTATGGTAGAGACGCAGCCATTATTGGTGGTGGTGGTGGTGCTCTTGCTGCGGGAGTAGGGGCAGTCAATGCTCATGAATATTCGCAACACCGAAGCGAGAAGCCATCAACGGTTGCATCAGAATATACTGCAAGAAACCCCCCGGAAGAGCGCTACCATGGTGGAGACGCAGTCATCGGTAGCGCCGCTGCAGCAGGACCTGGGATAGCTGGTACTCCTGAACATTCCAGGCATCAGGCAGAGAAATCATCGACTGCCACACCAGGTTCTACTACAGGAGAGAAACCGCAAGAGAGTCATCTAGGCAGAAATGCAGCCATTGGTGGCGTTGCTGCTGCAGGGGCCGGTGCCGTAGGTGCACATGAATATTCTCAACACGAAGCCGAGATAGAAGCGCAGCAACGAGTCGAGGCTGAGAAAGCTCATCAAAAGGCAATGGAGGCATCCAGGAAAGCGGCAGAGAAAGAGCAAAAAGATCACGACAAAGCTTTAGCCAAGGAGGAAAAAGAGCATGAGAAAGCTCTACAGAAAGAGGAGAAAAAGGCTGAAAAAGAGCACGAGAAGGCTGTACATCGGGAGGAAAAGAAAGCGGAGAAAGAACATGAGAAGCTGGTGAAGAAAGAGGAGAAGGAGCATGAAAAAGCTCTCAAAAAGGAGGAGAAGGAACACCAAAAGGAACATGAGGCTGCCATCAAGCTGGAGGAGAAGAAACAAAAAGAGCACGAGAAAGAGCTTGCAAGGCAACAGAAGGAAGCCGAAAAGCAGAGAGATTCTGACGAGAAAGAGAAGAAGCATGGTGGCTTGCTTGGTCTGTTTCGTCGCCGGAAAGATTCCAAAGGGAACGATGTTGAAGATGAGGACGACCATACTGCTGTCAAGACTAGCACCAGTGCCACTGACGAGGACAGCCACGAACATGGGAAGCGCCATATATTTGGGCTGCCGCACCACGAGGTCAAGCACAAGCTACACAAAGATCCTCCACCTGGCCTGTACAGCGGTGATTCAACTACTCCTGCTTACGCCGATTATGCAGTCAAAGAAAACAATCATCCCGGTGCACAGACCGTTACGGGTGGATACACTGCGCCAGATCCAGAGCATGACAGAAACAGATACTCTGAAACAGCCGGACCAGGTTCTGGTAACGGTGCTTCTGGCACAAATATTTGACCTGACCGATCCCGCGGCACTGGTACCACGGCCCTGTCTCAAGGCGATCGAGAAACACCCACTGGCAATGTTGCCTATCAAGCCATGGGCGGCACAAACCCCCCATCATCCGCAGAGGCTGGTCGAAGCATACCTCTTCGGGACAACGTGGATCCTATGACAAGGTAGGGACCCGGCGAAGGTCGTCGTGGTTCAACTGGTGTGAAATATGGAGATCTGCCTGAAGGATATGTTTCACAGGTGACAGGTGGTACTGGGACCACGCGGCTTGCTGGGGAGAAGCAGTCTGGATTGTGAGGGCATGGTAATCGGTCGCTGGGCACGGTTGTGAATACAGGAAGAGGTGTGCGATAGCGTGGCTACGAACGGCGCTTGAGTGAGTGCTCATTTTCTTCATAAGACTACTCCAATCAAAATCTACTCCTCAAGATGACTGCAGATGAGATTGTAGTTGAGACGGACATGCTTCCTATTTGTTGTATACTTGCAATTAAGAACAAGAAAGACTCTCACTGCTCTAGAAAAAGGTGCAAGCCACTGAATATTTTGGTATATATTTTATTATTCCGCACCTTATTTTCGTCGTCCCACACCCAAATCTTAGTGGATAAGGCGGCGGGTTTGGAAAACCGGCCTTAAATCTCAGATGAGCTAGCCAAGTTTTCATGGCAGTTGTTTCTCCCCTTCCAGCAGCTGCCTAACCTTCGGGCGGTGGTGAGTGGAGTGCAGCTGTGAACTTTTTGTGTTTTTTACTAGCTAGCTCTACTAACTAAAGGGAGAGGGTTCGAATCCGGGTTTGTTCCTGGGCTTTTTTGGGGGTTTATTTTGCTGTTCTTCTTGCGCTGGTCCATAGTACAAGTAAGCACGAGTGGCTTTTATAGCTCATGGTTTCATGCGAGTACATCAAAGATGGCTGGTAGCCAGTATTCACCTGTTGTCTTGGATCATGTTTTCTCTCCCTGTCTCCGTTCCATACTCGATCGGGACATGCACTCTTCGTCCTTCACGTTTACAATATCCGAGTGCTGAAATGACCTTGCACATCACGAGCACGACCCTTCGACCATCAACGAACTGTACCTCAGGTGGCTCTACACTAGGGCATACCCTTCGCAGCACCTGTACTGTACTTCCCTCTTCATCCTCCGTTGGGGTTCTCCTCCTCTTTCTCCTCAGCTTATCCTGTCTAGCCCTTCGCAGCAGCTCAGCCTCTCTCACTCTCTGGCTCTGTCAATCCACACCCCTATCCTCACCCCTAATCCTCCACCAACGACCTCCCATAACTGAAAACCAAACCGACCTCCCCCCCCCTTCCCGTCCCTCCTTCCAAAGGGCCTTGAGATACAGATACAGACACAACAGCCAATTTACGTCGTTACCTGACGCGAAAAAAAGGGGAAAGACAAATAGACAGAAAGACGGAGAAGAGAAACCCTCGAGGCCCGAAATCCCAGGTCTTCCCCCCCTCCCCGTCTTCGTCCTCATCCTCACAATCCCACTCTCGGTATATATAGGCTTTTGTTCCTTCTGTGAAGGAAGGAGGTAAACTCTGTCCCTTGTTCGCTCTCCGATCAAAAACCTCGCAATTCTGATGGCTTTCGAGGAGAGGCAAAGGCTAACCCGGGAGATATCAGATGTCAGATGTCAGATCGGGTCTAGGGACGAGAACTTCATGGAGGGGGGGGCGTGGCGTAGCGGGCTCCTGTGCTGCGGGTTTGTGGAATAGGAGAGGGAAAGAAGGGGAGGGATGGGTACGGGGCGGGGCGGGTGAGACGTGAAATTGTAAAAGGAGAGGAGAGGGTGGGAGAGTGCTGGAATTTGGCACCGAGATGCTGGGTACAGATCTAATCGCAGCTGAAATGGTGAGGGTGGGAGACGGGTAGGAGAGGGCATGACTACGAGTGGTGCAAAGAGCCCCGATTGCTTTGGCGTCTTCGATCTCTACGCCAGGGAAAAAGGATGCTGGCTTGCGACTTAGGGGTCGCGGTGAGCAGCAGCTTCACGCTTTCCCCTCCCACCCTCGCTTTCATCGCTTATATTGTGTTTGGGTCGCGACGGTGATGAGAGAGGGTCTCGAAAAGTCAGGAAACTATAGGTATAGCTGTATGGCCTTAGTTGGTTCCCGACGAGGTGAGTCTCGATCTCGATATCTCAATATCTATCCTGTGTTCGAAGTTAGAGGAGGAGGAGGAAGAAACGGTGGGAAAACAATGAAAGAGGATCAGCGAGAGCTGAGCTGGTGCTGGGGCTGGTGCTGGTCACAACTTCAACTTCCAACTTCAACTTTTCCTAACGACTTCATATTTGGCGGACGTAAGGCACGGTAAGCCAAGATGAGGCTGGAATAGGCAAAGGCCATCTAGGGAATGGAATGGAATGGAATAGATGATGAAGGAGCAAGATAGATTCACAGGCTGGTCGGTCATGCTTAGGCTTGGGGCTCAGCTCAGCTGGGAGCTTTCTCGACAAGTTGGGTTGGGTTAATCGCCGACGATTTCTCTCGATTTCTATGTAGAGGTATATGACCGCTTTATCCATCTTCTCTTCGTTCTGGAACTGTGCCTACCCTACCTGCCTTCATTTCTGGTGGGACGCGACTGTGGACGGCTCGCTTGAAGTTGGGGGTTGGATCGTTCACAGTATCTCTTATGACTGAAGCAGATAGGCGAATCGATAGATGGATAGATGGATAGATGGATAGATGGATAGATGGATAGATGGATAGATGGATAGATGGATAGATGGATAGATGGATAGATGGATAGGGATAGATAGATGGATAGATGGATAGATGGATAGATGGATAGATGGATAGATGGATAGATGGATAGATGGATACCGCAACATGACAGCCAGATAGCTAGCCAGCTGGTCTGGAACATCAACAGCTCCCTGCGTCAGAGTCCTTTGGAGACCGGTCATGACAGATGGAGATCCGGGACGAATAGACCGGATACACGGCACTGCTGGCTGTGACTTTGCACTTCAGAGAACGGTGGTATAGTATGAGCGAGGATATCTTCCTACTTCTTCGATGCTGCTCAGGATGAATGTGGTTTTTGGTTTGAGTGATGGATCAGGAGGCCTCATTGTTGTCATGAAGAAATGGAGGGGCTCGGTAGAAATTTTGGTTTGCTGCTGGTTAATGAGGGATCAGAGAATGGAGAGACGTGGGTGGAGCAATAGAATTGGGTGACTGGGCTGTAGTGATGCTGAGCGATAAATATGGTTTGGGATTAAGTTGTCGCTTCACAGAAAATGTACATCGTATGGGCTCAAGGGGAGTCCGGCCCGCGGTTCGAAACCCGAACCAGGAGGTGTAGCGTATGCAGATGCTATCACCGTTGGATGGACGGGGCAAGAAGAGGAGAAGATGAGAGGTCAGAAGCGGTGTGGCATGGTACTGGTATTTCATTGAAATTTTCCCTTTGCTTCTTCCTCTATATAGTCTAAATCCTAGGAGTTCTGTATAGTCAGAAACGTGTCGAGTATTTCGGAAACAGCTGCTGTCGCAGTATAGGGTGGACTGGTTATAGGTTTATAGACTCCACAGTGATTCTTCGTTTCTTTCCCCTCGTGAGCGCACTGCCTGTCAGCCGACCAGATGATTGACCAGAAGATTAAGCCGTCAGTTAAGTTGCGGGACTGTGAAGTGAAGAACTGAAGAGGACAGACCGTTTCTTTTTCGGAGGGCTCTGTTATTTTATGCCTGTTCGGGGTTTTTTGGGTGACGTGTATGATCGCGAAACGTAAGTATGGTCTGAGAGCTCGGAGCTGAGGAATAGGGAGGCTTGCAGTGAAGGAGTACCGTCAATCGCAAGTTTCCCTTGTCCATGTAGTTTGGGGGTTCCTTAAGGCGTGTCCCAAACCATTGGAGATGCTGGGCTCAGGTCTATATGGAGTAAGAGGAGAGGAATCCAGCGATAGAAGGCCATAAAGGAAAAGGATTTTCAAAATGGGAGAGGCACAGATGTAGAAACAATATAGAGAAAGAATTAAGAAAAATAACATAAAGGCCGTTGGAATCGAAAATCCCAAGTATCTAAAGCTTAGTCAGGAGTATAGGACAGGCTGGATGATAGGCACAATAGGTACTTGCACAGAGGCTCCCTCTGAGGGTCAATCAGCGCCTTGAAGAAGTGCTTTACTGTCTGTAGAGGCAGAGACGGTAGCAACAGCCAAACTATCGGACCGAATCTACAGCCACGAGAGTTTGGAGACTTGCATTTACAGATGTGGGCAGATTAACGACGCCGAAACTCTATATGACACGGTATTGCGACGGATATCAATCGAACCGAATCGGACAAACAGTATGGACAGAATCGCAATAGAGCCATCCAGCCTCTGGTTCGCTGGAATCAGGGTTCATATCTGTGTAGACGTCGATCATCGCGATCGAGGATTGGATCGCCGATATTTTCTGCCAAACTGCTGCTAGCATCGACATGATAGTACTGCGCGGGGACCAGGAGGTGAGGTGAGGTTTGATAGAGACGAGCTGCCAAGCGCAAGTCTAGCCAATCATCTTGGCAAAATCCCGTGCGAAGTCAATTTCCGGCAACAGCGGACCAGTTACTTGACCAATTAGTTATCCAATATTAAATTTCCATACGAAGGCGAACACTTGTGGCTGGCAGTATCATAAATATTGGCAATGCCGCTTGACTGCGTCGAGGTGACAGATTCCAGAAGTGTCAAAGACAGATTTCATGCCTCAGGTTACATCCTTCTGTCCGCTTAATGTACGCTTATAGCAGCTAATTAGTCCTTCCGATCCCCGTATTTTGGAGGATGCCTGACCACTTACTGTACGCTTGAGCATGATTTGTCGCTTTTTGCCCGCTTGCACTGTTCCAGACAGGCCAGTGATGGTATGCTTGCAGCAGGCGGCATTGGTTCTGGCCGCGACTGGTTTCGCCCTGTGTTGATTAGCCAGATTTGAGTTTGGCTCGTAATTGTTATGCCGCTCCGGCAGCATCGGCCGCTTATTGCAGGGT